ACTACGTACACCGGACCACCCCTCTTCCACATTCCCACTGCAGCCGCCTCTAGGTCCAGCCACTGAGGCGCGGACATCTTCAGTTCCGGGACACGGTCTGCCAACTTGCACAGCTTACTGACGGTAATAGCCCAGTGTCTCAACCTGCTTGACGGTCTAGACCTGATTCATCATTGGCTGCGGGAAGAAACAGGGCTACGACTGCGTGAACCTCTGCACATGCGAGAGACGTCGAAAAGCCAGGCACTTGGCCAAGGCACGGGTTCCTCGCAAGACGTGTACCATAGTAGCGATTTGGAAATACTGAATCAATGTGGAGTATCTTGGTGTGTTGCATGCCACGACGGACGAGAGCGCCAGCACTAATGGCATCTTGGTGGAGTCCATCGTACCTACTACAATGTATGTCGCTCCCGCTCAGCTTGACTCTTACCCAAGGTAAGTGAATGGCTGCTTTACTTCAGTGTTTGCCTTCCTCTGGATGTAAAGGTATTGTGAGGCACCTCGAGCTCGGATAGCTGAGACCTGAAGTGCAAAGCAGAGCTGGAAGGAAGGCGCATGCGAGATTACCCGAGAGGCTCCATGACCTAAGGTAACGAACATTCCTTCCTGTTCTTGGATGCTGGATCTCGCATAGACGGTACCCTATTTTCTCACGCACACATCCAAAAGGAGAAGAATAAAACAGAGGCCACTCATCCGTCGTTTGACCACCTTCCCAGACACGAGATGGTGTACAGCAGAAAGTATCTTCGCGGGCACTGCTGGCGACGGCTTCTCGTGGAGCAGCCTTTGCTCATACAGCCCCCCAAGCAAAGACGAACCGGAACGATGCAATCCTAACTGACCTGCCTAGTGGTTAGCCCCCCGGTGTCCGACACCATCACCGTCTACCCTGCATCACCATACGTTGCCTTACCATGGTTCGACCAAACCAAGAGGGAAAAGGCAACCCCAAGACACGGAATTCAGGGTTCTGGCTCCAAAAGTCCGGTTCCCTCCTGCCTCCCTCTCGTGCCGTTTCTTCGCAGACATGATCTCGGTTGGATCTACGCCAGAACGATTTCTCCACCGGCCAAGGTTTTCATGCTTGGACGGTCGACAGATACTTGCTTCTACTTACGTCTTTTCACAGCGCTTTGCTGACTAGTCCTAGGTCGGTGTGGTCGGGAACCTTTGTTGGTGGTGGTACGGCATCCTCGCAGGCGCTGTACCGCATGGAATGCACATGGGACCGATCGGCTCAAACCCAGTCGCCTGGAATATTGACATGGCGGGATGGATCCGTCATCCTCGAATGGACGTGCACATCCCGCATAGCCCATCGCCCGTCGCAAACGGTGCCGCTCCCAGCTTGTTCCCAGCCCGGTACGCACGAGGCAAGCAACCATCTCGAGCAGTAAGGCCCGACTGGATGTGCTCTGGCCGCTACCAGCTCCGCACGCGGTAGCCATGCCATGTCGAGCCTTGTTGATGGTGCCCACCTTCATCAATACCTGCCCTACCAGTACCGCCAAAGGTCAGCCCGTTCACTACAGTTTTCTCTTCGTTATCCGTACCGACTTGAGGCTGAGGGAATGACCCCCTTACCACTCAATACCTCTGGACCGTCTTGGCTTCGACGCTGGCTGTGGCCGCTGTCCTACCGGGATGACGAGAAACGCCACCCTCTTCCGTCTCTTCCCCGGGACCAGGGGCAATTTCTGTTGGCCCATGGCCCTGTTCCGCAACCCAGATCCCTTCTTCAGTGGAATATTAGGGGCTTGATGATGGGGGGACCCTGGGTATCAGATTCTTTAACTCCATAGGCGTCGGTCTGCTTGCAATACAAGATCAAGTCGGCGCTGGTCCAACATATCAACATCTAGACGCGCATGCAATACCATGGCAGAGGGCAGGGTGTCAATAACAGCCTATGTACCTGGATTTCATAGACGGCTCAGGCACCAAGGACAAGCAAACATCTGGACCGCAGCTCATCAATTACATACACGTTACTGCACAGAACCGCTCGACTGGAAATTAACACCATGTTGAGTTAGCGATGTCATATATAGAGCAGCATCAGGCCTCGGTCATTGCAACCGCTGGAATTCTCGGCTGTGCCTAGCTAGAATGACATCCCAACCAAGTTGCCAAAGTTCTCCGACAGTGGTACGACACGGCACGGCGTACGGATACCTGTCATGGTACTGGCGATCATGTTCTGGCTGCGAACAACCACAACATTTGAAGTCTACCTAGTTCAGGGACCGGACCGGATTCCGAGTCCGAAGCGCAAGAGCGAGGTCTACGTGACGGTGATGGCGTTTGATACGCACTGTTGGAATGAAAGCACGATCAGTCCGGCCTCGCTGACTTTTTCTGATGGGCCTTTTTTCCGCAGTTAAGGCCCGCCGAGCCTCCCAAGTTTCTTCTTGGCCCCGCCAGTTCGCAAGCCCCGAACCGGGTGGCATTTGGTCTCGATCACTGTGAGACGAAACATGAAATAGCGGGCCCGTCATCAGATCCCGCCATCATTCTTCATTCCTTCTGCTGTTGGGCTCTTCTCTACAGTGAGTGTGCGCTGCCCGAGACCCGTCTTTGGGACGACCTGCCCTGCCGCCTGACCAACATGCCGGCCTGATCTGACCAGGCAAGGCATTGGCGGCATGGCAAGGTGCGGCCCTGGCACTGCTGTTTCTTGGGAGCGCCATCGCCATTTCAACGTATTCCCGAGAGGTTCACAAGGTTATATCCGCACATTTGAGAATGGCTATTCCGGTTGCCGCCATTATTCTGTCATACTAACTGTGGTAGTTGGCCTTATAATGTGGGCATTTTCATAGTCTGTCCCGATGGGCAAGGATGGTGAATGATTCAGCCGTCAAAGATACTCACTATGGTGGACAGCAATGTGATGGCAATCTAGGAACCAGGATTGCCTCAGAAATTGCAGGGCACGAATTGAAAGGGGCAGAAGACGGTGTGCTGACCCCGAGTCCACTAACCGTCGAGCAGATGAACAGACGGGAGTCTTTGTCCAGCCACTTACACATGGACTACTCCGTACAAACGTACGCGGATGCATACGCACACACACCACATAGAGCTGCTAGCAAAAACCTTCTCCAGGATGCCACACGACAAGCAGATGCTCGATGCATGTGAGGACTGCGACCCCACTTCCATCGGAGATGTCTCCCCTCGAGCTTCCCAGCGTGGTATGGCACATCCACGAGGGCGTGCGTATCGATACATTGGCAAGGCCATATGGCTTGCCATGTTTGTGCAGGGACAGGGATGGTGGCTGCGGGGCTAGACAAACATCCCAAGTACTCGCGACCGCCGAGTCCGGGATATAAGAAACGTGAACAGCGCCCATGCGTGCCCAAAAACCCCCGAGCAAGGTTCGGCTGTGCCGCCACGTCGTCCACGATGGCGCCGTCCGGCAGGGTTGTGGCAGAGAGGCGGATGGGGTGACACACCCCAGGCAAGCTTAGAGACAGTAGAGTCGAGGGTACCTGCGGGGCAAGTACTTTTCTCGTCTGCTTCGACACGGACACCATACCCCCCATGCGACGCCCTGGGTCGACCTTGGAGGCGTGAGCCATCTGGGTAGCAGCGAGCAGCGAGCGGAATCGACTGGCACAAGCAATCCCACAAGGCATGGGTACATGCACTCGATCGGGTTACTTGGACACCTTATTCCAGGTGGCTCTGCCCGTCCGTGGTAGCGCTACAGTACGTTGGCATACCTTATTTTCCAGGGCTGGCAGATGCAGACAGAGGAGCCGAAGATGCAGGAGTGAACTCGACGCAGTAAGGATGAACCAGCGAATATGCCAAAACTGAGTCCTGGCGCGAGGTTGGAGACGCAGGCCGCACTCAAGGTGGTATTGTCAGAGCCATTTTAGCGCCAGCAGTAATAATTCAGTACTTACCCACCTTTCTATCTTTTTTCCAGTTGTCAATACTTTCTTCTTGGCAGAAAGGGGAGAGGGGAGTTGGAGTGTGATCTTGCCGCTGCTGGGCAGACAGACAAACAGACACATGCAGCTGTTTGACTGGGAAGTTGGCAGATGGAAAAGTGTACACAGAGGGTACGAAGATAGATGGTAGATGCGTAACCTAGGTAGTCCCGTCGCTCTTCTCTCCAGCAGCAGACAGACACAGAAAAAAGGACTGCGTACTAGGGTGGAGAGAGCGAGGGAGAGCCTGAGGGGAGGGGAGAGGAGAGAAGGAGAGAGAGACTTTGGTTTAGCTTCACTCCCCCTCCCCTGTACCCAGAAACCCTGTCTTGTCTTGCCCTGTCCTGGGCTTGTCCTATCCTGTCCTGTCCTGTGCATCCTTCCCCCCGGTTCCAAGGCCGCCTGTCGCTGCCCTTCTCTGCTGTCTTGATCCCAGCTTCGTTCTTCCGGGTTGAGTCTGCTCTGCTCGTCTGCTCAGGCCAACAAGTCACCCACCCACCACCCTACCTAGCGCTCCCGCCTGCTCAATTCCATCTAATCCCCTCCACCCCCAGCTCCCGTCCTCCCAATCTTGAAACTGCCTGCTTCGAGCCTTCTTTCTCCTCCACTCGCCTCTACCTTACGCCGGCCGACCTTCGAGTTTACTAGACCTCTCCTCCTTGCTCCTCGGCCTCTTCCTTATTCAACCCTCTCCATCCCACCCTCACCGCGCTCTCTCTTTCCCCTTTCACCAACACCTTCGCTCGTTATCCTACATTCCCACGATTTGAGCAGCCTGCGCTTTCAGACGCCTCCAGAAAGGCTGCTGCTTTCGCATGTCCAGCGCAATTCGACCCCGGACAATCTGATTGTTCGCCACGTTTTCGCTATTCACTTGGCTCGCCTCGTCCACCGCCTGTGCCTCGCTCTGGCCACTTCTCTTCTTCGTCCCGTTTCGATCACCGACTCGATCCAAGTGTAACACAACGAAAATCATTCTCACTTCCACTACCCATCAAACGTGATTGCCATCAACTAGTCCTTACCGTCAGATAACAGACGAAGCACATCATGGACTCACAGCGACCGGCTTCCCAGAAGCTTCCTGCGGGATTGGCAGGCGTACTGAACCCGGACGAAAATCGCGACTCGGCCTATTTCTCTAGCACGGATGCCTCAAGCAAGCGTATGTTGGACACATCAGCTAGAAAAGCTCGCGTTGGAGGCGGCGCAACTAACCCCTTCTCCCAACAGATAACTCTGCGGCATCAGGCGTTGTCAGTCATGTCCTCAGCCCCACAGGGTCGGGCTACCAATCTTCGCTGGCGGACAAGACACCTTCGCCTGTGACGACTAGCATGGTCCCTCAGCTGGTGTCGCCTGGGCAGAGCAATATGAGTGTTGCCGCCATGGTGTCGCCAACAACCCCTGGCAGCGCCGACCCGCGTCGATTCGAGCGCCCGACGTCCTTGGATTCAGGAGTGGTTCACGACATCATGGGGCCTGGATCCCGAAGGGAGAGTGTAGACAGCCGTATAAATCAGGGTTTTCACGATATGAGGCTGGGCGGGAATTCCCCATACGCAAGCCACAACCAGTCGACTACTTCGATACAGAATACGCTTAACCAGCAGCGCAATCCCCGCCCCGGCTTGGACAATCTTTCGATACACCGTATCTCCAATGGATACCAGCCCAGCAGCGATAGAAACCCCGAACACCCAAAAATCATCCGGACCGCACCGGCAATCACAGGTCCTGCGACGAGCAACATCGCCCGAGCTGCGGAACCCACCAAGGGCCAAGCATGGGCTTTCCCTGAGGAAGAAATTCAACGAATAAGCCACCACGAGCAATATTTAAACTCGAGACGAAGCAGTATTGCTGAATCCATTGCCAGCAGTCAGTTTACCACTGAATCGAGACTACCACCCGGCCAGAGACGTTTGGATGAACCTACCGACTTCAACAACCGTTTATCGAGTACGTCTTCCGACTTTCCTCCAGTCCACCACCACTCGCTGCAGCACAAGCAGGTTGGGGATTTGCGCGATGACGACGCAGCCTCGCGGACGGGCTCACAACCGTATAGCCGCACGCCTGAGTTGCGGAAGAGTCACAAATTGGCGGAACGGAAGCGGAGGACGGAAATGAAGGAGCTATTCGACCAATTGCGCGACTTGATGCCACAGGAACGAGGTTCCAAAGCATCCAAGTGGGAAATTCTTACAAAAGGTTAGTCAAATCCGCTCAAGTCAGTTCGTAAGGGAATGCTAACATGTGCCAGCTATTTCTGAGCACCAACGAATGGCAGACGTGATGCGCATGGTACAGTCGCAAAACACAACGTTGGCTCAGGAGAATGACGGCCTGCGACAAGACAACCACAACTTGCGCATAGATATTCAGCGCCTTCAGAATGAGCTGCACAACACAAGACTACAACAATCCCCGACAGGCCAGGCGCCGGCTCAGTCTCAAGTCCCTCCCCCTCAGGCGGTGGGCTATCAGGCGGACCCTTATGCGGCCCGCCGTGAGCTGCCACCAATTCGAGGGTTGAATGGGAACATGCCCAATGGGCCCGACTCAATGACCGGCGTCCAGTACGAGGCTCCTAGAGTCAACGGCTACCGTCCCGAAAGGTACTGACCCGGTATCGAGGACGAAAGAGGCAAGGGAGAATCAACGGTCATCGTGTACATGACCACATTGTGCGAAGCAGCGTCCCTTATGTACTCTTGTGGCGGAGACTCGCTAGGCGATGAGCCGCGCGTGCAATGATTCGATGGGCGATGAGCTTGCAGGATCAACCTACCTATACCCCCCTACCACATGTTCGCGGCCTTACCTACAGGTCTGCGTGTTCTATTACAGTTCTGTGCCTTTGCTGGGATGCGCTATGCTCCGCAATGCCACTTGGCGGGCTGTTTGTTTGTTTCTTTTCGTGTCGAATGTATCGATACCTGAGTGTGCCAATAGCCCACAGGTTCCGTTGAGATCGGCTCCTCCAGTTCAATACTGATTCCGAGGGACGACAATATACCCTCGTCCTTGGTCAGTAGATAAAAAAGCAAGAAGGCGTCAAATGTTTCACCTGTTTGGGGGTGGAGTGGGCAAGGCTCGAGACGGCCAAGGAGGGAATGATACGGACAGCCTGGTGTACATATACCTACGCGTTGGTGAATGGGAACGCGATGCGGGCACCTAGGGTGCATGTTATGTGATCCATTGCTTTGCTCGGGAAGAAAAAAAAGATTTAAGGGAAACTCTGCGGTACGTTCAATGACTGACGGAGATTATGGATTGGCCCCCTTCTATCTGTATAGACGAGGGTCACAAGCGGGAAACCGACGTTTGCAATTTCTACCAGAGACGAGCTTAGGTCTCTCCCTGGAAGCGAGTAGTTTTGGAGGCTGCAGATCACAATCTACTCCCAAGCGGGATGAGGAACACCTGCGAATATTAGTTCTACTGCAACATCATAACCGGAGCCAGCTAATCGTGAATGAAAAACTTCTACGAATAAGGCACGTCAATCAAGCCTTAATGCGCCGCACGGCTAAGGTTGGGCTTCCTGGCCTCTACCTACAATGTAAGGTAGGTACCCAAGTAAGTGGGTACTGGGCCATATTGCGCTAAATCTCAATTGGGACTAGCGTGTTTGGATGCGGCGACGGTCGACACGGTCATCCCAAAATTTCTCGTTCGCCCATTAAAATATTATTCTGCACTTCACATCATCTCGCCATACTTTCCTTGTCTCCCTCTCTATCCATCACTCCGCCTACCATTCTCCCTTCACATCACTTCAATATGTACGTCCTGCGATCCATAATGCTGCAGTAGTGATGCACTTCGCAAAGGTTTAAAGGCCGATGAAGCTAATTGGAAACTTTCTCCGACATCAGGCAGTCCATCCGTCGCGCAGCCACCCGCACCACCCTGACCAGCTCGGTCACCGCCGCTGCTGCGCCCAAGTCGCAGAACGTCTTCTTTGCTTTGCGCGCCGTCAACGCCGCCGCCGTCAGATCCTTCTCCGTCGCGGCCCCGAGAGCGTTCTCACGCTCCATTGCATTCCGTCAAGAGCAGCGGGATGGATTCGTCCGCCCAAACGAGCAGGGACGTCAGAGAGAACCCGAGCCCAGCCAAAATGTTCTTTTCGTCCAGAACTACTCTTTCGACATCAAAGCCGATGAACTGAGCGAGGCTTTCTCAAAGTATGGCGAGGTTGTCGGCGTTTCGATGCCTCAGAGAAAGAGGTGTGTTCCAATATCCCCGGATCCCTTGATGGAGCTTCCAGCTTCATGCTTTCTCTTTTCTTTTTTCAAGATGATCCTGGCTCCCATTCTGCAACACTGGGAAGGGGCACATCTGAGGTTGAATCCTGTTCTTTAGGGGCTAATCACTGGATTTCTTCTCTTGTAGCTATTGTTTCATCTACTACAAGGACGCCGAGTCCGTCAAGGACGCTGCCGACAACGTCGATGGAACCTTCTGGCACGGCCGCCGTATCGTCGCCAAGGCTCGTGATGGAAGTTCAGAGGGCCGCACCAGCAGGGGCAAGATGGCTAGGCCGCGTATTTACGACGGCCCTGCTACATCCACCCTCTACATCGGCAACATCTCCTTCGAGGCCTCGGACGCGGACATGAACAACCTTTTTGCTAGCCTCAACGACGTCAGAGACGTTCGCATCGCCGTGGACCGCGCGACGGGCTGGCCGCGCGGCTTCGCGCACGCCGACTTTCACTCCGTCGAGGCGGCGACGGCGGCCAAGGATATCCTCAACAACACCGAGATGCACGGCCGCAAGCTGTCCACCGGTTTCGCCCCCCAGTCCAGGGACAACCGCTCTCGCGAACACGGTGGAGAGCGCCGCCCGAGAAACTCGCAGAAACAGGTCGAGGAGCGTGTCGAGAGCGAGCACGCCCAAGCCGAGGAGGCGCAGAAGGAGCAGAAGCCCGAGGCTGGTCAGCAGCAGAACAACTGGAACGCCTAAAATTCCTTTTCAAGTGTGCGATTGAAGTGACAAGGTGTCGTCAAGGACCTTTTTTTTGTGTAAGAAGGGGTGGCGTCTTGGCGGCCGAGGCTTTCGATGCCATTGTATGAGATCTTCTGATATGTTGTTTCTACATTTGTTTTCCTAGCGGGAAAGCGCAGGGACTTGAAGAGAGTCCTGGCGGCCGGGAGAAAAATCTGGCGGAAAAAAATTGTGTTTGGCGAGGAGGATGCCTCTCCTCACGCGACGATGAATAGCCCGACCAAGGCGGTGGTGTATCATATGACTAGAAAAGAAGGCCTCGCTACCGTGGCCTTTTTGACATACATGGTAAACTTCATGTATAAAAATGTAATATCTCTCCTTCACAAATGGCTTCTATTCTAAGGCCCTGTCTTTTCTGCCCGTGGCTGCACGTGAGCTATACTGTCTGGTCGCCTGTGTACTCAGGGTGGCTGTCCCGGTCCGGGATGGCGGGACGGAAGGCCGAGAATCGTTGGTCATGGGAGCCCGGCGAACAGAAGCAAAGAAAGCACCGACACGGTCGGAGCCCGGGGCATTCTCTTGTCCATGAGAAGATTGGATGGGCGGGTGGCCCTTTCCCTGAAAGACGTTCGATCCTGGCACCCGGACCAACGGTCCCCCCCCCCCCCTCCTTTTCTCCATGACCTTGCTTGTGGCCGAGTATTTGTCCACCCCCGTCCGCATTTCTTCGGCATGATATACACGGGCCAAGGAAACCTTCTTCTTCGATGGGAATGACGGATTGTTCGGGACTTCTAAACGGGGGAAATGGAGAGGGGCCAAAGCTTTCTTGTTCCTGGATCGGTCAAGGCGAACAGGACAATTTATTTAGCTATTTCGCAACACATGGCCCGACCTGGCCCGCCCTCTCCCGCTCCTCATCCTCTCTGCTCCAGCCTCCAGGCCGATCGCTGGCACGCAGCAGCAACGCCCACACCCCCGGTCCCGTTCTGCCAGCATGCGCCCCCCGAGTCAGTTTCTTTTCTCGCGAGAATTTTACAGACACAGCGAACGGAATACCCGCGCCCAGCTTCCTGGTCGCCTATGCGATGTTCAAACTTCCCACCCCCCTCCCCCGGTGTGTCTCTTCCCCGTACCTCCCCCCCGTAATGTTCTAACTTGATTGACAAAGAGAAGGCCCGTCCGCCTTGTCAGAGGCTTTTTCGAAACGGAAAAAAGGGGAGGGGCTGTCAAATATCTCCCGGCATCGCCGTTAAAGTAACGAATGCACGTATCTAGACAACCTTGCCCACTCACGTGTGACCCGCGACCTCTTCGGCCCCGGCCCCATGCAGAGGGCTTAATTGATATCCACTTTTGACTTCGGTGGGACTGTGGGACGGCGGACCCGTCGCCGGCCCCGCTACCCCCGGCCCATATGACCTACACCGTTTGTACCTTTCCCGAAAAAAAATTCTCATGCCTTTTCAGAAATCTTCTCAGATCGTCGCGGTAGATGGTTTTAGTTGGTCAGGGCCTCCCAACGGCCCGCTGCATCAATCCTTCCAGCCCACACACATTACAAGCCAATGCATCCACGGACAGGCATGAACCAACGGCGCCAAAAGCACGTAAATCAAAATTTGCAACGAGCACTAAAAGAATTGACCAGCCTGGGGGTCGAACCCAGAATCTCCTGATAACACAGCTAGTCGTAGTCAGACGCCTTGCCATTGGGCCAACCGGCCGATATCCCAGAGGATTCGAACTTGCTTGCTTGCTTGAGATCTCGGTCTCGGAAATAGTACTATGAATGGTGGTGTAGCACCCTCGACCGCAATGTTGGGTGAAACTCACACCGTACGCATTTTCTAACGGAAAATACCCAGTGTGAGCAATAATGTTTGAATTTCTTGATAAAACTGGATCATTAGAGTCACGCATACCATGGGGCCGTCGTGCTTTGGGATTGGGTTGGGTTTCCATTAAGAGGAAGTCGAAGAAGCCGTGGTCAGGCCAGGCGACGAGACATCACCTTGTGTCCCGTTCGAGGAGTACGCCAAGCTCAACAGATATCCCTATGCAACCTGTCCACCTGGATCGTCGTCCTCGCCCCGGCTTTCTTCGAATCTACGGCCAAAACCACGCCTCCGACGGCTCACGCAGGACCTCATCACGCGCACCACGAACCCCGTCTCGCATTAAGGATGACGATGTTCCTGATTATAATTAATGCCCGGACCTCCTCCGTGGTGCGTGGCATGCTCGATAAAATCTTGAACGTTGCGTAGCATGAGCCTTTCACCTGCCCTTATACGCGAGGGGGGTGGCCGCCGGGAGGTTGGTTTGCAAAGCCTGCGATGGTGCCTGCGGAGAGAATGACTACGTCGACGTCACTAACCCTATTTTTTAATTTTTTTTTGGTGTGATCAGTGTTGTGTAATAAGTCTTTCTTTTGCTCTTCTACAAAGGGCGTTTTGAATTCATCTGGTCATTCTGTGATGCTCGACATTCTATCCTCGGGAGGTTGGTCCGATACCAGGGCTCAGTCAAAACCTCTTCTACATGACAGTAAGTCGCTTGAGTACTTTCCCAAGAGAGGCGATTGGCTCACATGAATCCGATATCTCTCTACGTGGAATGCCTAATCATCCCGCCGAGCGACTTTCGGCATCTTTGTAGGCTATGCCCAGAGTCACACTTCTTCAAGATGTGATCACCCTTTGGAGAAAACGTCATGGATGCCGGACGTGCCATCCGAGTGAGCTTATTTATTCTGTGTTGATAAGAATGATGATTAATGCCAACTTTGCATTACTCTTATAGATCCGAACCACTACTGCTTCATAGAGTATTTGATTCGAATAGCAATGTGGCTCAACCTACGAAGGGTTCGCGCGTCTTGATACGAGTACGAGCCAAATCCAAGTTTAAAACAAAACGATCTCATGGGTGTCTCCATTCACCATAATGATATCTCCCTCTCAGTCGCCGCAAGAGTCATGGCGAGCCTCTCGACTTATACTCCCCTGACTAGGGACTCGGTCATCCAAGCCCGCCAACTAATCAAGTCACACATCCACCCGACCTCGGTCCTGGCCAATAAAGCAAGCCAAATAGTTTCTACGCAGAGAGAATCTCCTTTGTCGGCGGTCGTATGCTCGCGAAGCCGATCCTCAGACCTTGGTTCAAATGCAAAAATATGTAGCGGACCAGCGCCTCAAAGGCTTGTGGGGGCCTCCACGCCATGAAGAGACTCCAACAAGAGCCCGGATAGGTCGAGATTGGCGGTAGGGAGGAGGGAGTCGACGGGTGTAGCGCAGGTAGGCACTAGATTATTTTTTGATTCCCTGATTTAGTATTCAACAGAAATTCCGAGTCACGAGTTTGAGTCCTCCATCCTGATACACTGACGACTGGCGCCTGCAGGCAACCACGCTCAAGCGCTAACTACGGCACCTCAAGAAAACGGCATCACGTCTTACATCGTCATGCCCACCACACCGCGGCCGAACAAAATCGCTGCAGCAAAAGGCTATGGCGCCAACGTTGTCTTCTCCGGACCGGACTTCTCAGGCCACGAGGTCGTCGCGGCCAGAATCGTCGCCGAGTTCACGGGCGCCAGGCTCGTGCCGCCCCATGGCCAACGTTATGTCATCCTCGGCCAGGCGAAGGCGGAACTAGAGCCCCAGTAACAAGTTTCGGAGCAGCAGGAGCAGCACTAGAAGCTCGCCAAGGGGCATGGTCTCAACGTCATCATCGCGCCCTGCAGCGGCGGCGGCCTCCTCTTCGATACGACCCTCAGTTGCGAGGGCACACGCATGAAAGTCTTTGGCGCAGAGCCCGAATTTGAGGGCGCCGACGACGGGCGGAGGAGATTTTACTCCTGCATGAGCATTGCCTAAAACCGGCACGGCGGCAGACGGGCTCGCCGGCGCCATTAGCGCTACGCCGTGAGGTTTGATCTACGAGAGGCTGGTGAACGGGATGTGCGCCGTGACCGAGGACGAGATTGTCGAGGCGACGCAGCTCATCTTGGAACCATCTTGGAGAGGCTCAAGATCTGGGTCGAGCCGAGCGCGGCGGTACCATAGGCTTTTGCGATGTTTAACGAGGAGTTATGGGGGATGGTGGAGCGCGAAGCTGGCAGGGAGGGGTGGGATCCATGGTCAGTTGTTACTGGGTGGGAATATCGATGTTGATGGTATGGTGACGCTCTTCTCGTTGGTTGAACACTCAGGCGGAGGTGTGGTAGAGATATAATCAGGGTACTAGACTTCATGCCTCCCGTTCATGGAAACAGGAGGCGAAAGAGTTGTTTCGTCGGATAGAAATTGCATATCGCGGCCACTAACCGCAGAAGTCCAAGTGAAGGATTCATATTACGGCCGGACAACATTAGAATGACTTCTCCCTTAGTACACGTATGGACCATTGTAGCCACAGACTTAGCTTGTCCTCGCCCCTATCCGAATCCCGTCGAATGAGCCATGCAAGGACAAAATTCTACAGGCAGATAAAGATACTCGTGAAAGGCGTTGTCTCATTCATTCTTTTCCACCCGCTATAATGCTACATGTTCGAGGGAGCCTTTTGATCATCTCCTGAACCTGGGCAACCAACCGATCTAGAGGCCTCTAGAAGTCGAATTCACCCCTAAAGATCTCGGGATCTACACCCGCAACAGTCTTCTCGGCCAGGTCCCTACGCCCCATCTGTGTGAACACTCTCCTCAGGGTGTCGTAAAGGGTTGTACTGCGATTCTGCGCCGTCATGCGGTCGATCTGCTCGTCAAGTTGAGCCGTGTTGGCACCGCCTCTGGAGCCCTCGCCACCACCCAAAATCTCGTACGCCATGTTACGGCCACTCTTCTCAATGGCCTTGTGCATGTTGAGCGCAGCGAGGAAATGTGAAGCTGCCTCGGCATGGCATCCAATGTTGATGCAGCTGACACCTAGGTTGTAACGTGCTCGGACAAAGTTGGGGTGGATGCTTAGTGCCTTCTCGTACGCCGCGATAGCCTCTTCGGAGCGGCCCGAATTTGCGAGAGTAGCACCCAAGCGGTTCCAGAGCAGATGCAGCTGTTCTTGCTGGTTTGAGGCTCCGAGTTCCGAGGAATGAAGGGCGGCAGTGAAGCAGTCGACGGCCTTGTCGTACTCCTCGGCGCCGTAGAAAAGGACGCCCAGGCCAACCTGGACATCCGGGTCCATGTGTTCGCCGTCCGGGCTGAGTTGTGCCGCCTTAATGAACAAGCCAGTGACCTTGTCATGCAGTTGCTGCCGGTCAGTGAAGCCCATCTCAGCCATGGGGTGCAAGTCAGTCGGTGCGATAATCTGCGGGTATTTGACCGAAAGCCACCGCTCGAGTGTGCGATAGGCAGTGCTGTCGTAGCCCTCATTGGTATAAGACACAGCCAGGCCCATGAGGGCAGCTAGGTTGTTAGGATCTTGCTTGAGAGCTTGTTCGAGCGCACGAATAGCCGCCGTCTCCTTCTCATTCTGTGCTTGTGCCGAACCAAGGTACACCCAAGCCTCGGTATGCTGTGGATTTTGCTGGACTGCAGCCTCGAACGCGAGAGCGGCTAGTGACAGATTTCCTCCCTCACGCATGATGCGGACGCCCTCTTCGAATGCGTTCTTCTCCTCGCTGAAGAAGTTGTCCTCTTCAAAGAGATAGTTCTCGATAACGGGATCGCCGAGTCTGCCCCAGTCGCCGTTCATACCGGTGAAATCTGGACCCCAGTCCTCGCTGTCGAATTTGTCGAATGTCGAATCGTCGACCATGCCTCTTGCTGCAGCAGTTTCAGCCTGGATTCCTCTCCATATTGACTCGAAATCGCCGAAACCTGTCTCACTCTGCATTGCTCTGTCCATCTCGTCTAGTTCAGTCTCTGCAGCCTTGGCTTCCTGCTCCTCCCTCTCCTGCAACTCCATTTGGGCGAATTGCTCTTCCCACTGGTTGTCGTCAAGCTCCACTAGCTTTCCCTTGCCCTTGACGTCCTCGTGTTGTTGTTGCATCGGTTGCTGGTACATGGGCTGAAACGTGGGTTGGCCCATCATGCTGTTGTAACCCATACCCATCCCCATTCCCATGTTCATTCCCATACCCATTCTCGGCTGTTGAGCCATTTGGCCAGGCATGGGGCTTGCTCTTGCCGATGAGGGCTGTTGATTCATCTGTCTAAAGCGCGCAAAATCTTCGGGACTGAATTGGGTTCCGGGAGGTTGCTGGAATGCCGATTCCATGGCAGCTTGGTTCTGGAAGTCATTTGCCCAAGTTGGTGATGTCGAGTTGGCACGGAGGTGGACTCCCTGATTCGGGTCGATCCGGACAGCACCATTTTGCATGGGAAGCTCTTGCTGAAGGCCTGGGGCTTTGTTGAGGAAACCGTTCATCATCTAACAGGCCGATCAGTTCAAATAAGTTCACGGCGGTATATGGCCGCTGTGTGCGTACCTCGTCCTGTGGAGTACTTGCGCCCGCGCTTCGGAAGCCACCAGCAAGCGCATTTGGGCCCCGTTGCACCAATCTATCTCTCTGAAGGGTCTTGTCATCTTGTACATGCTTCTGGAATTGGCTGAGGGGGTGGCCGGACGTAGAGCATTCTGCGCCGCCCATAAACGACATGTTGAGTGGTAGGTAAATAGCGGGGTTCTTATTTCGAAGTGGTGGCAACCGTAATCGAAAGGCTTCTGAGGGAGGCGTCGCGAGACTGAGAAGTAAATCAATGTCTCAAAATTTCGAGGCAACGGATGGGAGCGCGACGTTGGGCTGGAGTTGGCGAACAGGCGGGATGTGACTGGTTTGTAATTCGGCCAGTGTTGAGCGGCTGCTTCTCCGAGAAGATACCGAGGCAGGCCGGCGGGGCGGGCTTAGGCGCGGCAACGGTTGATATCTTTCTCCGCAGCCGGAGGCGGGGTAGCCAATCAGATAGTCATGGTTGTGAGAAAACGACAGTGGGGTGAGCGCTGACCCCAGTTCGTTTGAAGCTCTGAACTCCGAAGCGCGCATGTGAGTGGTGCATGGACGTATCCGTACAAGAAACATGTCACTGCTCGGGCTGCATCTTTGGGTTCCTCTTTAGGCAATTTAATCCGACAGCCGCGATATGGATAGCCGGCCTTCACATCATCGACAATTTTCAGCCAAGACACCGATGGATTTCGTCCTCTGCTGATCCTGAAATAGGTTATTCTCTCATTTTTTACAAACTCTCCTGCTGAATGTCGAGTCCAAGTTTTCTCCCAACTGCCGGTAGGGTTCCTGTATCAAAACTTAGGCTAGGGGTATCATGTATGAATACTAATCAGTGAGTCCCTGATCTGCAGACTATTCCCTATGCTCGGGATCCATGAAATGCTGTATGTTCTGCTCTATTTGCTCAGGAAACAGCCGCTCCGTGGCCCTTTTATGAGCCATCCTCATAGTTATTTCATGCCAATGAAGCCGATACTCTGGCGAGCCTTGATGACAGCCCGTCGAAGAGCCTGCTCCTCCTCGTCCGTCCATTTGACTGACAGTTGATCCCACTTCTTTCCAGGTGTATTATACTCCCGCTTCCACTGCGTGTGGATGGCCTGGAGCTTGCTCATCTCGCGAGGATCCCCAGATCCTGAATACACAATGAATGCCGTGCAGGGCGGAAGGCTGTCGTGAATGGCTTGCAGAGAGACTGACAGACGGGCCAAGCACTGCTCAAGGGGCGATCTGCCGAGTTTTCCCTCAAATTGGGACTTGTCAAAGTCAGGAGGCCCGCCATCACTGTTGGCGCTTTCAACTCGGTTCTTGTTCCACCATCCTTGCAGCGCCTCGAGCTCTCGCATGCGACCCCAAACAAAGTCGACGCCACCACCGGGAATTTCCAGTCCATCCGGATCTCCCTTCACGGCACGGATGACACCGTTGACAACGTCCGCGTCGGACTTGCAGCCTATTTGGTAAGTTGCTCCAGCGCCAGGTCCCTTGGACGGTTCACCCCAGTCCACAGCAGCGCTTGTCTTCCCCGTAACCAAACCGCCTGCCTCTCCGCCTTGTGCCTTGTACGCAGTTCCCACTCTTGATAGCCGTCGGAATAAGTTCTCACCCTGGGAATCAGATGCGCCCCACAACTTGCCCTTCTCGCACTTTTGTCTGACAAGATCGAGGCAGGCACGGGAGTCTTCAATAGGATTATGACCATTGGCACCACCCTTCTGGATTTCGCGATTGACATACTTCTGAGTTAGCCACTTTAGTGACGCCTTCAGAGGTGGACCCCTAGGGTGGGGGTAGATTAGGGAGGTATCGACAATGAAGGGATGTGAGAATCGCAGAGCCTTCAAATCAGATTCGAGCGAGTGCCCGATGAGGATAGTTCGTGGAGTGATAAGTTCAACCAGCTTTTGCTGGATATCCTTCAATGTTGTCGTAACTGGCTCCAGCATCTCCTGTGTAATGCCGGAAAATCGGGTGACGTAGTCGGTTATGGGCTTTTCTGGCTTCACCAGTTCGTCCATGATGAGATCTCCCGACCAAGAGATGATACTGATACGGGTAAGAGAGTATTCGCTCTCACCTGTCATGCACATCTCGCAATCCAAGGCGAGACATTCTCGGCCGGCAGTGACGCTGCCCTTTTCTATCTCCGCTTCGGGCACTTCACCGTCTTCGATCTTGTCAACTTTGGAAATTGCCCATCCGTCGGGAACTCTGAAAGCCGCTCTCTTCTCCGCGTTCTCGATGAGCGCTGGGTGGATAAGATGGCCAGCTGTTTCGAGCTCCTCAAGCGATGCCAAGAATTCGGTAATACGGGTTCTCTCATTCTTCCATCCCGAGGGCTCTCTTGCCGGTTTAGGGCCCTTCCTGTCGTCCTTGTTCTTAGGCATCGGTGCCGTCAAAAATGTTCCCATGGGCGAGTGGAGTTTCATGTACTTGTCGTCACCAGGCGCCTTGACAGGCCACAAGTGAGGGAACATCTTAGCAAATCCCTGAAGCGCAAGCGGCAGCCGGTCTGCAGAAAGAGTTCGCGGATAGTAATCGTCTGGTGTCGTTTCCGTCCGATCCTGGTTCTTCGCTGGGCCAGATGTATAATCGCCCAAGTTCACGCCTTCCTTGAACATGGCTTCCTCCAATCCAGGCACCATCAATACAACAATTTTTCTGATGTTCGGTCGGTGAGAAACGGAAATCCAGTTCGGACCTGTTCCATCGGCGAAAATGTACAAGACAAGATCACGAAGCATAGCGAGGTTGATCTTGGCAAAAAGCTTTGCACTCGTAGAAAAGGTAATGGCGGGATAGTTGTTGGAGCCCTCCCTAGGGACCTTCTTGCGCTTCTTACTGGATCGCTCGACTTTGGTCCATCCTTCGTCATTATCGTCAGGGGCGCTTCTCTTTAAGCTGCCACTGCTTTGAGTGAGCGAGGAGCTCTCCCGCGAGCTGGTTTCGCTATTCCCTCTTTCGGTTTCGGCTGTCGATTCGTGGGGTTGGGAGGTCGTTCCGGGGACATCTCCGGATGCATTGTCATCGGAGGCAGCAATGGCAATTCCTCCGCCTTCGTCGCGATTTCTGCGACGCTTCCCCATGATTGCTCTTCTCCAATTGCTGTCGATGACAATTGGCAGATTTTGAGGAGGTGAGGGTAGATTGAGTCGCGCCGTGGCTGGTAGTGGGGGATGTAAGTGTGTTCGGGCGAAGTTTTAGATGGGATCGCTCACAAAAAAAAAGTTCCCTGATCCGGAAAGCGCAAATGCGACGGTCGATACCGGAGGTACCTTAAGGTCCCTGGTTTTGCGGGGCAAGCCAATCGGCTGTGATGTAAGGAGTATATCAGATAAGATAAGACCAACGTTCAAACTTCAGGGACCCTGGCCTGAGTTACCCGTTTGACAGGGACACAAATGAGGCAGGCACGGCTGGCAAGCACTTCAGCAAGGAAAATACCTTGAGGTAGGCATTCGCTCTGGTAGGTTCTATAGGTCTCGCATTCCAGCTTCTTTTGCAGTGCCACTTCTACCCGCCGTCCTTCACAAAGTGTCACTGGGTCGCGACTTTTCCCCATCGTCATTCGCCGTAGGATATCGACGTATCTCACCACTGTCGAGAAATCGCAAGATCGTTGGTCCGTGCCAGCTCGATAGGCCTCGGAAGATTCGCCATGATGGAAGTCATCCAATGCAAGTGCACAAGCTGCCAGACGAAATTGGCAAATTTCTTCAACCTTTGGACTCAGATTGGAAAATCTTACTTCAGTCCGTTGATTGACGCCCAAGGCACCACTCAGATGGTCGCCAAGGAACCCACGAGGATTGGTGAAGCAGAAACCCTCGTTGCTGGATGGTAAGGCATCGTCCGGCTGTCCTTATGTGGATTGGGAGACTGATCTCTCGTAGTGAGCTTCAAGATGTCAGTTGCGTCAAGTGTGATAATGTCATCGGCCTCAAATGTTTGAGCAGCCCAGTCAACCATGTGCTTTGCGAGTAAGTGGACATCGGAACCTCGACGATCCCTAGACTCACGCAAGGTAGCTCGCAAATACTTCTGAGGCAGACCTCTGTTGTGTTTCTGAAGAAGAATGGCAAGCCGATAGAGCTCGATGTGCGCCGCAAATTAAAGCTCCGGGATGATTCTCGCACTGGATCGTGTTCAACCAACGCTCATTTCAATTCGGATTATCGTCAAGAACCCGGCTTTGAAAACGGGCATAGGTCGTCCAACTCCGAAAATATTGACCTCCTTCGTTTACGAGCAGACCTTGATACTCAGCGAGAAAATATTGAGAGGATAGATACTGCTGGGTTTCAGGTGATCTCCCAATTCGACGGCGCTGTGTCGCGCATCGAAAAGGAGATAGCAAAGCTCAGGTCAACTATGGACCAGCTTCAGAAGGATATCGACCTTCACAGAGCCGATTTGAAGTGTCTCAAATCGGAAGGATCTAGTGGGACACACCCTATGCAGAACAGTCCCAAAGTGTCTCGATTAGAGAGCCAGGTTCGGACGGCAAGTGCGGCGATTTCTGAGATGCAGAAGCTCTCCGAAGATTTCAGAAAGGAGCATGATGGGTCCCGAAGAGAGCTTCAAACAACGCGAGAAGATTTAAGAAGGCTCGAAAGCGCAACTTTAGGCCTACAGCTGACGGTGACAAGTGTAACTGAAACCGCGAAAGAGAGCCTCGAGATGGCAAGGGACAGCGCCAAGGAAACAGCCAGTCTACGTACTGAGTTGACGCAGCTTAGACGAATCATGGAACAAGACCGCAAAAACAACCTCGGCCTGTCAAAGCAGCAGATACCTTCGCGGGAACTGGACATCTTGACCAGCAACATCACCAAGATCGGAACTCGAGCAAACCAAGTGGAAACGCTGCAGATGGAATTTGATCTATTCAAGAGCAGGATACAGCGTCTGGAGGCGAGCGCAGAACGTCCTGCTCGATCTTGCGAGGAATCACAACTGGCGCCAGGCCAACAACCCGAGAGCTCGGAAACATTTCCTGCCATTTTGAATTTTAACATCGATGCAGCATCAAATGGCGTTTATCAGGAAGCAAACGCCAGAGTTCCCACCGAAGCCATCACCGCCTCACCTAAAGTTCTGCAGCCTACAAGCCGCAAACGAAGAGCACCAGCAGAACAAATTACCCAAGCTGGTGAAGAGAAACAGGGCCCACGACTCACCAGATCGGGTAATATTGACAAAAGGAGTGCCAAGAAATCGAGGGTTTCTTTGCCCGTGAGCAGAAAGGGTTGATACTTGTACAAGTAGCTCACCCGAAGACAAAAAGGACATTCATCATCAGTCTTGGTCTCAGTCAGGGGTATCAATTGGCAGACAAATCTTGGTCCCTGCCCAAGTCTACTTCCAACACAACTTTTCCAAGCTCAGACAAAGCTCTGACCGGCTCTATCAGAGCGTACTTGAAGAAGTCCTCCATTTGCTTTGGATCCTTGAGCCAAGCGGTGATCAGGCTGTTCTCCTTCTCCCTGCCCGGAAGGCTCCCAATGTCACTGAGCATCTGCCTTGCCAAGACGACAACTTCCCAGTCGGCCGATGGCGCCAGAGTCTTGTACCCATCGATCATTGCCAAAACCATCTGGCACATTGACACTTGGTCTAGGTTCTCTAATATCTTGACACTCACGCCTGGGAACTTCTTCGCCCTAGCCATGTCTCTCGCCAGCTTCGTCAAATTTTCAGGGTTGGGCGCTGTATTCGACAGCGCGATAGCAATGGAAGATAGGCCCTTGAGTCTTTGGGGATGGAATGGGACGAGGTGCTTGTACGGCTCAATCTCGTAGGCCGACAGGCAGGCGATGGCTAACGCGCACTCGTGGTTGTTCCGATCTTTGCCAAAGTAAAACGCCGCCTCGTCCACAAGCTGAGCAAAGGGCTCGATGGCCCATTTGCCATTCTTGGGAAACCATGAAGCCGTCTTGTACGCCTCCCGTAGCCATTTGTGCTTTGCTTTGGGCTCCATGTCGCGGGGGAGTGCAGGGAATATCTTTTGAAGCTTTTCACCCTCCTGTCTTTGTGGCGAGCCCTGCCCGTCTGGCCCAGGAGGGAGCTTAAACCTCTCAATATCAGGCATGAGGCTCAGCTTATTCAGCTCAGCAACCGATGAATCCGTCCTAGCAAGTTGATATTCATCCAGGTCATTCATGCATTTGTGGCACTTGCATTCAAAGTGATATAGGCCAAGGTCGCCCTGTCTTTTGTTCTTTGGTTGGGTCTGGTCTGGAACAGCTTAGTTAAGATGGTTCCATGAGAAATCCAGGCATTTTTTTTACGATGACTCACCAATATAAGATATCTCGATCTCATCCCCTGACTCGATGAAAGACATTGCGCGGAGCGTGGCCTTCCTTCCATCGAATTGGACCATGGCATTGGGGCAGCATGAGTGATTCATCATGGCAAGTCTTGTGTCCAAGAAAATACCACCAGTCTCATGGTACTCCTCTGACCTGCTAAAAGCATTCGTTTGAAGCTGCGCAATATACTGTTAGCACGTAAACCCACCCGCCCTGGAGAGCATATCAGGCACACGCACCTTGCACAGAACCTGGAAGGCACTCTCCAACTTCTCCGTCGAGATGTCATCAACACCAAGACACTTGACAACCCCATGCGCCTGGAGCTGCAAGTTCATCTCGTCCTTTAGCCGCCACGCCTCCACATGCCCTTCCAACTCCTGAAAGCTCTCCAACACCTTTTGCCGGAGCATGACCTGCGCCGCTGCCCGAATCGGCGTCGGCATCCAGTTCGGCTGGTTCGGCGGCTTGATCTTGTGAAGCCTCTGAATCGCCTTACATTCGAGCTTGTGAACCAAAGACCAGTTGGCGCGCTGACACGCTGGCCCGCAGTACGCCACCGTTTTACATCCCGTGCATGCGCGAAGTCTTTCTGTGGTTTGGGCCTGCTGTTGCTGTTGCTTGAGGCAGTGGTTGCAATACTCCAGTGCCCGAGGGCCCGGCGGCAGTACGACGGCCGGGTCGTTGAACCGGGTGATGATGTCTCCCGGCACAAAACGGCGCGTCGTGTGGATAGAGCGACCCTTGGCGTCGCCTTTCGTGCCGCGTATCTCTATGCCACTGCTTACTTCTGACATTTTGGAAGCGCTGTCCCAGTGGTCAGAATAATCCAGAAGCAATGTAGAAGTACCGGGAAACCTCTTCAATACCTTACACTCCCAATCCCTTGGCTGGGAATACAAGGCAAGTAAGAGAGGTGCCTGTATGCGCCACACTTGCATGTGGCTAATGCAAGGTACGACCAGATGATCATAGATGATCAAAGATCGACAGCCATTGAAAAGCTAGAAACAGTCCAAGCTCACCGACTTTCTCTGCTTTGGGTTGTGGCAGTTGTGGCAGTGCAGCAGCTTGTTCAGATGGAACTTCACCGAAAGCTCATAGGCCCCACCATCACCACCCATGCACGGACCACCTTCTCCCACCTTTGAACCCCGCCTCGTCCCTACTCCATCCCACCAACTCCCGTCCGCTCGTGTTCACGGCCATTTTCCTCAGCCTCACTCACACACACACACATACCCCAAGCCGTCACCGACCAACCATCTTCCTACCCAGGTTCAGACTCTCTCTTCCACGTGCAACAACACAAACGAAACGCGTCAACACGCTTAGGAACCAAAAAAAACACTTCCAAGACACGCATACGACTTGCGCGCAAAGCTCTTTCTCATGACTACCATCGAAAACCTAAAGACCATCGACCCCTTCGCGGACGCGGACGAGGGCGACGCGGATAAGCAGAAGAAGGGCCAGGACTACATCCACATCCGTATCCAGCAGCGCAATGGCCGCAAGACCCTCACCACTATCCAGGGCCTGCCCAAGCGCTTTGACCAGAAGAAGATTCTCAAGGTCATAAAGAAGAAGTTTGCCTGCAACGGCACCATTGTGGAGGACCAGGACCTCGGTGAGGTCCTGCAGCTTCAGGGTACGTTCGAACCGTCTCGTGGAGGGCACCTTTTGCTTGTCTCTCTCTCTCTCTCTCTCTCTCTCTCTCTCCCTCTCTCTCCTCTTCGGCATAATCAGTCCGATTGAGCGAGCTCCGAGCATGCACTGCCACACAACAGTTGAGCTGACAGCCATGACACAGGTGACCAGCGCAAGGCTATCCACGACTTCCTCATCGACAAGCAGGAGGGTCTCGAGATGGACTCCAAGGTGCGCCAACCATTATTCCAACAAACACTACCCCCACGTCCACGTCCTCTTGAAACAATCACATTCCATTTCCACGCGTCAACCCAAGACATGCTAACCCCGTCCCAAACAGCTCGTCAAAGTCCACGGCTTCTAAGGGAGCCGTTACTGCCAGGAGGCACAATCTCCCCCTCGCAACCTAGCGGGTCCCGGTGACAAAATCCCTAGGGAAGCAGACCCGAGTACCGATCGGTTCCCAAAAAATTTTCGCATTCGTCTTATAACTCTTTTCCAGAGGGAAAACGCTTCGTGAAGATGTTGAAACCCGATTATCTCCAACGTTTGAGTGGTCAACTGCTCCGAAAGGGCGATTCCAAATCCAGAGTGGAGAAGGAAGGCTGTCGGCAGGGTCTTAAAGGTGCCTGCGGGAGATGACGAGACACGATTCAGACGCAACCCACGGTTGGGTCAGCTAGATATGTCGTGCCGCGCTGAGAACTGGCAAGGGGATTTTGGCACAACGGTCTTGGTGGGTCTGAGGAGCTTTTTACGGCATCCGCTTTCTTGTTGTGGCTCGTTTGCTGTCCTGTAATGACAGCTCAGACGAGACACACAAGGCTTGCGAAAGGTTTTGAGCATCATGCCCAGTAATGAACACATCAACTGAACTCTTGCTATTATCGGGTGATACCCTATGTGTGCTCCACGGACTGTCACAATAGTCTCCACTCTGTGTGTTACCTAGGCCACTTGGTATGGTAGACTTCTCTCTGCTGCCATCTCCATTCGTTTGTTTACCGAAACGATCATAAAAGTGCTACGTTGCATCACTGGCTCACACAACGAATGCTGGCTTCTTGTAAGCTTGTTTATTGAGACTACCCTCACCACTCTCTTATGTTCTATTCTTCGTCGGCCATAACCCCCTCATACCATACCAATCACCATGTGAGAATCTTGTCTACCAGATTCAGCGGTCGCTCATGCCGGGCCGTTTAACCCCGGGTCGGTTGTCCTCGATTCGGCGGTCCTCGGTTTGATTATCCTTGTTGTGGCTGACCTCGTGGTGGCCGCCCTCAGGCTTGTCACTTTTTCCAAAGGCTCTCTTCCAAACCTCTTTGAGTCTGGCCCTGCGGCTCGGCTTCTTGTCTTGGGTCGTCTCCTTTCCCTTCGTCGATCCTGTGCCATCGTTGTTGGCGACATCTTCGACATGTTGTGTATCACCACCGCTATTAGATTCTGCGGCTTTTTTCTGCTGCTGATTTCCAGTAAACTGGCTGGTTGGATTCATCCTGAGTGGATCGAGGGTTTTCGGCTCTGCAGGCTCCAGAGCAGGTGGAGCAGGTGTAATGGAATCCGAGTCCGCCTCTTGGGCCTGTGACCTGATCTGTATATCATCTTTGAATCTGCTGGAGCCCTCGCCGTTGTGACTGTTGGTGTCAGTGTCATTGGCTTTGGCTTTACCCTTGCTTTCTTTGAGATGTTCAACGTCTGTTCCCTCATTTTCCTCGCTTTCCTCGTCTTCATCATCTTCCTCGCTATCGTCATCATCCTCATGCCCGTCGTGTTCCCGGTGTTCTTCTCCATCGACGTTCGCGACACTAGCGGCACTGCCAGTGGCGGGATCAAGTGGTAAGGCTGCGAGTGGTGGAGGCGGGACGGAGCAAAGTGGGCAGCGACATATATACGATGGACGACACATCCGAATTTCCTCGCCAGCAGAGATGGGCTTTGTGGCTCTGAAAGTGGCAATGGTGTAGTTGACATATCCGACGAAAGCAACGTTCCCATCCGGGTCACTAAAGGGACGGAGCTCTCTAGGGTCAATGGGTATGTGATGGTTTCCGAGCACCATGAATCCAATGTTGTTCATGAAGTCGCACAGTATTGTATGGTGTATAGCCTTCATTCGGTCGTGCGCCATAGGCACGTTCTCCAGCAGGGGACAGTAGTCTTTGTAGAGAGCCTTGATTGCGTTGATGTGAGGTCTTCCCAATGCCCCCTAGAAATAAGAGATCCGACCATCGCTTGGTTGAAAATCGAGGATTCTGAACATGGCCGGGCCCTGAAAAATGGCTGCTCCGACGTCGAAATCCCTTTTCGCTGCTCTCGGGCCCTCTATGAAATTGAGCATATGCGGCATGGGTAGCACCGCCATGGTGACGACGACAATGTAAAACTGGTGCTGGGAGTAGTTGGTGATGGATGAAAATGCAACGGACGAATGTTCTTCTAGAATGATTAGAGAAAAGCATCAGGGGATCTACAAGAAAGTAATGGACACGATGGGAATTGTGGAAGACGGAGCAGATCAAACGAGCAGACGCAAGAGAAAAGACACAGGAGAGCAGTAACAGGAGGTAGAGAGGCAGAACTCGAGAAGAAAGGCACAAAGAGTTGGAGTGGAAGGAAGACAGCATTGAAAGGAAGTTCCGGGAAAAGAGGGCGGCGCATGGAAGTCTGAGCGTTCAGGATGGCAGGCACAGGACGCAATCGCTTCCATATGTTTATCTAAAAGGGCACTCAAGGATGGCTCCAAGTGGGAAGCCACGAGCTAATACTGGATGCGAAGACCGGGCAGCTGAGATAAGTGACTAGTATTCAGAAGGAACGTCATTCCCTCACCATTTCCAACGATGTGGATGGGGGAATGAGGTGGCATCATTGAGTAATCGCGAAACTGTGAAATGTACCTTAGTTGCTGATATCATCTAGGTAGGCAAGGAACCCGGAACCTGTCCTTGCTTTGTCTTCGCGAGGGAATCGGTAGCTTACCTACTTACAGCCAGTGACGATGGTGAGTCATGCTGCTCATCAAGTACGGGAAAGAGGTCTGTAGAGGATGCAGCATTCGTGACAAGATAGTGATAGAAACGAGGAAAGAGTGGGACTGCAGAGGTCGCTACTTCGATCAGGCAGGTACGCGGCCTGGATATACCCGGTGCGGTCTCCCAAAGGTCAGCAGTAACAACACAGGCAGATTTACCCGTGAGAAAGGCTTGGACACCCCGGTCATACGGACCGCCAACTGTCGATACAGAAGCGCCAAGCAAGATTCAGCAATCTGTGAAGCTACCTTGCATTGGTGTCTCCAGGAGCATAACCGGCTACTTTTCCCAGCGTGGTGGGTAAATATCAACGGGTAAACAAATGAACTGGGAATTTTGATTCAACCTCGAGTTGATCTATGTAACGGTATCATACACCACACCCACTCACTCCTGCTTCTGCGCGGCAAGCTTCTTTACTTTCCGCTCCTCCTCGTCGAGATGCTGCTTCTTGTAATGGGCAATCACATGGTCCAGGTTGGTCTGGGAACCGGCAACAACGTTGCGTGCAGCAAAGTTGGAAATGGCCCTGCATATTAATCGTCAGCTTCCGCACTTCCTAGTCTACGGTGTAGAACCCAATGCCTGCTCTTTGAAAGGGGGACGCTTGGAGGGGGGAAAGAGCATACTCGGGGAATCTGAGGTCGACATCGCGGTTGGCAGGGGTGGAGAAGAAGAGCAGCCTGTCGAAGCCAGCCTGCTCAACGGCCTTGGTGTGCAGTGCATTTCTCTCCTTCCATGTCTCCTGCCAGTGCCAGGCCTCGTGGATCTTCTTGGTGAGGTAAGGCGGCTCGCCGTCTTTGCCGGGGGCGGTGATCTTGTAGACGACGTATGCGGACGGAATGATGGCGACGACGGCCCAGAAGAAGTTCTACGTGATAACATTTTAGCCAATTGAACCCAGGGTCATTCAAAAGCACAGCAACAGCAATTGACGACAGAGGGTTTCTTCGTAAACGTACTCCGATGGGCTCCTCGACAGTGTGGGCGTGGTGGTGGCCGTGGTCACCTCCAGAGGCGTAGGTTCTCGATTGGCGCAGGCCAGTCAGCCGTGACTGACGCGCGATGCAGACGGCCCGGGTTCGAATGGCCTGCATCGTGAATGACGTTGCGGAACGGATGTCAATTGACGATGGGAATTCGGTTGCTAGAGGGCGTCTCGAATTGAGGTGGGAGCTTCGGGTGGTGGAGGTTGACCCAAGGTGCCGGAGGAGCGTCACTTTTCGCGGATTAGCGCTAGCGCGCTCAAGCGCGGATGCTGCGGCTGTTGGGCCAATCATCGGTTGCCGAATTCAAATAAGTGAAATCGCCTCTTAATGGGGCAATTGGAGACAAATTGGCCTTACGGACGACTTCGACGGATTTCTATTTCGTGATGGTAAACTGTCCTTTTTTCAATATTGACTCATTTTCAATCTTACGGTTGTCTATAAAGACTTGCATCTCTTCGACCAAGATTCGTTGCATCAAATTGCATCGTCAGATCGAGTCAAGATTTAAAGTTCTTGAGTTCCAACTCACCCACAATCTCATACAGCGACACTGGGTTTCTAGCTGGTCTTACACACGGGATCAGATCGTTCCTCTTCACCTGGATAGACTCATTGAAATTATTCTGTCCGAAACCGCAGCAACAATCAGAAGTCGTAAAGCTCAATTTTGCCAACATGGCGTCGCGGAGGTCAACTCACGCATCTCTCCTCCCTTTCGCAATCTTCATGGTTGTTCTCGGCCTCGTCTTTTTCGCATCATCAGCCTCTGCCTCATCACCAGCAGCGCCCTCACCGTCAGCTGAGGTCGAGCTCATATGCCACACAGACAAACCAGCAGAATGCTATCCCAGGATTTTCCAACCCACAGAAGAGTTTCAGCTAGTTCACGACGATCAAGAATTACCACATGGACTCCACGTACGCCTAAACATCAATACTGGCAAAAAGGAGGCCAAGATCAATGATCCAACTGAGCAAAACCCGGAACTGGAGGGCATGCCCGTCGACCGCTCAATCGTGGTAGTGGACTCGGACGGAGCTCCCGAGGCGCAGATTCCCAAGGACGCGCCAAAGTACGAACCAGTCGGCGTCGTGAAGCAGCCGAAGCAGGAGTCGGGCGAGTTCTACACGAGCCTCGAGTACGTCAAAAAGGGACCACACGGAAGTGACCTCCCAATGGACGAGGCTCTCGAGTTCCTTGAGGACATCTCTCATGACATCTACTACGGTCTTAAGATCACTGAGACCTTTGACACCGTCAAGTCCCTCTTCTGCTTGATGGTCGACCCTAAGACCCCAGCACCACCCGAGGGCGCGGTCCCCCGCGATCAGCAGGCAGCCGCCATCATCTCCGGCGCTCTCCAGAACAACCCCACCGCCCTCGAGGAGGTCACCAAGGTCTGGCCTCAGCTGATGGGTTCATCCTGCCGCTCCCTCCACAAGGCGCCGCAACTCAAGATCCGCGACGGGTTCTACGCCTCGTTTGTGCCCTCGCCCGAGAGCACAGACCACGACGTCCTCAGCGCCGCAAACAAGGCCAAGGCTCAAGTCGCCGCCATCAAGGGCCTTATCAAGAGCCCGACCATCCGGGACGACTTCATCGCCAACAAGGGCATGGACCGCCTTCTGGAGGTTCTCGGACCTAAGGACGCGCAATGGGAGACTGCTCAGCGCAAGGCCGGCCAGCTCGTGCTGGATAGCTTCCTCGATGAGAATATGGGCGCCGACGTGGGCGTTTGGCCTCTGTTTAAGGCGTCCGAGTCGGACAAGTCCAAGAGGATTGCCGACCGCGTGAGCGACGAGAACTGGAAGGTCGCGGTTAAGGTGATCATGGATAAGAACAAGGGGGACAAGAGCCACTGGAGCCGAGATCTGTATGACAGACTCGATGCGCATGAGAAGGCGCAGCTGAAGTTAGCTGGGAAGGATGAGTTGTGATGAGAGTGATGAGGATCCATAGATCATGATATAGATATACCCAAGTGCTTTCAATGCCGTTGTCACAGATGCCCTTTGTCCATGAGATTTGTTTTTTGTTTTTTGTAGTGTCGCAAGTGTGATACAACTTGCCTCGAGGTAAGCTACCTTATTTTCGGTTGAATGCGGGTTTGGTGGGTCCAGTACGACCAAGCCTTTGTCAATGACATTCAAACATACCCGGGTACAGATTACTTAGGATATGAATGCTAAAGTGATCGCTTGTATTGATAAGAAGCTCTACGCCATAACACTCACGAAGATCACAGCAAAGCGGAAGTGGAAGAGTAAAATGTACTTTTGGTATCTCTTCGTTGAATTCATTCCCATTTTGAGGCTCAAACTTTTTAGCGGACAACGATGTTGTATTGAACTATCATCGCCCAAACAACATGATAGCGGCCTTGCCTTGCTACCAAAACCATTTCCCGTTTCGCCTTGATGCCCGTTTGAATGCAAGAACCTCCCTAAGACAGCCCACAACCATACTCTCCCTTACTTCAGGGGGATGAAACGAGAAGAGTGCGTGGCACCGATACCGGGTCTTCCGTGCTTGACGGGGCGGCTGGTAGGCTGTTAGTGGTGTATCGAAAGGCAGTCGCTGCGTTGAAGCAGCGTATCCGGAGGGACACATACTAAGAGATGGAGAATTCAGCAAGGTAGTGACCAACCATCTCGGGCTTGATCTCGACGGTGTTGAACTCCTTGCCGGAGTAGATGCCAATGACTGAGCCGATCATCTCGGGGACGACAATCATGTCACGGAGGTGGGTCTTGACGAGGTCGGGCTTCTCGTTAGGCTTGGCCTCCTGCTTGGCCTTGCGGAGCTTCTTGATCAAGCCCATGGGGCGGCGCTTGAGGCCGCGGTTGATGCGCCGGCGGGCACGGGCGTGGACGACATCGCGGAGCTGCTCAGAGTCGAGGTCAAGGAGACTATGGGCGAGAACTCATGTTAGCATGAACAGTTCGTCTCATATATTGCGGTTGTGATTGATCCTGTCGTCCTCGGATCGTAGGAGTAGGTGGGGAGGGGGTAGTGTGATGAAATCATCGTGGTGTTCGGCAATCGTGGGGTGCGACGTGTGTTTGGTGGTGGGTTATGGGCAAACGTACGCCTCGAGGTCGATTCCGCGGTACTGGAACTTGCGGAACGCTCTTCTCTTCTTGAGCTCAGCAGCCTCCTCGGCGTTCTGTATGCGTCCATCCAGTCAGCCAAAAACTGTTCTGTTCCATGATGTGTAGCCCAGGCCACCACGAAAAGTCCTCCCCATTTTTTGTCGCTAGCGTGTGTCCATCGGAATTGCTTTATTCTTCCATCGCTCAGGGTAACAGGAATAGATTCGCACGTACGTATTCGGGGTCGTCAGCCATCTTTGCGGTTGTGAGTTGTCAGGGAATTCGCTTTCGATGCGGTCTATCGAAGGCGAATAAGCTGAATTGCCGGTGGTGTCGAAGTTTTGGAAAGGGTGCTGGGGCTGCAGTCGCTTGGAGGTTTCGCTTCTCTGCGAATCAATCGCCCCACTCGCACTTTTTGGTAGGGTTCGGTTGCCCTCCTACCGCGTCATGTGATTTTGAGTGGAATTCGCTTGAGGAGGCCGGTGGCGCTCGGACCAGCAGTCAACAGTTCTTCCTCCGGGCGCCGACCGGACTTTTTGCTCCATATAGAGGCCGGTATCTTCCTTGTCATCTCCTCTTTTGCGGTACCGGATCGCCGGCGAAGTATTTTGACGAGCATAGGAAAAAGTCAAAAGGAGATGAAGAGATGAAACTAAAGAAGAAAACATGCAAAGCGATGCTCTACACGGCATCTTCTCAGACACACATACGAGGGAGCTTCAACGACCCAAAGGTGGTCATTAAAGGTGTGATGAAGTTGGATATGTAGGCAACCGTCGACATTTGACGCCATATCTTATGTGCTGTACCTCCAGTCTAAGGCTATTAATTTTTACGCGTCCACGCTGTTGAATTAGAATGACCACGGATAAATCAAGGAAGCCCATGCTAGGCCAAAAAATTTCTCCATCAAATTACAAGCCCGGGGCACAAGCACGGCGGATTTCTCTGCTGTCGAGCAACAGGTATGTGGTCGGGCAGCCATTGGGAAGGAAGCCGAAAGGACCTAGGTCAAGCAAAGTAGAAGAAAACATTTCAGGATGCAAGAAACTTCAGCTCAGTCTAAATATTCAAGAGCATTGAATATCATCACGTCGGCACATAGTATAAAAGTTGAGACAAAAGAAAAATGTATTTGTATATCTCAACGTCGACCCTCATAGATCTATTATCATGCAAAACCCAAGACTCCAGTGCTATGCATGTAAATGCCCATATTCTCTATACCATTCCCGTTCCGTCCCATTCCATTCATGAAAAGCTTAGGCGGAACCGTTAATGCCGTTAGCCTTCTTGTGCTCCTCGCTGAACTCGTAGGTGTTGTAGCCGTCGTTGCTCTTCTTCTTGTAGAACGTGGTGCGGTCGTAGGGGGTGAGGGCGACGTTGTTCTTGACGCGGAAGACAAGATCCGGGTTGGAGATGAAGTAGCGGCCAAAGGCGACAGCGACGTCCCACTTGGCGTAGCGCTCGTCGACGGCCCAGCGGGCGCTGTCGCCAAGGTAGCCACCGGCGACGACGACGGGGGACAGGTTGTCCCACTCCTCGAGGATGAAGTCGAGGGTTTGGGGCCGCGCCTCGTCGAACGGCTGGACGTCGTCGGTGACCTGGCGGGGCGCGATGCCCAGGTGGACGGGGTTGCCGACAGCCTCGACGAGGGAGAGGTAGGCGAGCTTGTAGCCGGCCTTCTTGATCTCGCGGACGATGTACGAGGTCTGCTCCCAGGTGTCGGTGGAGTAGGACTCCTGGAAGGTGGCGAAGGGGCTCAGGCGGAGAGCAACGCGCTCAGCGCCGACCTCCTCGACGACGGCCTTGATGATCTCAAGCAGGAAACGGGCGCGGTTCTCGACGGAGCCGCCCCACTTGTCGGTGCGCTTATTGACCGAGTCGCGAGTGAACTGGTCGACGAGGTAGCCGTGGGCGCCGTGGATCTCGACGCCGTCACCGCCGGCGGCGATGACGTTGCGGGCGGCGACACGCCAGTTGTTGATCTTCTCCCAGATCTCCTCCTCGGTGAGAGCGTCGGGCTTGTAGGGGCGGCCGGTCATCTGGACGTCGGAAGAGGAGCCGTACTTGAAGCCGCGGCCCTTGACGAACTCGGGGTCAGCGGCGCGGCCGAGGGACCAGAGCTGCTGGAAGACGTAGCTGCCATTGGCGTGGATGCCGTTAAAGACATTCTTCCAGGCGGCGATCTGGGCCGGGGTGGAGAAGTCGGGGAGGTCGAGGTCGCCGACGTCGGCTGGGGAGACGGCGGTGGCCTCAGTGATGATGAGGGTTCCCGGGGTCGAGGCGCGGTCGGCGTAGTACTGGGAGACAAGGGGCAGGGGAACGGAATCGTCGTCGGCGCGGTAGCGAGTAAGGGGAGCCATGACGATGCGGTGGCCAAGGTCCATCTTGCCGGCCTTGAGAGGCTGGAAGAGCTTAGTGTTCTGGGCGGCCATTGTGATTGTTTGGAAAGAGACGTTGGAAGTTGAAGGGTATCTAGAAATGCGATTTGAACGGAAATTGAGAGCTATGAGATGTTGTTTGTCAGAGGTGTCAAATAGCATATGGTTATGAGATATTCTTCTTCACTTGAATGGAGGGGATCTCGAGGGTATTTGTATGTCCAAAGACCTTGGTGTAAGTCGATCGACCAAGAGCCCACCGCGGCATCGTCGTGGAATCATCTGGAGAGTCCCACTAGGGACCTGAGAAGTCCTCAGCCGCCCCCCACAACCAGATCTGCCTGCAATGAGTGCTGTGTTCCATTGGGTGAAGGACTTTTCCTTTGGCCCTGGCCGGCTTAGAAATGACTTCCCCTCCGTCGTACACGGCGACAACTCGGCGGGTGGGCCCGACGCCTTACCGTCCATTTCTCAGCGAGCCCCAGGTCCGCTCAGTCTCCGATCGGTGAAACCGAAGCCGAGTCTGGTGCTTCTGCTTGTGCTGCTCCATAAGGGAGGGACAGGGGTGGGTTGGGTGACAGCCACACCGTTCTGAAGAATCTGAGACTGTGAGGCGCTACACGTGGATTTGTTCTCGAACGAACCCATGTACGATGACTACCTACTGTAGAAGAACTGCGGCTCCGCAACGGAACGGGTCCATATGGGCAAAGATGGTGATAAGAGAGAACCTGGAAAGCGACGAATTAGTGTAAGATGGCGGACCAGGCCCGAGATTGCTAAAAGCTGGTTGGGTGTCCGAGCTCTCCTAGAGTGGGAGCCACGTCGGCAGACGAAGTTTTCAAGCTTTGCTTAGAAATCGGATAGTACGATGAACAGCAGAGTGCCAGAGACTGCGAGGCAACGAAGACGGGGCACATGGGTTTAGGTGGGGGTTTTGACAGATTGTAACTTGTTGTCGCGCAACCAGGGGGGGATGGCAGGGAGTGCAAGGGGGTACGGTCACGTTAGAGATAGCCAACAACAGGTTCAGGGTCCAATAGCGATGCATGAATTCGCCATTCAGTATTCTGAGGCCTAGACATGACCAGGAACAGTCAACTTTAAGGTCGGAGGAAAGTTCTGACATGCTGAGAAATGCCATGAGGAGCGGAGACAGCCCCGGGGCCGACAGTCGCCCCACCATGAATGTCCTTCGTGACTGGTCAAGCTGGTCTGCCGCTCTTGGGATTTCGCCGGGAACAAACCCAACCCGAACAACGCCAAGTTCATCCAGAACCCGCGGGGACTTGGTGTAGAATGGGATAAAACCTGTCCTTGTCGTACATACTTTGCTGATGATTGACCCTTGAGATTATCTTAGAGGCCTACGGTCTACCTTAGGCCATTGCACATGTCATGTAATCTCACAGCATGGAAGGACCAAAATGCCGATGGATGGCTGAGTGACCAGAGCTGCGGGGTAATTTGCTGCCCCGGTATGCAAAACGGCACGTCAGCAATGGGCAGACAATCTTTTGGATTCATAATCTTCCACGAGAGAAGTCTTCTTGCATGAGATTCTCGGCCTTGTTTTTTTTTTGTTTTCCCCCCACCCTCTTCTCACTGCCGGCCTATCTTAAGATCTGGCATCTTGGTTGTCGGCGATTAGTCTCATTGTGGCGTTCGTTATCTCCTAGATCATCCAAGCAGGGTCTATGTACGGGTAAATCAGCCACGTCAGTGACGCCACGCCGCTTGCGACCCGCCCGCTGCGAACTACATCCCTGCGTCGGCATTCTGCAGCAAACAGGGGGGCGAAGCAGTGACTTCGTGTTGCTTCCTGCAACGTCCGACCCGCCTGTCTTTGTAGCTTTCATATGACGAATGAGTCTCGAGATGGCTTCATTCCCAGGCTCATCACCCAATACCCCCCAATGTCTTTGAAGGAAGCTAGATTCTGCTGCTGTGTATCTCTGGATATACTTCAGTCAGACTGTACCAAGAAACCCAAACTGATTGAGTGGCACGATTGAACAAAATACTTACACTTGCCTCCTAAATCCCCCAAAGACTTCATATTAAAGAGATCCAATGCCATGCTCCTCCCACTCCGCCGTCTAAGGCGACTCTCCCCTCGCACCATGTTCCTCACACTACTCACCCTCGAAACCTACTTCACAGTCCACAACCGCCCCTTCACGAAACAAACCAACCCCTCATCCTCCTCCTCCTCCTCCCCCCTCCCCGCGCGGCACCCAGGCAATGAAACTTTTTTCATAGCAAGCATCCACCGCAACAGCGGATCCCTACTATCATCCTCCTGGTCCGACTCCATGCTGCAGCTGATCGAGTACCTACATTGGCGGGTCCGAAGGCCGCGTCCACTTCTCCGCCGTCGAATCCGGCTCCCGCGACGGCACAAAGTACCAGCTGTCCACTCTGCAGCGGAAACTCGAGGCCCGCGGCGTCGGCACTATTGTCGTCCTGGGCAAGTCGGCGCAGGAGCAGCAGGACGAACTCAACGCCAGGCCAACGGCTACGGGGTCCCGTCCACCGGGGTGGGTATGGAACGAAGGCGATGCCCAATTCGACATGCGTCGCGTATCCCACCTCGCACGCGACGCACGCGAGCGCAACCTCGCCATGGACCCGCTCGAAACCCTTCAAAAGAAGCAAGACGAAGGCTAAGGCAAAACCTTTGACAAGATCCTCTGGTTCAATGACATCATCTTCGACACCCCCGACGTCGCCCACTTCCTGCACACCCGCGGATGCGACTTCGACGCCGCATGCGCAATGGATTTTAATCCTGTACCCGTACTACTATGACACTTCTGCCCTCCGTGACGACGTCGGCATGAAGACGGCGTCGTGGTATTGGCCGTGGTTCCACAGCCCCCGCGCCCGGGCGTCTGCGGCCGCGCTGGAGCCCGTCGAGGTGAAGTCTTGTTGGAAAGGGCTCGTCGCCTTTGACGCCGCGCCGTATTACGGTGATACCGCGACGCGGTTGCGCTTCCGCGTCGTTGCACGTCAAAGGATCCGAGTGTTGTCTCATTCACGCGGATAACAGGCTCGGCCGCGAAAAGGGGGTCTGGCTGAACCCAAACGTCCGCGTCGGGTATAACGTGCCCGTGTACGAGCAAATGAAGGCAGAGAGGTTTCCCACGGCCTGGGCTGCACTGGTGGGTTCGTGGGCGAACCGTTATCTGAGGGTACGGAACAGCGTGCAGCTGGCGTTTGAGAAGCGGATGATGGACGAGATGCTGAAGAGGTGGTCCGACGAGACGCCGTCCGGAGAGTTGCGGCGTCGCGAGCCGGGCGAGATGTGTCTCAACAACGAGATGCAAATTTTGTGGAAGAACAAATGGAAGCACATATGAACATGTCAGGGTTGAATCGGAGATAGTTGATTCACAGTCACAGTGAGTGTGTGAGTAGAAGACTGGTCTATGATGCCATGTCACTATGCCGTCACGATCCTACTAGAAATCTCCGAAATGTGTCTCGCAATCCATCCGACTTGTTTAATAAAAATCCCAAACCCGAATATCCCACCACCAACGCCAATCATCTGATAGTATACGCCGTCCAAGCCGCAAAACCCCATGAAAGCGCCGTCTATTTATTGTGCCAGATGAAGTTCCGCAGTGAGTCCCACTCGCTACTCTGCTGATAAATATACGTCATGCTACTGCGCAAGCTGGGCTGCAGCTCCTGCGGCTGCCAGCGGAACAGGTACATGACCAAGGCCCAACTCGTGCTGGCAAAGACGGGCCACGCGTAATAGCTAATTTTTGTGGACACGTCCTCGCGGCTGACGACGGGTAGCCCTTTACCGGGGGCGACGGCGAGGCGGGCGAGCGCCAGGACGACGCGCGCAAAGACGTAGATGACAATCTGCTGGTTCACGCTCGAGATCTTGCCGCTGCGGGGGGAGCGGCCGCCAAAGACGATGTAGCCGCCCAGCAGGCCGGCGAAGAAGGAGTCGTAGGGGCCTTCCTTGCCCGGGCTGGGGCCGTAGTTTTTGAGGAGGTACATTGTGAGCTTGTAGATTGTCGCGAACTTTGCGAGGTTGCGGGCGTGGGTTCGAGTCGCTCGGAAGACGAGGCCTGCTTTTTGGCGTAGTCTTGCGAGGAGAATTATGTTAGTGAAGGGGATGAGCTCGGGAGGTGGGAGGGTGGACGTACGTTCCCGAACGGAAGAGGAATATCATGCTGATGGGAACCGAAAGGTTAGCGTATGGTTTGACGAAGGGTATGGAAGTCGAGGCGCAACGTACACAAGGGCATGAGGAAAGCGGACTTTTGCACCGTAGACGGCACCATTGCGGGCGCCCTTGACGACGGCGAGGATGTCGTGGTACTTGGGGTCGAGGATGATGCGCTCGATTGCGGCCTGTAGATGCGCATTAGTCCACGCCTCTATGATGAAATTCGGATCGCCAAAAGCTCTACCTTGAGGCCATCGAAGGCTGCGAGCGACATGTTGGCGAAGTCGTTGATGTGTGCGTTTGTGTGGCAGTGGCTAGCCTCGGCAATTCGTTCGCTCCCAAGTGACGACGGATGCGACAATGGAGTCGCTCTCGATTGACAAACTTTTGCTCAGTGCATGGAGGTCGCGATCGTTCGGAAGTGGCAGTAAATGAGCGACAAGGGCGATGCGTCGACGGGGAATTTGGAGTTTCGGACCGGAGGTAAGGGGAACGGAGGTGTGTGAAGTTGAGACGGACAGGTAGTGGTGGTGGTTGATGGCGGTGGATGGATGACCTTGCGGCAGGGAGTGGATAGTACGCCCGGTACCTCGGCCCCAGGACCTGTCCACGGATGGATTCTGGACGGGTTCGGCTCTGAGCGAGTCACACTGGAGACAGCCTATTGCCAGCCCCCGGTTCCCCCACATGCCCCTATGACGCAGGGCCGGCGCGCCGCTAAGCCTTCCAGGGATTCGCCCGTCTGGGGAAAAGGCCTGGGTTGGGGGGTTTTTGGCATGTGAAGACCGATGCAAATTGTAACAGGACAACCTTTGAATTGTGTTGGTCACCACCAGTCAACTCATATCTATTATAGACGATGAGACACTTGAACGAGTTTTTTGAGTTTTTTTTTAGTTTTTTTTAATAAAAATATACATGGATTCATTCAAAGAATGATATCGCTTTGGAATGGACTATGGTTCGTTCGTCTACAATGGCAGAGTTGAACAACCGCAAGAGTCAGTCAGTGTCTCAGGGCCTCCCACGTGCGACCAAATTCCATGTGAATCTGACTTGGCGCTGATACCCTGTAGCGGCACAAACATTCCTGCAAACCCATCTGTCTTTTTTCTTCACATGTGCTTGTGAGTTGCAACACCACTAGTAGTCCTCTCATCTCATCTCAATGTCAACTTTCTCAAAGCTCCACCGCCAAACCTTCAAATTTTACCGTCATGTAGCTGTAAAAACTGAAATTCCCAATACAGCGATGCTATGGAATCTTAGTTTGATAAGACTCAATCGTAGACATACAGAGTACGCGTATACCATTCAGTCAATATTCATGTTGTTGACGACATGGACGTCTTCAATACACGCTCAGTTCTTGGGCTCACAGACTGCTATAAACGGCGACGTTACCCCTAAAGAAGTCAGCATTACTCCCAAGCGCACAAAACACAGAGACAGACAGAGAAACAGAACGATACTCACCACCAAAGAACAACCTCCCCGTCTTGGCATCGTGCACAACTGTAGTAGACCCCGGCAGCACCTCTCCAAGACCATCCTCAATAATCTTCTCCCACACGTAATCACCCTCGGCCTCCTTGCGGATACGCACCGCCGCGCTCTTGGGCCTCACGTTCAGCGGGTCCTTGCCCGCTAGGAGGATCTCGATGCCCCGCGGGAACACCGCGGCGAAGATGTCACCCTTGCTATCCACGGACAAGTTGTCGATGGCGTAGGGCACTGGAATATCGGCCACCTTTTTCAACCCGTCGTCTTTCGGAAGGACTTCGAAGACTTGCACGCCGCCTGCCAAGGAGCTCGGGACGTAGATGAAGGCGTCGCGGCCGCGGACCAGGCCGTTGGGCATTCTGTGACGCTCCGAGATGCGCTTGCATCCCGATGAGGCGGAGCAGAAGGAAACATCGCCGTCACCCATCAAGGGACCGATAAAGAATTGCTATGGTGGCATCAACAAACATGAATTGTTTTCGATGGTAGCAGTTTTGGTGCTCACCAGTCCGACTTTGTGAGGGCCATTAGCATTTGTAAAGTAAAATGCTTCGCTAGACAAGGCGGCGATGTTATTCGGGGTCGAAATGTTAGCGCTGGCAAAGGTACGGACGTGCTTCATTCCCATAGCCCGAGGACCGGTCTCAAAGATCTCAATTGTCGAGTTGGCGCCCACACTCTTCTGATCGAGGAGATCGCCGGTGACGGGATCAACGGATGGGCGGTTGTTAACCAAGAAAAGCTCGACCCTGTCGCCTTGCGGTGCGTCAATGCCCGTCAGCCCGACGAGCTGAAGCAGCCCGTCGCCGGCGGTGCCCGTAAAACCCGGCGTCTCGAGAACGCGGTACTCGAACGCGTCGCCCTTGGGGCTGTCAATGTCCAATGCGACGATGGCGTCCTGCTTGGAGCGGCCCGAAGCGTTCATGTGTTGAGCGCTAGAGACCGACAGGGGTTAGTCTCCGGATCACCCCGAGCCCGAGAACGAGAGCGGGGCGAAAGGACGGGGCGGGAGCGGGAGCCGGGGCGGTAGGGGAGGCCCGAAGCACGTACTTGGGCATCCATTGCTGGCGGGCGAGGGGGTCGGAGCATGCGAGGAAGAGCTGGCGCGTGGCCTCGGACAGCCACATGTCCTCGCATGCCTGCAGTCTAGGTTCCTCGATGCGGCGACATGAGTAGGGGAAATCGGATAGAGGCTGGAACGTCTTGCCGATGCCTAAGCCCAGCCAGATCGGGTCCTTGAGGATGAGCTGCAAGGCCACGCCGAGTATCACGGCGAAAATGATGCTAGTTTGTAGAATGAAGCCCATGGTTGACAGGTTGGGTATGAGGTCAGAACAATGTTTGTCGGATTCGAAAATCTACAGCAACAAGGTTTGCTCCAGCTTTATAGTTGCGGGAAATAAAGCAAGTAGGGATCTTTCCTAAAGCGAATTCAACGCATGGCATCAGATCCTTCGGCCGCTACCGCGAAGGGTTATCCACTGCTAGGAAGTAAGCTCACTAGCGCTTGTCAGAACTAGCTTGGGATACTGCGCTCCGTTGATTTGCTTGAGAAGGCCAGTGGAATTTCTGAAAAGGATACCAATACACAAACTAATTGTTTCTGGGAGCCTTTTGTGAAAGGTTGCTTTCTGTAAGGTGCAACATCCATCCGACCATCATCGTTCACGCTGGATTACAGTGGGGTCAACCGACCGCTACTCCGTGTCCGTCGGGTCAGTGCACCGCCGAAGCCCACTACCTAAGGTAGTACCTACCTCAAGTCTCTGAGGTACCAAGACTCCGGTCTTACTTTTCAGCCGGCCGATGCCACATCGGAGGGTTCAATTGGACCGTTCCTGCTTCCGCATCGTCTGATCTCTCACCTGCCTTATCTCGATGCTTAATTACGTCAGTAACGAGACGAACTGCCTATGGAAGGAGACACAGGTTGCTGCACTGCTTCTCAGGCAGCTGGTTGCCTACTCCTACCATTGTTGTCAAACCTCGTTATTTTCTCCTTTGCCAAATTGCAAGTCACAATTTGCGTTTACAGACCGTCATTCTCTCCTTCTTCTTCTCTACCTATGTCTCTCCCTCTCGGATCTCCTTCCCCTCTTGTCAATAAACATCCCGTCATTGGCCGTTCACTCTGCCTTGTCTGCAGTCTCCTCCCAAAGTATGCCGCAGCCTACTTCATCATAGGCTGAACATCCAATGGGGTGGTCAGCATCGCGTCACACGACACCATTTATTGCTTGAATGGCTCAAGTGAGGCTGAAGTATTGACCCTTCCGCGCCCAGCCTGGCCCAGGTGCTGATCAATGAATCTCCTCCCCAGTTCAGGTTTGCAAGTCATGCTTATTATGCGCGTTCTCCCGTTGTCTCGTCTTAATGTATGTCTCTCTTCAATTTGACTACGGACAGCCAGCGAGCTGATGCGACCGGCTTTGAGCAATGAACCGATTTCTCGTGTTTCTGCTACTCTATGCGACGACAGCTCGATCGGCAGACAACCTTCACAATGTCACGAAGAAGTCGGATGTCTTCTGGCAGCTCGCCGAATTAGATGCTCGTGCCCCCCAAAAATTAGGCAACGTCTACTTGGGTAGTCAAAACTACACATGGTGCTGTCTTAAAGCCATCGAAATTGGGTTGCGCCTTCTTGATAACGGCACCTTGATCATTGCCAACAACTCGATCACCAACATTAGCGCATTTACAACCGGTGACCTTCGAGACGCCGCCCTCCGAAGTCAGTTTCCCTGCGATGCCAAGTACAATGATGTAGGTTTTGAAAAAGTCTTCTTTCGCAGGAGTGTAAAGGCTCACTGGAAATCCAGGCGCATCTTGGTGGCGCGCCTGAGGTGCAAGTCCAATATAGGTGGTTCATCGACAACTGTCCGGGCTGGTCTCTCAGCGACAAATCTAATTTGAATGCTTGGCTTCATTCTCTCTCAGGTTTCTTACTACCAGCTGTTGTGTTCTGCATGTCAGTGCCCAGACGGCGGAAACTCCATGTTTATCGGTACGCTGGCCTGGAGACATCTCTGTTTGTCTCATATCAGCTCTCCTAACCAGCTCTAACGTCACCTCAGCTCCTTGTTCGTAGCAGACCTTGCGGGGATCAAAAGCATCATTCCAGCAATCCTCGGCGCTATCGGTGCAGGTTTGATTGTTACAGTCGACACAATTATTTGGCTGTCCATCTGCTTCGCCTTCGCCGGTCCCATGATTCTCAGTGGGCTCTACGAGGCATTGCTAGATAACCGAGTTCTCGAGTTCCTCAGAGACAAGATTCAGAACAAACGCTTGACGCTCGATATGCGCTGCCGGTGTCTCATGCTGATACTGATCGGGAACCTTGATCTCGCTCTAGACCGCGAGACTCTCAGATGGGGGAGACAAGCATCAATTTCCACCGCATCAGCAGCACCTGTCGAAAAGGGGCAAACGCCACAAGAAGGTCAAAACGCACAAGTGGAAGGAGTTTCACCACCCATGCCTCACAAATGGCGTTCGGCCGACGATAGGAATGTGCCACTTGGATCCCTGGCTCCTCAGGAAGAAGCTTTTGGCAGCCGTGTCACCCGTTCCTCCCATGACAGAACTCCGTTACCAATCGTCGCAAACTCAACGTCTGCGGATATGGAGCTGGTAGATCAGAACAGTAGACGGCACCCTTCCGTTCAACAGCCAAACGCGAATAACGCTTCCTCGACGCAAGCGTTTCCACGCCACTCCACCGGTCACTTGACGGCATCTCCTTGGCGTCACATGGAGACTATGCTCTACGACCTACGGCTTTACGATGACGACAACATTTCTAGGAGTCAGTCTCCGCGTCAGTGGGCCAGACATAGTTGTCGAGATCGCGACTGTGGCCTGCGTAAACACAGCCAAGAGCCATTGCCCCGGTCACGGGAGACCGAACGTTGTACTATAAGGACAAAGACCCGACTACGCACCATGTTACACTGCCAGTATTCGTTCGGGTCCATTGTTGGAGCACCGGTAATGTTGGTTTCACATTTGATTAACAGCGAGGTTGCCTATTGTTGCTGATCTATTCAGATTCTTCCTCGGGGGCTTCATCTTCTCATTCCTGACGAGCCTTGACGAACTTGGAGATGAAAATATCGCGTAAGCCACAGTTCTATCTTCGCACAAAACGTGAAGAAACTAAAGAAATACTGCAGGGAATCCATTGCATTTGGGTCATGGTACATGGTCAATGCAACCACCTCCTGGTCAATGTTTGTTGACTAACTTGATCTAGATCATTCCTCACATCGCCATCATCTCCGGTCTGCTACTTGCTGGAAATAACCCCAATATTCTTGAGGGAGTTCTGGCAACAGAGCGCGACCCGAAAGACCCGGAAGACCCGACTTATGTCTTCGGCTTCTTGCGCTTTGATCTTGTCTATCCAAGTTGCTACAAGGTGGCCTGGCAATGGCTGCGCGGCCATACCAAGAAACAGTGGATTGAGCAGCTTCTTACCGTCTATAGCAGAAGAACAGATGTCGAATATCTGGGCCATGAGGATAACGACGGCGATATGAAAGATCTACGGTCCAGGACCACTTTGTCGCTCCTCGACTGGTCCGTCCTGCTCTTTCTCACGTTACTGCTCGTCGGTGTCCCCTATTTGTTCGCATTCATGCTGGCATTCTTCACACCTCAGATTGGGCTGTCCTGTCGCTCCCTGACGTTTCTGGTCTACTTTGGTCTCCAGCTGGCACAAATTGGTCTCTGGCTTTGGGCTTATATCGGTCCTCCAGGCCACGTCACCAACCCCAACCGGCGCATCAGAGCACTAGATATGTTTAGAAAGGGAGGATGGCTCGAAAGACAGAACTTTTATGACCCTTCTAGGGCTCCATGGCATGAAAACACACACTCGAACAGTACCAAGGTTACTGACTTCCTGGTCCATATCAGCAGACCAAGATCATGGACTTTACACACATTTTGGTTCTCGCTGTACTACTCACTGCAAATGATTTTCGGATTGGGTGCAGTTTTCGTCAGCCTGGGGGACACTTTGATGCAAATCATCGGCGTGTACCGCACGAACATGTGCTTCATCAACGCACATGATTGGTTAGAGCCGGACGACAGACGACCCCCGGTTGTGTTGTCAGTAAACAGTCGGGAGATGATTAACTCTGCAACAAGTAAGTCACCTACTCTGTTTTAATATTACTTGAACGCCTCGTCAGTTATCGGGAGATCATGGTTGACCAGTAGTAGAGTACTGGAAGCCAGTCGCCATCGCCGCGATAGCGTTTATGGCGGTTGTGAGCTTCGTAGGCTGGTGGTACCAGCGACGTATGCGCGATGTGTTCGGGCAATGTGAGCATATCAAGATGTGACGTCTGTTTGGACATGGGTTTTTGTTGACACAGAGACAGTGGTTAAGAGGATTGACGAGGCTGAGTTCGAACGCGAGTGGCCAGTCCGTCCCAGACCCGCTCAAGCAACCATGACAAATGGTGCCGTCGACGGACAGCAAAGCTAATCATGTCGACAAAACCATTTATCAAAGTGGCTGTGTCCAGCGAGCGGCAGCATAGCTTACGTTCCAAGAGTTCTCGTGCCATATGGCCAGCATTGTAAGCTGCTGTCGTTCTCAAGTACTTCACCCAAAATCTCTGAGAGCGTAGGTATAACATTGGGGCTCTAATTCGATCACTTGTCATATGGAGTGCCAGGTCGATGTTAGATTCAGCCGCCTGTATTGCAAGGTCGTGTTTGATGAGGGGGATTCCGACACAGAGGACAAGTCCGTCGCTCATTACGAGCCACATAGAGTCGTTGCAAGTCTTCTGTTCGCAAAACCAACGTTATGTTTCTCAACTACCAAGCGCTGATTACTATGAAAACTGTTGGCGGTACCATGAGACATTTTTCACGATGGACCTGACCAGAAACAAGCTGTCTAATGGTTCCATTGCCCATCACAATCAACCGCGCAGATATGTTGCATTACGTTGATAGGTACCTTATCCACTACCAGCAACAGCCGTCCTTTGGTGACAAACGCACGCGTATGCTAGAGACCCAACTGTCAATTCATGTGAGGTGAATTCAGGTATAAGGCGAGTACGGGAGCAACCGCCACTAGATAGAAGCCATTCAGAGGACCAAAAAATTGAAGTTGTGAACATTGGCGCCAGTTTTCGACTGTTGGTACCTGGGCATTGGTTCATGTGGGCCAAGAAGTCATTTCAAAGTTGTCAGCCTGCGGCTCCTGGGGTCCCTGGTTTCACTTGTACACAAGATAGGGGGTCCTTGGAGCCGCATGAGGAATCGATATTCTGACAGGATGAACCGGATGGCTTATTGGAAGAGCTCTACGAATACACCCCTTTCTGCAGGGGAAGCCAAGATTCCATGTGGGCGAAGGATTGAAGGACAGGAACTCAGCCGGCACATTTCCTGGCGCTGTACTCGAGGGAGGGTGTCGGTGCTGTAAGTCAGTTGTACGAGTTAGTGAACTAGATGTGGGAAGGGGGGGGCTTCGGCAGTTGGATTTGTCAAGCTTTGTTGTTCTACTGTTTGGAGCTGTGTAGGAATGGTTTATCGTAGGAATAATATGATGACGCTTGTGATGAAAACGTGCGAGATGTTGGTATGTAATTGGGCACATTCTGTATAAAATGTCAAACCACCGCAAGAAGGTGACGTTTTGAAACGATCTGCGCCGACTAATTCCCGGTTAAAAATATACCAAGGTTGTTTATTCACATCGATAAATAGAAGTGAAGGAGTTAAAAAGGTTGCGAGAGGAGATAGAATTAGCCGAGCTAGGCAGTTATAATTGACTTAAGTTGGTATGGCGATTTGCATGCCAAAAAAATCATCGCTCGTTGTTCCACGAGGTGCGCGCATAATCAAGAGTAGTCGCGTAAGCCTGCCGCTATGATCCTTGGGAAGTCTTGCTAGTTGCAGAACTTCTGATCGCTGACGGCAGAGTTTGAACGTGATGAACTTGTGTTGGAAGCAAGAGATGTCACGCGGTCCAAGTGAAGTTTTGATAGTTGCAAGCTTGCATGGGGCATTGAAAACGCAGGATTGTGGTTGAGGTTGGGAAAGAGGAACGAATGAGCTTCCATGGGTTGACAGATGGGACCAGCTGGGGAATGGAAAGAAGCTGCGGGGTGATAAGATTGGATACCTATTCTGGTGCCGATAACGATAAGCAATTTTTTTGACGGCTGCTTCAACTTTACCGCAGACTGAGATCAGTTCGCATCCCAGCCACTTGCACCAAACCCGACGGACGACAGATCGACCACCGACACAATGCTTCGTCAAATGTGAGTCGCGACAATCGCGCAACACAGGAATTCCGGCAAGGCGCTAATAATTTTCAAACAGAAAACCCCGTAATGCTCGCTCTAAGCGTGCCCTCGAGAAGCGCGAACCCAAGGCCCAGTATGTTCCGCCATCTCGACGAATGACTTTTTTCTTCGCAACAATCGCAAGCTAATTTTGCAACTTCCCCCCGAAACAGAGAAAATCCCAAGACGGCGCTGTTCCTCCGCGGAAGCTCATGCTCGCAAGTGACACAAGATGCCATCAACGAGCTCTACCAGATGCGCCAGCCGCTCGCTAAACGCTTCGTGAAGAAGAACGACATCCACCCCTTTGACAACGCCGACTCGCTCGAGTTCTTCTCAGAAAAGAACGACGCCTCCATCCTCGTCTTCGGCCACACCTCCAAGAAGCGGCCCCATGCCCTCACCCTCGTCCGCACCTTTAGCTACAAGGTCTTTGACATGCTCGAGCTTTACCTTGACCCGGATACCTTCCGCACCCTCGCCCAGTTCAAGGGAAAGAAGGTGCCCATCGGCCTCAAGCCTATGCTGACCTTTGCGGGAACCGCCTGGGACAGCCCCATTGCCAACGAGTACACCCACGCAAAGAGCTTCTTCGCCGACTTCTTCCGCGGCGAACCCACGGATAAGATCGACGTCGAGGGCCTGCAGTGGATCGTCTCCATCACCGCCGACGAGCCCTCGGACGACGCCGCTAAGCCTGCGATCCGCCTCCGCGCCTACACCATCAGCACCAAGCGTAGCGGCTCCAAGGTGCCCCGCGTCGAGGTGAACGAGATTGGGCCCCGGATGGACTTCCGCGTCGGCCGCATACGCGAGCCCGAGGAGGGCATGCTCAAGGAGGCCATGAAGAAGCCACGCGGCACCGAGGAGCGCACCAAGAAGAACATCACGACAGACGCCATGGGTGACAAGATGGGTCGCGTGCACGTTGGTCGCCAGGATTTGGGCGAGCTGCAGACGCGTAAGATGAAGGGTCTGAAGCGCAGCAGGGATGTGGCGAGCGGAGACGAGGGGGAGAAGGGCGATGCGGAGGAGAAGCCCAAGAAGGGTCGCAAGGAGTAAAAAAAGAACGAGGTGGTCAATATGCGCTTGATTCGGGTTACATGAATGAGAGACTGTGTGTATTGGAGGAACTTGATATACATATCCGAGTGGGAGGAGTCGACGCAGCGGAGGATCGACCACTCATCGGCGTTTTGTTTTTGGTCAGGAGGCACCCCACGGTTGGAGTTTTGAGCTTCTTTCAGCAGATGGTCGGCAGATTACAAAAGCAGGAACAAAGTCAAAAAGCATTTAAGGACCTCTATTTTTGTCTATGGATATCAGCGTTTTTTCCCAGGCGTGGGACCTCACAGGTCCAGCTCCAGATCCGAAACTCTCCAGACCAGACGCTCGCCGCTGGGGTCTCTTTTCCTCAGCAGCTCAATGGCCTTTTGCGCTCGCTCCAACATGGTGGCGCCCTCGACAATTTTTTGCTTATTGGGCTTAATGACACCTTGCTCCAAGAGCGTCGGCACAATTTCTCTCTGCATCTTCTCCTTGAAGAACTCATTCTGTTTGCCCAGGTGTCAGCTTTCTCGCATCCAATCAATAGCTTTCTTGCTCGATTGTGAAAAGGGAAATTAAAACTCACCGCCAGGTAAAAATGCGTCCTCACACCCCGGAGCTCGACGCCTTCAGCCCACTCCCCGACCAATACATTCTTCACCTCCATCTCATACTCGGGCTCGACCTCGTCCGTCGCATCTCGTACAATGACGGGCAGCATGACGGCTACCTTGGTCCCCTTACCCGCAATCTTGGTCAACGGCCTCAACGTGCCCTCGACGGACCCGATACAATCCAACACAAACGGCACGCCCCCCTCCCCAACAACACCCAGAATCTTATCCACAACGTCCTCATCCCGATAACTAAACGTCTTTTTCGCCCCAATCTCCCTCAAGTGCGCGTGGTGCTTCTCGCTCGCCACGGCTAGGATGTTACGATACCCCCAATACCGCAGCACCTGCACCGCATACGCCCCGACGCTGCTCGCGGCGCCCCAGACGAGCACCGCGCCATTTCTCGCCGCGGGAACCCACCCCTCGGGCCGCGGCCACGGCAGCTCGAGCCCCAGATCTGCCGTCACGGCGTGGAAGACGGTAATGAGGTTCGTCGGCACCGTTGCGGCCTCCTGCGGCGTCACGTTGGCAGGGAGCTTGGACACGAGGTACGCCGGCACCGTGGCAAAGTCCTGGTGCGCGCGCTCGCTAAAGTGGTGGAAGGCGAAGGTGAAGATCTTGTCCCCCGGTTGCAGCCTGTCGGCGTCGGCGCCGGGGCCTACGGCTACCACGGTCCCTGCGGCGCCGCCGCCCATGACTTCTGGGTGGTTGCAGAGGAGACCGCCGTCGGCGCGGTGGAGGTCGAGCGGGCTCGAGGCCGTCCACTCGTTTAGGATGAGGACCTCTCCCGGGCCGGGGAGTTTGGTCTCGCGCTCGAGGAGGACGAGGGGGGCGCGCTTGGCGGGCGTCGCGACGGCCTTGTGGGTCTTTGGGATGGTCACCATTGTTTTGTTACTCCAGGTTGTTTACGAGAGAGAAAGAGAGATCTGTGTGATGAGAGAAGATGGAATGCTTTTGCGTATGAATGAGAATGACGTCGCCTCACAGATGAGAGTCTAGCCGCAGACAACACCGGCGCCCCCGAAAGAAGAGAAAACCTGGTCTATTTTGTACTTTGCATGTTTGCCTCGATTTCTCCCCCACTCCCACAGCTCTCAACGAAAACTATGATCATCGAACCAACAAAGCTCAGCTGCACCAAAGCAAATCACCACGGACGCGGATGCTGAATAAGCTTGCCGCAAGTAGTTCGGCCCCGTTTGCTGTTGATGTCGTGATTTCTAAGCCAGATGACTGGTGAGGGTTCACATGTGGGGTGATGACCAGCGAATGGCCGTTACTATTCCTGTCCCTTTCTTCGTCTGATCCAGGATCTGCTGACCGCCCCGAATGAGAGCCTCCTAAAAGGGAGACAACTGTTCCAGAATCTTTGGGTTATAATTGCGATGTGGTAATTGGAAATTAACAATTCAATACATGTTACGTCATAATAGCAACTATCAGCTTAATTAGTTGCTCGATTCAGACTACCTTGCCTCACCGCTTACAGTGTCGAAGGGGGCATTGAGTCCTCCACGAACCCGACGTAGAAAACGCCTTGCAAAAAAGCAACCGTTCAGCTAAGCTATGTCAAGTTCAACCAAAGTGCGAATATGCCTGGCTAAAAGCGTTGTGGCATGTAGCAGCAAATACTGTGCCGAACTCCCGACTGGCTTCCGGCACATCCCATGACCCCTGGTCCATGATCGATTTTCATAGTGTGCCCGTCACCTTCAGCATGAAAATGAGCAAAGCCTTTTCCTCTTGATTCAAGTTTGTGGAAAACTGCTGCTTGTACGAGACGGCTGGGGGTGGGGGGTTCCGCCGTTCGCCGTTGGCCGGGGCCGGTCGCTACGTCCGCCAGTCCCACTAAATCCGATCATCCGTCCATCGTCGGCCACAATGGGACCGGCCATTTCCCGGCTTATACCCGGTCCTCGTGTGCCGTGTTCTTTCGCCTGATCAGTATATTCTTTAAGCATGTGTGCAGATCAATGAGACGCTCTGTCACGCCTGATTGGACTATTTGGAGGTTGAGGCAATTGCTAGATTTTTAACTCAGCAGACCACCTCGCTGCCGTCAACTCCTTCTCTTTTTCATCAACATAAAGTGGAGAATGGCTTTCAAATTAGATGAGAGAGGAACTCGCGGTATTGTTCTGTCAAGGCTCGTATTCCATGCGGGACTGGCTGCAACTCTTCATCTACCATCAAAACCCCCTCGATTTCGAAAAAGGGTGGGGTGGTGCTGACCCAATCCTTGGAGTGTGGCAGCCCGTGAGAAGGTGTCTTGCTCCCCTATTTCCGGCGTCCCTAACCTAACCTAACCAGGCGAGACAGCCATTGGCGCCCCCGTTTTGAGCGGAACAAAGGCAACTGCCATCAGCTGGGGTCGCAAACCCACCTTTTCTCACGGCACCTCCCATATCCCAAGGTCCGTCTCTGCCGACACCAAATCACTCAGCGACAGCTTGCAGAAGAGGAAAACCACAGAGACGTGACCCAATGTTTTGTCGTTCCTCCCCATTGCACGCTGTAGAAGCATGGAAACTGAAAAAAATTACAAAATTCGTCGGACCAAGGAAAGTCCATCAGGGTTCCCCGTGGGGATTCCCCTTGAAGATCTAACTCCATCAAACGCCCGCGCCATTTGGTATATCCGCTCATAGCATCCATAAATCGCTTATCCGTTACAGCAAAGCTGTTTTCTTTGTGTTGTCTTCATCCCGGACATGGCAGATTGTTATCCCGAAAAATGGGCCGATCTTACATGCGCGAGGGCTGGTTGAGGACGTTGAAGCCCATGGGGCCGACGGGCACCGTCCTCCGGGTCTCGATGCCGTGCTCGAGGTCGTAGCGGTAGGTGGGCGGGTTTCCGACTTCGCGAAGGGCTCTCTTGACTCTTGATCTCAAGGAACGGCGCTCCTTGACGGGGGCTGTCACGACGGAGACTGACACTGGCGCGGATTCTTTTTCAAAGGATTCCTTCTCGAAAGAGTAGACGGTAGAGGTCTCGGAGAAGGTGGAGGGAGCGTATGAAGTCTTGCCCATGTTTGCGGTTTGGTTGGTTTGGATGGCAATGGTGTGGTTAAACGTGATTTTGGCGGTGGTGTTGTTATCGGAAGTAGGCTGACTGGGGAGGGTGTTGGTTGTGAATGTGGTGATGAGTAGGTAGGCTTTTGTAGTTTGTGTGGTGATCGATTGATGGCGATTGGTAGAAAGGCTGATTGATTGCTGACGCAGGCCAAGATAAAAAGATGGTAGGCTAGCTGGACGTCCATCCTCTTTATATGTTCCAAACGAGCGATGCACCGCCCCCAATGCCATGGCAGGCAATGTCACCGTATCCTGTAGGTATCCCTCCTAGGACTCCTTCTCCCCAAGCAAAAGCCGACGGCGTGATTTGGGGCCAAAAAAAAACGGGCGTAGAACAAGCATGTTCCTCCTTTCGGCATCCGTCCCATCCTATCCCATCCCATGATTCCCATCCCATCCAGTCCACGTATCGCATGCGCACGCGCAACTTGCACACGCATCACTCCAAATTCCGTCACTGGCAATAGGGAGAACCCCTCCCCTCCCGGTCCTTTCTTCCTCACACAACCTGTTCATACCTTCGCCATCCAACCAGGCCCCCGGAACGGATCTAGGGGGGATCCACACCATTGCGCAGCTTCCACGCCCAGGATGCCGGTGCCAGGAGCCAAACCAACAATTGGCTTGCGTGGGCGTGTGACGGGAAGCTTATCGAGCTTAACCTCTTTCGCCCCCTCGTTCAGGACTTTCCCCTCCCTTACGCCATATCCTACTGGGAATTTCAGCAAAACTAAGCCTTGAGAGGTAAGTAAGACTACCAGCAAGATATGGATAGGTATCCTATATCCGTATCCGTACTGGCAAGAAATTACGCCGGTTCGTGTCAGATTGTCAATGCGCCAAACCGCCCCCCTTCTCTAGCCTCGAAGCTTAGTCCTCCTAGCCGTCTCCTTGCGTTTTGCTTGCCTGGCATTTCGGCAGAGTCCTTCAAAGATTTCCCAATGTCCTTCGGCCATGAGTCACTTGGCAAGGCTCGAACATGCCTGCGTCCGCCTGCCCCGGCTTGCTTCGCCATCCTCCATCGCATGGGTCACAAGGCGTGCCTCGCTGCAGCAGCCTTTCATGCGACAGGGCGGCAAGTCGAATCAGTGAGGGGGGGATCTCATCCATGATTCATCCCATCTTCGCCAGAGGGAAAAAAAAGCTGACAGGCTCAAAGTTTCTTTTCTTCTCCTATTATTGCGAAACAAGCCACACTGGCATCTTGGCGAAGCCCGTCAACTCAGCCCCAAGCCCTCGGGGATGCACCATATTCACCACTATTGATTCTGGGCTGGCTTCATTCGCACTTCCTTGTGATATTCGCGCCCACCTTTCGCATCCACAGCTGCTTTAGAATTGCTGCGGGCACGGAATAGACTCAACGGCTCGTACTGAAATTGTGACTGCACAACGCAACTCTCTTACGACGTAAAAGCCATACATCCCGAACTAGAGATTTTTCCCCAGTTCCGCGGTAGCGGGTTCCACGGACCACGTACTCCGTACGTACAACAGACCGGGGAAGAGGGAGGGGAGGGAAGTTGTTGCTCTTCCGCCAACAGTCGACGCGCCCGCCCGGTACCCGGCACCGCTACCGCCAAAATAAGGCTCAGGTTCGAGGCCACCCTTGCCTGCCCAAACCAACAGGTACACCAAACACAACAGACACCACGGCAACTCTAGCGTAGGAATTTTCTCCTAGGACTCATAACTTTGTAAGACGGGAAGATGGAGCACCGTAGACTATGGATACCTTACGTAGTACAGCCAACGACAAGTCCCGCTGCAGGTGAGGTTTTGACCCGTGACGTTTACCGGCCGGCACCCCGGGACCAATCAGCCCTAATGCAGCAACGACGCAGCGTACGAGTACTTCAGGGGCCGGATGACTCCTTACCCACCCCAAGCGAGTTCGCCGGTTCTCCATAATTTCACAGTCTACGGATACAACGTCCGCTTCACATAGTCCTACATCCACGCACTCCACCGACATGGCCGTGGGAAAATCCTGCATTATTACCTGGTACACATGGTCCAAGGCACAGGCTCCAACGTCAGGGTCTCGTCATCGCATGGTAAAGAGCAAAATTCAATGAAAAATTTGCTTCAGCCGGATGAACGACATTTCCCAAGTCTGACAAACCCTCCCCTGTCCGCGCGACCCATCAAAACCCCTCCAGAGAAGAACGACAACCCTTCCAAGATTGTCATCGACCCGACGTCGTCGTCACACACGCGGCTCCGTGAGTCGTCGACACGCCAACACCCCCAGAAAAGCTTGTCTCCCGTGCCAATGTACGCCATTCCCGTGCCATCTCCCTCCCTCGGCGATCCCCCTACCGGCTTGGCTCCCGGGCGAGGCTGCCTAACCTGCCCGGCATGGGGTCGAGTTTTACTGAAACCCGTGCCTCCTCCGTAGGCGGCTACTGTACCATCGAGCACACTCCCATCATGCTCAACGTCGGGATGTAGCGGGGTGGCGCGGCCTTAGGCTTCCGAGACTTCTGCCCAATGAGCCCGTTCCTAAAGCTCAGGACTCACAGACAATTTCCATGCAAATGGCCTCTAGGAACTCGTCACAGTACGACCCAGAACGAATGCTTGACATTCCGAGTATCTCATTATCGAAGAAGTCCAAATTGGAAATCAAGTGAGTCACACTTACGAAAATAAGTACATTTAAATGCTTGACATTGTGGTGTGCGGATAGACACCTACATGGGAGCAGGACTGTTGCAGGCTACGGTAAGCGGCGCAGGTCCAACAGTTCCTTTCCATTTAGATGCGTGACTAGGACCTCCCTCCTAGGACTCGGCAATGGCAGCCACAATGATGCCAAACGTCTCTGATGACATTGTCCCGCCCCGGCAGGCTTCACTTGTTCTTGTTACTGTCCAACCAAGCACCGAAATCCTCCCTCTCTCTCTCTCTCGTCAATTTAGGGAACGCAAGCTCCAGTTTTCACCGGTCAGTGTGTACACTCTGGAGGCGTAGGAAGAAAAGTGGATATTAGAGAAGCTAGTCTAGGTTCCGTGATATGCTCCTTCGTCGCCTTCTCAGGTGGCTTACCTGAAGTAGATTGCGGATTGCCGCTGTATACCGGAATTCTTGAGAAATCGGGGGCTTCATCATGCCAGGATATCGAGAAAAAAGACAGGAGGAGTGGCCCTGAGATTCCCCTCCTCGCGGGCCGTGATTTACGCCGATATGACAGAGCATTACCATCGGCTCTCGCTACTCCTGCTGCAGACTCTACTTTCCATCACCCCATTACTTACAATCAACAAGTCAGGCATAGTAAAACACTGAGAACGAGGAGATGTAGACACAGATGGACCAGGGCCCGATGAGCTTCGAATTGAACTTCTGTAGGGTCATCATGCATTCATATCCTACGTCTAGTCTAACCTTATGAAATTTGCTCCTCGCCTCCTCCCTGTGCTGCAGAAATATCCTGCTCGACCTGCCCAGTAGGCTTCTCCTGTTCAGCCTCAAGCTCGACCTCGATCTCGCCCTTCTTCTCGTCTGCCGGACGCCAGACATCCCCTCTCATCAGGGTACACGCAGCGTCCAACATATGTCGGTGCTCGCACCCAATCTTCTCGTTAAAGGTTGACGCGACGCTCATCGTCAGCCCCGGAAGCACACTAGGGTCTCCCGCCTCCCAGCGGCGCATCTCGTCGTAGGTATCGTCCAGGAGCAGCCTTGCGTGGTGCTTCCCGTCGTCGTCGCCCCGCACCTTGGAGTAGAGGAAGAAGACACCGTGCCGGATAGTGTTCTCCGCCATACAGACGCCCATCTCGATGATTTCTGGCCTCCCCATCCCGCCGGTCGTTGGTGCCCTGTACCTCCGATACCCTTGACTAGCGAGATGCGCGAGGACTACTATGCCTGCGAGCTCTTCGACAGGTAGACTGCGGACGTGATTGATCTGGCGGAAGCGCACATCCTGGCGGTTGGACTCGTGGACCTCTTGAAGGGCCAGATGCCAGCCATCAGGGGGCGGAGCATCGTGGAGTATAATCTCTTGATGAATCAGAGACCTGATACAGGGGTCGCGGCAGGGGATAATGTCGTCCCTGTACCATATTGAATGTGTCTCCAAGTCTGCGATTGCGGAACATTGCCAAAGGGCTCTCTTCAGGTTCGACCGGATAGTGTTCGCCTTTGACATGTCCTGGAGTCCGTACTCTTCCCAGAAGGCTAAGTATGCGCCGTGAATAATCTCCTCAATGTGTTGATGCCGAGTCTCAAGTTCCTTGATGATTTCGAAAGTGTCCTTCGGTAGCACCTCTCGCTCGCGGGTATCGGAGGCGAGGATGTGGTTGCATGGTGCGTAGGGATAACGGGCGGCGTTGACCTTGGTTACAGTGTGTTGGTAGCTGTCCAGTAGAGCGCGGTTGCTCTTGCAGGTGGCTCGGAGAGCTTGGATCTGGGCAAAGTCTGCATGCTCTGCTACCAGGAGAAGAAGGTGTCCGGGTAAGAGTGAGGACATTATTCCAAAATGAAGATAGCGTTGAGGTGTTATAGGTGAATGTTCGAGTAGAGGTTGTCCACAGGGGGTTGGCTTAACAAGGAGGTTGTTTATCAACCTCGGTCGGCCCGCTATTACCCTTCGCGTTGTATGGTTGATTATGAGGGCAGGTAACAGGAAGTAAACCAGTGTCGATCTTGAATCTTCTGTCGCCTTCGTCGCTCCTGCTGCGCTAGGCTGTGCTGCCAACCTGGACTGTTCTGGGGCTTGGATTTGCACCAGAGAGAATCTGTTAAAGGTAGATTGGAAGAGTAAATATAAGAAGATGAGGTAGAAGTGATTTAGATCGCAATATCCTGTGAGATTCAACTGGATGATGTGGTGGTGATGTGTATAGGAGGCTGGCCAGTGGTGTATAAATAGGCAGGGCAGCTGAGGTTGAGTTCTGAATACTGGATCGCTCGTTTACCTCTTTACGATCAGGTGAGATGGTTGGCAAGAGCTGTGATTCACTATTCACAACCAGTAACCCACAAGATTTCAGACTGAAGTTCGAATATTCAGGATGAAATTGGAAGAAACACTGAGCAACTGAGTGACAGTGGTGCAAGTGCAGTGCGAACCCGGCTGTCTTTCAATGATGTTGCGGCAGGCCATCCAGGTCCTCACTTGACGAGCTGTCGCGCTCCGCCCCAGATTTTGTCCAGATAAAAAATTTGGTGTCAGAGATCATCAACAAGGGCAAGGTAGTACTGCGGTATTTGATCCCTGGGCCCATTATAGAAGCTGGTGCTGTATGTACCTGGTTGGTCTGGCCAATATATGAGAGGCGCATCGTGACAGTTGCGCGAGGAGGGGAGGGGCACAGGGAAGGTGATCTCTGGCCCCGGCTCAAGATCCAATTTTTACCATCAATCATGGCATTCAAAAAGAACAACAGATTCGTATCCGAGGAAGATCACAAGAATGGAATTCTTTCAAGAATATAAGATCGCAGTCATCTTTGTCTATTCAACGGCCTTTGTTGATGCAAAATGGGGTTGACATTGTCTTGAATATTTTGGCGGGGTGATGTGCCCGAGGGCAATCTTCGCAATCTCGACATAAGCGTTTGACTTAAAAGACCCATGAAGCAAAAAGAGGACAGCCTGTTGTCGAATGGACCAAGATTCAGAAGCACAAGAGGAAGAGGGTACAAGCTGACAGCGAGCCAGTTGCGTGTATATACAGCCACACGTTCCAGGTAATGCCAGTTGGCCAGCGTCGCCACAACATCTTCGACCGCACTACTCGTACACGACCCTCATCCTTACAGGGCTTGCGCAGTCGTCGTGCGGCGCGCTTCGTCCAACATCCAGATCCGGGCGAGAGCCCGTATCGCTGCTTTGAGCCCTCGCCGCCGCAGAGAGCGCACGAGTTCAATCGATCCCCAACGCCAATTATGCAATGTCCACTACTGGGGTGTCCACCACCAGTGTCCGTCGTTCCCTAATACCAGCTCAGCCTCCGCGGCGATGATGCCGTATGGGAAAGCCGAGCAATGTAGAAATAAAATGCCAATGACTCAAACGAGCTAGGTGTTCTTCTGACTGTTGGCAGACCGTTCCTTCATCTCCACCTTCTTTTGCCCAAGGTCGATGATTCTGGATACCAACTTTTTCTGGCCATCAAGCTCGATAATGTCGTCACCTCCACCTATGCTCACACTATTTACCAAGATGTTAGGAACAGTCTTCCGGCCAGTCTTCTCGCCGAGGAACGCCTGCAGCTGAGGGCCGAGAGGGTGTTTATCCAGTTCGACGACATATGGTGTGGGCTCGATCGAGTACTTTTCGAGCAACAAGGCCTTGGCCTTCTTCGAGTAAGGACAGTAAGACTTGGAAAAAATGATGACTTGGCCGGGTTAGTATGCATTCTTCTCTGGAATCTTAACGTCAACGTACCTGGCGACTTCTTCAAGATGGAGTTCAGCTCAACCTCGACCGCATGCTCCTCGTCGCTCTCATCCTTCTTCTCCTCCTCCTTGACGCTGTCCAAAACTTCCTTGCCGCTGCCTGTCTTTTCCTTCTTCTTTTGTCCAGCGGCGGAGTTGCCCTTGCCGACGATGTCGCCAGGCGCATCAGGCTTCAGTGGCGATTTCTTGTTGGCAAGTTCCTTGGCTTTGTCTTCGGCAGCCTTCAGCCGTCCTTGCATATCCTTGGCGAGCTTCTCGTCGTCGGCGTCAACATCGCCATCGGCATCTTTATCAGCAGGCACGTGGCCAGCTTGTTTGGGTTTGTTCAATTCTAGCACCGCCTGATTGGGTGGCTGTTTGTGTTTCAACCCATTGACCGTCTTGTGGTAGAAGTCTTGAATGGTCCGCTCGTCTTTGACTTCGTTTGCTCGTAAGGAGGATGTGTAAAACAGGACGAAAACGACACCAATCAGCACACCCACGAGAAGGGTGCGCAACTGCCGTTGCGAAGGCATATCGAAGATTTTGTGTCGCGAAACGGCCAACAGTTGTACTGAAAGCAAGAGTATTGAGATGCGATGTGGGAACAGATTCGAAGGCTCGGGATTGTGGTGGCCCTGAGGAAACTTCGCAAACACGTCGATGCCTTCCCACAGAATGGTACAACAGGCGGTGCGTCCCTGGGGTCCTTGGGGTCCTTGGGGTCCCTGAGAGAGGTTTGTTGGTGAATACCACGGTGGCAAGGCGTTGGTGATAGTCGGGATCGAAATCGAGGAATGGCTGTCAATACAATGCTCCCTTTTGTGTAACAACGCAGAAGCCCAAGCGTTCTGGAGCTTCCCAGCGATCGGGTGCTTTGAACACGACGTTTCGAAGCCGGTAAATGGCAGGATAATAGACTAAGGCAAGCTCCTCAATAATGGCGCAGGAGCTGTAATGCTTCGTCGGTATCGCAGGCAAAAATGTTGTGGTCGTAGATTGTCGGGTTCCGAAAGGAGGTGTGTGGTCGCAGGCGGCGCGCGCTATCGTGAAGTCGCGAGTGTCAAAAGGGGATGGAGGTGTTGGTAGGTGAGCTAAGGTAGAAGTGGGATCGACAACTTGGCTCCCGTGACTGATCGCTGGTGGTAAAGGCAGGTGAGCTGGCAGGTTGGGTGGGCGAGACTGGGCAGGTAGAAAGTACAGGATGCATAGTGGTGTAGGGCGGGCAAAAGCCGAGTCGACAGTACCTCGGCCAGCATTTCTGGGCACTGAAAGGAAATGCTCTTCTTCTCTGGAGACTTCCTAGGGGAAGCTGCAACAATCCCAGACCGCGACGGAAAACACCCGGGCCACCAGCCCGACAAGATTAAAGTACCTCGACCCCGTATCTGCACCTCACAATCGGGGGTCAGCTTCGGTGGAGGTCCGGCTTTGTGCACCAATCAGTGGGTCCAGGAAAGACCTGGTGTGAGGGCTGCAGTCACTGTACCAAACTCAGTCGAACAGAGTCGAATCCAGCCAAAACACAGTGTTCTGAAGCATCTTACACTGCTCGGGTGATCGTCACCCGGATGGAGTCGCCGGCCCATTCTCCGTGCTCAAAGGAAACATGACGGGATGACTTGACTCGACTCGAAACAAGACACATCTTGTCTTTTCGCAGCCTGGGCCTTACGAATCAGCATGACAGGCTACCAGTCACCGTCTGCTCAGTTATTCTGCGGCCATCTCAAGGTGATAAGTCTGCTAAGTGCCAAGCTATCCGAGGTGACCAGCACTGTCCCATAACGAAAGGGAGGCATCGAACCGCCTACGTTTCTTTAGCAGCTTCAAACCGAGAACTGCTGGCGAGACAGATATTGTCTCCAAGAGACTTGAGCAGCCTGTTGTTGCTCGATGCAAATAAGGACGCAGAGAGGCTACTGACACAGCTTCTCCAACAGACAGCCAGCATTCCCGGTATAATGGAGAATTTTGTTTCCATACCTGACGCACTCGTCAACAATCGCATTCCAGGATCCAATTCTTTTCAACCAAGTTCAACAGACTTTTTGCATTCTTTCTGATAATAATCAAGCAAAGTACTGGAAAATGAATACAAGCGTCTAGTCGAACAAAAATTGATATATTCTGCATTCTAAAAAATATCGCCAGCCCTATCATCGTGCTGTCGCAACTCGTCCTGCCGATCCCGCGGCGGGTTTGGTTCATCATCTCATCATTCTGTACACAACCGGCTTAGTTAAAAGTCGCAACAACCATAATTTTCAAAGTCCGATATGCCCTCACTTCAGCTACGGGCGTTCTGAATTAAGCCTCTCTCAAATCTCACGTTGAAATCTGTTACGCTTGACGACAGCGTGAGCACGCAGCAATCTCAACGCAGAGTCAGCATGCCGGCTGTCAACAGCGTCCGCGACCGACCTCACGCGGCTCTCTCCCCGACCTATCGCCGCCAGCTTGGTTCGTTCAGGCCCTGGTTGCTCGCGGGCTGACTCTGTCCTCGCTTCCCGTAGTTGTGAGTCGTCGGAGTCTGAGTAAACATGGTCTAATTCATCATCATGCTTTAGAGGCGTCAACGTTGATTCAACGTACGGCGACGGTGCTGATGGTTTGTCCGTTGCCATGAGGTTTTGAAATAGTGGTGCAATATCTCTGAAAGACTTCATCGTCTCTGTCTCGGCTTTCTTGTTCAGTTTTGCGTGTTGATGGCTCAAGTGAGCGTGTGTAGCGGCGCGGTCTCTGTGGCGCTGCAGATGAGAGTGAAGCGATGATGGTGCAGCCTGTGCTTGTGGAGAGAGAAGCAATAGAATTCCAAAGAAGGCAATGGGCTGCATTATCGTTGGCGGTCAAGTGGCGTTTTACACTGGCTCAATCTCGGGGTGGCTGGCTCAGACTAGCTTTAAAAATTCCAGCTGTAGTTGGCAAATCGTCCCTTTGCAGTATATGGGCGTTTGAAATTCGAGGTGTCTCGAGAGGTCTAGAACGAGCTGGAGGGCGGACGGTTTATATTTTGGGCTCAACGGCTTTCCAAGAAACTTTCATCACCAGACATATGACGCAGAAAAAACACCACAAACGTCATCTAACGGCGTCTCAAGTTGGGACAATCACGCCGCCATCAAAAGACGAAACCCGCCTTCGATCGGAATGCGGCCCCCTCTGCCTCCCAGGTCAGAACGATTCAGACCCTGTGATGCTTCCAGTCCTGGCGAAGCCCCCTCCAGGGTCTGTCTGAGTCAACCACCCAACCCCTTCCTTCACAACACCACATCTGTCATTCGAGACCTCTTCAAAATGCCTGCACCCCCCGAAGCCAAGAAAACTATCCTGCACCGGTGCTTCATTGAGTCTCAGGGATTGCGATACCGACTCTTCCACGGGATACAGAGACTTCGACCGTCAGGCCGTGCCCAAATTGTATGGACGTGTCTGGTTCACGTGTATCTGCAGCAGATAATTCTCATGTCCATCAAACGATACATCATGTCGGGCTGCATCATGGCCAAATTTCAGGGCTTACTCTATTATGAAGAAATAAAAAATCGTCCTCATGTCGGCTTATTTCGCATCTCTAGAATTTGTCTGCCTAAAGACGCAGAAGAGGGGGAAAGTGTCACCTGCATTGATTAGATAAGAAACCTGCCTATTCAGGCCACCATCTAAACTCTGACTGGGCACGCTCGAATTCCCTCACCTCGTCTGTCAACAAAGCCTAGCCCTTGTTTTTGACTCCTCACGCCCTTCCGTTTCACTTCTCCCCTTCTTCTCTTCCTTTTGCCCAATGCTGCTTCCTTCTTCCCAGGAAGTTTTCACTCTTCTGACTTGGTTTGCCCAGGCTCAGGGTCCTCCCGAGACATCTCCTCTCCTTCACTGAGACACTTTCTCCTTCCCCAGCCCCCCGCAGGCATCCCACTTACACACTTTTGCCAATCCAGCCCTGCCCCCTTTCCACCCACTCTGCACGAAAAGAGAACCCTCACCACCCTCAGGAATCTTCAACAAAGGCCACCACCAACATCTCGCAAACCTCTCAGCAATCTTTCCAGTTTTGGACCCTTTTTCGCTGATCACCCGGGACGCAAAATACCCGGTCTCTCCACCAACGCCCGGCCGAAACGGGCCAGAGCCGTGGAGAAAATGAACCAACGAGTCAACGATAACAACACCACAATGTCTCACCACGCCGGCGAAGACCCTTCCATCTTCCCCCTCACCGGCGGCTGCGCCTGCGGCAACATCCGCTATTCACTCAATGCCTCGCCCATGGTCGTCCACTGCTGCCACTGCACCTCCTGCCAGCGTGAGACCGGTACCGCCTTCGCCCTCAACGCCGTCATCGAGGGAGACGAGGTGACCCTCCTCCCGAGCGCCCCATCGTCGTACGTCTCACCGCTGCAGCCGCTGGCGTCTTTCCCGGAGTCTGCCCGCGATGATTGGACTCCTAGGCAGTCCAGACCCGACGACGCTGTCCACGGGATGAAAGAAAACAAGGACAAGGGCGACGATACCGGGGGAAAAGCCGAGGCAGACATCCCTTCCCCCGTGATACTCCCCGTTCCCACCGACTCGGGCGCTCCACAGTACATAGCTCGCTGTCCCATCTGCTTTGTGGCCGTTTGGAGCAACTACGATGGTACAGGCCCCTTGATGAAGTTTCTCCGCGTCGGTACCCTAGACTCGCCTGCTTTGCTGGGCGGTCCGGATGTATACATATTTATGCGCAGCAAGCAGCCTTTCGTTGAGGTCGCCGACGATGGTAAACCTCGCTTCGATGAATTCTACCCGAAGAAGGAAGGGGTTTGGAGCCCCCAGGGGCTTGCTCGCCGGGAGAAGCTGCTTGTTCGGATCAGAGAGTGGAGGATGGAGAACGAAGTAGATGGATGAAAAGGCGGTCAATGAGCGAACTCAGAAATGCATGTTTTGCTTGAATAGTGCTGGAATCTATTCTGTCTCTCCTTGGTCCCTGACTCTCATTCGTGCCTCATGTTCCTCCTTGCCATCTTCCAGTCCTTCTGATGCCGAGGACTGCATGAGTATTGGAGTCAACGCCAGACCAGCTCGAGCAATACAATAGTTTTCCTGCTTCCTACTTAGACTAGTTCTCAGTGTCAGCTTCTTCCAGGAGGAAATGATCGACTATTTAACCTTGACACAAGGCAGTTGGGTCTAGGGACCATGTGAAACGTTCATACTTACAGCTTGTCTAGCTAGTTTCGTGGTCCAGGCCTGGCTGTCTTAGGTAGTTACTGCCAAGGCCGAGCAAGATTCAGCCGGTTGTATCCATGAAAGAAGTACCATTGCGACCTTTTCTTGTTCATGTCGGAAGATTTGGCGTGACTTGCGTAACTCGTTCGGCGGGGGAGCACCAGACCGGACGGATTACTTGTGCCGCTGGGTTGGACGAGTACCATACCAATTATGCTTTAGTAACATTAGCTTCCAGATGTCTCGATAGACCCTACCAAAAAATGAGGGAGCTAGCGGAACGGAAGATCATTACTAGTGTGTAGATGAGCTTGAAAGACGATGGAGGAACTACTCTAGTTGCTGTCCGAGGCAAATTCCCTGCAACTAACTGCAGGGGAGCTTCGGGATTGAACATATGGCAAGGCATCAGGTTATATTCACACATCACCTTCGTAAACCCAGAGTCGATTTGACATTTTGTCTTCAACTTCACAGCCGCATGGATATGGACAGTTATAACCAGAAATAATAAAACAAAAAATTAGCTGCCTGTGACATTATGTAGGGCCACCAAATTTGAACTCGCGTTCTCTGCCGATCCCAGGCATCACCTTCCACCACAAGGCCATATACACTTTAGGCGCTGCTCAAGCCTTCCCCTTCACTTTCATCGCCGGTTAGGGGCTGCCATTTTCAAAATGTCTCTAGAATACTATATCTTAGTTCTGTGGAACTTTGGCATCCGACGGGCCTTCTTGATGGGGATTAGTACCCCGCATGCGACAGCTCAACAGTCAAGGTGGCAATAATGCTAAGTTTGTGAGCTTATAAATATCCCAGAGAGTATCTCACGACAATTTGAAAAAGTTTCCTCTCTAATTTGATGGGTACTGGAGGGGAATTGAATGGTTAGGCTTGTTGTTAGAAGGCTTTCGCGGATGAAGAATACCGCCAACGCATCTCGATTCAGTCCTGCTCGCCATCGACGTTGGTTACGCACCTCGTAAACTTTCAAAAGTCAGCTCATCGTCGCCTTGACCGCCGATGAGAAGGTGAAAATTCGCACAAATTGACGGTACACATGGCATCGTCCGAGATTGGAGATCGTGGTGGCCGGGATAGGTCGAAACATGCAGCAAAGAATAGGAAGAGGGACAGAGGAAACATTTCTCGTCAGGATACTGCATATGGTAAACGCTAAAGTAGCCCGTGGAAACGCTATGTCTACGGAACTAGGTCGTTCAGGAGCATTTCGAACACTGAAAATCTCCACAGGGATAGCTTCCACGACCGCGTAAATACAACGTGAAAGAGCGGAACTATTGATGCCAAGCATTTCCAATATAGCTATCATATGCCAAACGCTTCCTTATCACTTTCCTATGCTTCCCTTAAAATGGGCACATGAAGCCTTCATGAAGGAGAGCGAACGGGGCCCTAGGAGTTCTATGAAAGTTCTTCGAGTTTAGACTACATGCAGAATCACACTTTAACAAATCCCACAATCGAATTTCATCGAGTGCTGCCCTTACATCCATTATGTTACGCTATTGAATGACCGTTTTGTTGGAGTGATTGGTAGAGTGATTGGTAGAGTGATATTCATCCACATCGATACACGGTGTACCCAGTCGAGGAACATCTTGATAGATGGATCTTATCCCAAGAGTTTAGGACAACCTTGGGAAGAAACTAGCCATCATATATGATACTTTCGCATGCTCCAACGGCGTGGCCAAATTATACACATCGTTCTCAAAGGAATAGGTATACCCCTTCCACATGGTACCGAGTACACGGACCTGTGGTAGATGATAATGAGGCCCATCAAACTCCCACGGCCCTCTTTGGCAGTGGTGGGCTTTTCTCGAGCACATTGCTCGAGCTGCGCCTGTTTTCATTAAAGCGCAAGACAGAATTATCCATGGAGAAAAGACTGCAACACAGTCGTCATTCTTGACCGTTCGAGGACGGCTGGGAAACTCCTGAGAAAGAGAGAGCCATGGCGCGTCAAGATGGGATTAAGCGCGGACCAATTCCTCTTTCACCTCTACGGTGCTACGACGAGCTATCCAAACTATGAGTATAGCTCAGAGCGACGACTGAGAACTAATTGAAGAAAAGCTTGAAGTTTTTGTAGGGACCATTGCCTTTCTGGGCTGAACCTCTTGTTCTGAAAGTGGGTTACCATAGCCATTTCCCCGCAGGTGGCCATCACAAAGCCAGAAAGTATAGCCAAAAGCGCTCGGTTAAATCCGTCGCCGCCATCGGGGTACTCGCTTGTAGAAAACCCGGCGGCCTACGCAGGATGACACACGGCAATTCGAGTTTATTGTATCTCGGCCTGCGTCCCATACGCCGACACCTCCCCAAGGCGAGAAATCGTCCGCAAACCGAAGGCGGTAACTCACAAGGCCAGGGCGAACCTCGTCCACTAGATCTAGTCGAGCAAGAGATTCCAGCTCAGCTAATTTGGAAATCATCTACGGTTCAGTAAAGGTTCCCCTTATATGGCGTATCCACACGTCCTATAGAAAGGACAAACCGGGTGACACGAATGACTCTCCAACTACGGATAGTCTTCTCACACACATCCCGTACATCACGTTTTGAGACTGTACGCGTATCAGCATCCACCTGGTTCAAACAGGCCTGCGTTCATTTCGTGGATATCGGCGGAACTGGGCACTAAATTGCTAATGAACGCGGCAAATCTGGATTTGCCATGAAGCGGCTCGCAGAACTGCGATGTGTCCCCGATGACTTCCACGCCACGAGGAGAGACCCACATCTGCTTTCGAAATCGGAACGGTGCTTGGATTGGACACAAGTCAAACTCAACTCTCCCACCGATACTTATTCCTATCTTGCTTGACTCGGTGTACAGAGGACACTTCTTCTGACATCAAAACTACGTTCCGTTTATTCACTCAATCACAAGCTTGTATGGCAAGGTAGGGTGCCCATATTCGATTCAGAATGTGTCTCTCATTGGACTTGGATTTGTTTGGGATATATCCTTCAATACCTTTCTTCCTCTCAATCCCTAACTCGAACAAAGCAGCAAACTTGGCATGTGTGTTTGTGTAATGCGACCCGAACAAGAAAATGAAACAAACCGTCTCGTGTTCCCCGGCTTGTGACGAAGCGCAAAGAAAAAAAAACGACAAAATTTCCAAGGGAGAGACCATCTTTGACAAATGCTCCACACCCTGGTGGTCTCAAAATGAGACAAATCCGAATTTCCTCCGCACCCATTCCTCACATACATCCCTGAAAGATTCGACGCAGAGGGAGTTGGTTATCCGCTCTTTCCAGTTTCCCTTTAACGCCTTGAGGAGAAGAAAAAAAACAGTGACCACGAGAAGAAGGGAAGATTTAAACTACCATTACTTTGGTGATCGGTGATTCGAACAATACTGACAATGAATAACAAAAGCCACCTGAGCTTAGGAGGGAAAAGTGGAAAATTGGTCAGGGCGGGAGATTCGAACTGGTGCCCCGTAACGGAGATGAATGAATAGCGTTCGAGATCTTAAGATAGAACGGCCGTCTTCTTGGACGGGTTGATATAATGCAGTGGCAATGCGGAAAAATTCCCCAGATAACGGAATGATGAAGAAAAACCCGCCTGTTGAGGCGGCGAGGAATGAGCTCGCCAACGCCGTACTTTTTGATGTTGCTGTTATTGCTATCATGCGGATAGACAAAAGTTCAGTGCTGCTATCCGGTTCCCTATCGTGACTTTCGTTGTCATGAAACAGATACGCAATTTTCGTGTATGAATGTATTCGAGTGTTGAGTGGAAGCACGACGGGTTTCAGGGGGTCAAATATTCAGCCGAGCTTTCGGAAGCCTTCGACTGTCAGCAGCGGGACCTCCACGTCACTGAGACCGAGAACGCCCTCGTCGCGTCTGCGATCGACGAAACCGTTGCACTCGGCGACGACAATGCTCCACTCGGCCAACGCACGACCAGCGTAAACGGCGCGCTTGACGTAAATGCCCATCGGGCGAAGGGGTTGAGTAAGCGGCTCAGGACCGGTCCTACGACTCCCAGACTTGGACAAATGGGGCCGCTGCTGAGCCTGGATCACAGCGTGAGCCTGGGCTACGGCCTCGGATTGAGGTGGCGAGGGCTCCGACGGCTGTTGTGCCTCCTCCTCGGTCTTGCTCTCGACAGGAGATGAGGCCGTTGACGATGCAGAAGACATTGATGAAGCAGATGACTTCTCCGCACCTTCGAAGTCAAAGGTCATTAGCTCCACATTTGGATTGTTCTCAAAGTCGAACTTGTTGCTGAGTCTGCGCACGAGAGAGGACGATGATACTGCAGTGACCGACGACTTGCGTTCGAGAGTGGGGGAGGCGAGTGGACTGGCGTTTTTGGCTTCGTCGACAAGGCCCTTCTTCTTGGACCCAGAGACACACCGTGTGGGATCGGGGAGACCGGCGGCAGGTGGAGGTGGCGTGCTGCCACTCCTCGAACGAGAAGTGACCCATGCCTGCGCAGGGGCGGGGAGACGTGGGCGAGTAAGAATACGGTCGCGCGGCTGGGTAACGGCAGGAGGCTGCCATGTCAGAGCGAACTTGAAAACAAACCTTTGCTCCATGAAAATAGGAGAGGCGCCCGGCGAACTGCCGTCAGACGACGTCGTGACAGCGGAGGCCGACGAAGTGGAAATCTTGGGCGGCAGAGGCGGGCCCCCTTGACGGCGCTTGGAAAGATTAGCGGACTTGGAAGGCACCGCGTCCTTGCGCGAAGATTCGCTGGTATCCTCGCTGTCCGAGCCGTTACCACCCAAAGACAATACCTTTCCAAGCAGTGACCAACGCTTCTTGCTATTGTCGGGCTTGACAACCTCCTTTGCTTCCGTCAGCGGCGTTGATGCCATGACCCCTTCGCCATTGATAATCTTAGAGAACGAGTCGAAGGGTTGGTTGAAGTAGCCTGGCTGCGGTATGTTCACTTCCGTTCGGATGATCATGAATTTCTTGCCCGGAGTTGGGAGACACGGGGTTGTAGAGGGAGCAAGCTTCCCTGCGGCATCAGCGGCATTGCGGAGAAAAAGGTAGTGGGCCCAGACGGTCTTGAGTCTCGCTGCGGCAACCAGGAAAATTTCACTGCGAACGTTAGCAAGTCTCATCTACTTGCAGGAAATGGCACAAACTCACGCATCGACTTCGTTCGCGCTGCCGCCGTCACGACAGATACGCCAACAGAGCAAGCGCATATAATAGCCGCGCACCATCGGGCACCAGTGGTTGAAGTAGGTGTCGAACGTCTCCTCGGAAAGCAACCATTTCAGACATATAGCCTTCTTTCTTTCGGGATTTGCTGTGACCGACTCCCAGGTCGAGAAGATGAAGGAAAGAAGCCGAACTTCCGTCATTGCGTTGTCGGAGATGAGCATCTTCCGGCAGACGTTGAGCCAAAAGGGCCAATCAATGCATTTCGCGATATTCGGATTCTCGAGATCGTCGAGCTGGTCATAAGCCACCAATGCCTCTTCCAGGAAATCACACAGCGTGAAAACAGCACTATGGTCGAAAGCAGATACTCGGCGGGTCGCGGCACGAGTTACAGCTAGGAAGGCTTCGGCGAAGGTTCGTCTCGCAGCAGCAATGATCGGGATTGATTCGCCCAGAATATCCTTCAACAACACAATCAGACGGTTATCGGCCATGTTCTTCAACAAGTTTCCTGGAATTGTCATTGCGGTCGCAGCAGCATCGGCGCCGTAGAATGAATCTGTCGGCATTGGCGGGTTGTAAATCGCGTCGACTTCAGCTTGCCGGTGAATGGTGGACTCTATGCACGCGAGGATTTGCGCTTGTACCAGTATAAACCCTGGCGACCGCGCCTTTTCAAGCAGAGGGAGACCTTCGGGCATGAACTCCTCAGAAAGGATGTGGTAGTATTTGCAAAAGATGAAGAACAAGTCAGTATCCCCGCCACGCCATCGCGTCACCCAAGGGCTGAACCAAGGGATCCTCGCCGCCATGACAGAGAGTTTGACCCTCTCCTTGAAGCGAGCGCTGATGGTCTTCTGCGATTGCCAACCCAACACACCCACGTTGGGCGGGAATAGGGCCATGATGTCCTCGCTCTCGCCGCCATTCTTCTTAGGTAGTCCAAACTCGTCAGCCGTCCGTCTGATGAGCTCCGGCCGTAAGTCCCACAACCGGACGAGAATCTCGGCGACAGACGGGCAGAAAAAGAAAGCGTATGCGCACGCCTTGCCACACCAATTGACGAGACTGAGAGGCGCGTGTCGAAGTGACATTTTTTCCACGACGAGTTGCATTTGCCTCATGAGATTGCTCACAAACATGGTTCGCACATTATGCTCGGCGGATTCGGCGAGGAAAGCCTGACTCGATGCTTGTGATGAGTCTGCTGTGGACTGTGTTCCCGACCGCGGTCGGACGCGTTCATTTGGTGAGCGGTCCGCCAACGACATGAAGTACGTCGTTGTCTGTCGCCATTCGGGTCGCATCATCAGCATCGTCAAAGCCTCCAGCAGAACCGGTCGATCAACGCCTGGAAGCTGCTGGCCCTGTCCGTCCAGCATATCCAACAAACCGGTCCACCACTTGTTCAGCACAATCGCCCTCCGCTCGACGTCCTCCAGGATGAGTCCCTTGTTGGTGATGTGGTTCATATAGGTTCGCAAAAATGGCAACAAGGTCACACGCACAGAGTGCATGCGCTGAGCCATGGTTTTGGTGCTGAAACTCCCACTTTCGGTATCGAGTGACCTGAACACCGACCAGATGGTGTCCTTGTTGACCGACATTTCGCTCAGAGACTCGTCAGTTGCTGTTATTTGAGATTCGGCAAAGGAGGCTGGTTTCGACTCGGGCTTCTTGATTTTATTACTATTACTGTTGTTGCTGTTCCTCGTTTTCTTGCTGGGCTGGTCGTTTTCAATAGCGGCGTTGGGCGGCGGCAAGCTGATTGATGACGGAGGCAAATTATTCACATCCACATCGCTGTTTGAACCCAGAGTGATGAGCATGCTTTTCGGCCGCTGCTTGATCTTCGTTAGGAAAGTGCTCGTTCTGTTCAGGGTGCGCGCGGGCTTCAATGATTCGGCACTCTTTGAAGCAGCGCTCCCTGTATCGACTAGCATGGACACTGGCCTCTTGCGGGCTGCGTCGGCACCTTTGATGTTCTCGTTGCTCGGGGCCCTGCTGCGGGGAGGGCGAGATGGCGGTGGAGCTGGAGGCTCTGGGTTTCGCTTCGGGGACGGGGAGCGGGATGTGGACATCCATGACTTCTTCGCAAAGGTAGCGAAACTCTCCGAGACCGTCCTGGGGCGTTCTGGCTCGAGAGGTCGCGTCGGTGGTGTTGGTGCTGTCGGGGTGGTGGACGCCGCAGCAGGTGCAGCGCGCACGTGGTCTCCGGCATGAGTACTGGGTCTTTCGGGCACCGGCGGCTCCTTGACTTTTGACGGCGATCTCGAGGTTGGAAGCCATGATTTACGTCGCTCCATCAACGAAGCCCTCCTCCCCCTCTTCTGCAGCTTCTCGATATCTTTATCTTTTTCCTTTTGCTTCCCATCTCTCGTATTCTCCTTGTCCTCCTCTTTTGGAGGTTTTAATAACATTGCCGGGTCTGGTCGTGCCGCGGCGGCTGCGGGTGCGGCCGCTTGCTCTTTAGCATCAGCCTCTTTTCCCTTGGACTTGCCGTCAAGGTAGAGTGTGGTGTTGAATTCGGGTATGGTGTCAAAGGAGGGAAGCTCGAATGCAGCTCGTCCCTGCACGCTCGAGCCTTTCTGTTGTGTCGTCGGTGCTGTCGATGTTGCAGTCGCTGACGCGTTTTTACGGTCGTCCGAGGTATGGGATCGGTGTAGGTAAGAACCATTTACTGGTTGGACAACGGCCGGAGCCATCGTCAGCGTGGGGCCTTTCATCTCATGGCAAGTCGCACCACACAATTAGAGACTATCCTCTGCCAGTACACTGCAGAAGCTGCAGCTGTCCTCGACGTCAGTGCCGTCCCGAGCTCTGGTAGGCTGTTATTTGCGATCGCGCCGGCAACAGTGACCTAGAGCATGCAGTTGCGACTAGGAATGTACGAGGGTCGATTTGGGTTGGGTAAGGGAGGGCGGCCGGAATGCTCGGTGTGTCACGGTGGCACGACGTCTGCAGTCTCGCGAGTTAAGGTATGTAGTAAGGCGGCTTGTGAGATAAGGTATGGCTAGATCAGGTTAAGAAATTCCCCCTCAATTCGACATGACAAAAACCTGGGGTGTGTACAGGCAAGGAAAGGTGTTTAGATTTTGGGTTGTCGGCGATCGGGATGCTCTGGGCCGGCAGAGGGAGGGAAAAAGATACAAGGCGGGAAGTAGAGGGTTCGTTCGTTGGGTGGGTGTGGATATGAATAGTATCCTTTCGGGGTCGGTAAACCTTCAGGTTCGAGAGAGGAGAACAGTCGAGGCGGAGCCGTAAAACGAGCGAAAAGGAACGAACGACTGGGGGTGAGGCGAGGCGGCCAGCTGCTTCTCTTGCTTCTCTCAGGTATCAACCTTGGTCTAGGTCTGGGGGTCCTGTTCGCTGGTAGTGTTGGTGCGGGTTGTCTGGGTTTTTTGCTTTCCTGGTTTGTTGCAAGGTCCAATCCAGCGGCAGCTTGGTCGGGGATCTACTGTCGACGCAAGGACAACAAAAAACGAGGGGGCTACCAGGAGAAGGTGAGGGTGTCTGAGCAATGAGAGAGGAGACGGAAATCTCAAAGTTGGTGCAGCGGGAGGTGACGGTCGGGGAAGGGTTCCCTGTCCAAGACTGGAGCTGGAACGTTTCAAAGTGAGAGGGCGATGAATAGCGGAGCTGGGAGTATTATGACGGCCTCCACCTTTTTTTTCCAGGGAACGCGCGCCGTGATGCGACAAGAGAAAGACGTTACGGTTAGGTAGATGATTCAAATTAAACGCCTTTCCGGTCGCCAGGCGGAGACAGGAAGCTTGTTGGAGGGGGGGAAGTGAGGTATTGGACTCGATCGACCGACCTGTCTCAAAAGTCCAGAAAACGAGAGAAGCTGACAGTAGCGAGAGTGGGTTGGTGAGTCGTTTGCCCAAGGTAGGGAAAGGGATGACGAGATGTCAGAGAGGTCTTTGGAAGGAAGGGCTTCAAGGCAGAGAGATTGACAGGGACGGAGTGAACAATTGAACAATCGGGGCGGGAACACGACGGACAGGGGGGGGGGGGGGGGGGGGGGGGGGGGGGGGGGGGGGGGGGTGGGGGGGGGGGAGGGGGAGGGGGGAGGGGAGAGGGGGGGGGGGGGGGCAAGGGAGGAGAGCCGGGGGGGGGACAGCGGGGGAGGGGGGGGGGGGGGGCGGCCGCGGACGGAGAGGAGACGCAGATGCAGCAGTGGCAGTAATAATAGAAAGAAGGAGCGCACTTAATACGTCAGTGGAATCATATTAGCAACTGGAGTAGTAATATTACTCCCACCATGTATCCGTATGCTACATCCGTAGTAGACGAGTACATGGCGAAAAGTGTCATGTACTGTACCTACGTCAGCCTTGGCATCGGCATTGGCCTTACTCTTTAAGTCTCTTATTCATCCTAGATTGTGATCAAGTTCCCTCCTCTCAGTCGGAAGAAGCAGAAGAAGACGACGACGAAGAACATCCCGCTACGCCATCAGATTCACCTAGTCCAAAAACCCGCAAGCCTGGGCGGACACCGTCAGATTCAATTTTGTTCAACCACCAGACTGGCCCGCCTCATGTACAGATACAAGATCCAAGAATGAGACGGTCAGCTCCTGCCGCCGCAACACACAGACGCCGCATCCTGCCTGAAGCAGGAAGCAGCAATCAGAAGAAATAAACGTTTGCCTCCGTCCGGTCTGATGAGAAAGAAAAAGGACTAATGCAATTCCTTCCCTTCCCGCTCCAACTGTTTGAACGCGTGTGAGATGTGCGGCCGTGAGCGACGCCTCAATGGCGCTGCAACACCACCACTTCACTTCTCGCCAAAATACAAGGCGAAGCCGCGAAGAAGAAGCAAAATGCGTCCGTCTGTCCGTCTGTTCGTCATGTACGTACTTCTGCACAAAGTACATGCCAACCCCCAACCTCCTGCCTTCCCGTATCTGTACGGTACAGGATCGAAGCTAAACGACTCCTCTCTTTGGCGCTGTATGGGTTGACGGGCACGACAGGGTGGATGATCGCCCAACGCCGGCGGGGATCAATACGAACGAGGGTCCGCCTTTCCCTCCCCTTTCTGCCAGTGCCATCCCAGGAAACAGAGACAGAAAACCTGCCTTGGCCACGGCAGCTCTGCTGACCGAGAGATGCCTGCAAGGAGCGGGCGGGGAAAGCTGTTCATTGATGATAGTGTGCCTACTCCCAGTCACAGTGTGTGTCTCGTACGCGTATTTTTTTTTCCCCCTTTCAGTTTTCCCTTTTTTGGTCCACCAGCACATGTGTCCAACTGTCGCGTATGACCGCTAGCCATTGTGCACATTCCGACCAGCACGCACCTTATTAATCATGATGATGTATCTTCTGGCAGGCTGTCACAAGCATAAGGTAGACTGAGCTAAAGACCCTGAACAAGGACGCGCTCTCTCAAACGTCTCCAGTCCCTCGCGACGAACTCGAGGGACCGACCTGAGACTAGGGCGCGCTCAATCCTCCCACTACACCACGTCAGTCGTCTTTGGGGGATCTACCCGCGGGCGGATGGCTTGTCTTCAAAGTTCAAAGTGCTTCAAGCATGTCCTCCTCCCCCTTGGGAACCCCTGGCTAATACTGAAGCCTCGGCCATTGGCTCTCAGCGGTGTCTCGCCGATCGAGAGGGGATTCGTCCAGCGTTTTTTGCTAGCGTCCGCAAGGGCGGTACGGCGTTTTACAAGGCGCAAGCTAGCTGCTGCTGTCCGACTCTGAACTTTGAGAGCCCCTGAATTAGTAATCGTTCGGGACGCACAGAACATTCTGATCGATGAACGTGCCGAACGTGATGCGAGTCGCTTCCGCATGAAAGCTGACACCTGCAAACGCTCGACCGGCAGCTGCTCGTCTCCCCCTCGTGCCTCCAGCAGAGCGCCAAGTTCTGACAAAGTGTTCGGGCGATTTCGTCTGGCCTTGTCCTGGCCCAGCGCAACACAAGGGCAGGGCGAGCGCGGCGGCGCCATCAGCTAAGGAAGATCAAACGAGTCGACCGTTGCTTGACCCGCTTCGCTTCATCGGTACTCGGCAGGGTACCGTGGACAGACGCCGCGAGAATCACGACTCGCAACTCTTCGGGTAGGTTGCATGGCGTGGGGGTTCTCCTTTGAAGTGTGCCCAAGGTGCCACCCTTCTCTGTAAATCGGCCGATATTGAAGCGCTGCAGCTGCAGCCTGCAGATGCTGCCTGCAGCCAGATGGAGGCCCTGCAGAAAGGAGATAATGAGAATAGTTCCAATTTCCAGCAGTTCTGTGTAGTCGTAGTTAGTTCCAAGCTGTCTGTGGCCGGCAAACGTCAGTCGCCTGACCAGATGTCCGTTCCGGGTTGATCGAGTTCCCGCGCCTCCGGCAATTACAATTTACACTTTGTGCTGTCACTAGCGAAGCGCCTCGAGGGCAACGGCGGTAATAAAACTGTACGCCCGTTCGCTCGAGATCCGCTTCTGGCGTTTGCCAACGCGCCACATTTCCCCATCTTGGGACTATTTGGCTGCCAGTAGTCGGGCGCGTCACCGGTACGCAAGGGCCATCACTTCTATTGTCTTTCAGCTAAGCAGGCCTTGGATCCGTTACCTTTGGAATTCGTGGGAGGATATCCCCGTACCAAAGACAAGAACTTTGTTTCCCCTACACATACAATCACAAGAATAGATGTCTCGGCTCACAATTCTGAAATGTACATCGTGCGGCGTGCGATGGTCGTAGCCGGTGGCTTTGCCAAGACTCAGCGATCTGGATTGGTGCCAGAAGGACATCGTCCAATATGAATCCCCCCCGTTAGCTGTCGAACATCGCACATCGCAATTCCTGGCTTGACTCGAATTGCCATGCCTCACTGCCCCCTGTCCAGAAGTGGACACGATAGCTACCACAACCTCCCCCCCTTGTGTCACAATGCGGCTTATTCCATCATCGTCCAGGGAAGGACTCGTGGGCCTCGCCCTGCCAGCTTCAGGGCTGTCAGGAGGGATCCGTCTTGTTCTCCGAATCCTCCGATCTCCTTGGGCATTCTTCAAGGCAGGGTCCTGGGTGGATGTTGTTTTCCAAGACTACGATGTAAAGGCGCCCGCCAGTCTGCCCCATCAACCATACCCAAAATGGTTCGGTTTCCGCCAGAAGAATCAAAGTCGAGTTTGTGAATATATGGCAGCGTTTGACTTCAGAAAAAGGGAAAAAAAGAAAAAAAAAAAAGAAAGGTCGGGAAACTGAAAGAAGAAGAAAGTTGCAGCGACTCGAGCAAATTAAAGAGCGTCCGTGAGCGAGGCTCGTGGACCCGGATGGCGCTACTTCGCAGGCAGTCATGCGGATATTCAATTCCGCCTCGGAGGAGGAGGAGGGACTTTCACCTGGGCAGAAAGAGCCATATCTCTGTATCTGTCGTCAGCTTCAATATTAGGAGCCAAGCCAATTTGGCATAGCGTTCCCCTGAGCGACTGCCCCCACCGACACGCTCATCATCAGATCATGGGCACGTAAGCTGAAATCTCTGCTCTCGCGACTGGTTGCATCGCCAGGTGGCTGCTACGCGGGTGGCGGTAGCAATTCCATTGCTCGCATCGCCCCTACTTGCTGGCGGTGAGCCGGGCAGTCCGAGCAGCATAGATGGGACTGGGCAGATTGAGGTGGAATCCACATTGGCTTCATTTGAGACCCTTCACCAAGCGGGTTCAACACATTTCCGCTGGCAAAAGGAAGAAAAAAGCACTGAGAAAAGCGCGGCCGGTTGTGTTGATTCAGAGGCTCGAGGTCCATAACTGCGGCGAATGACATACTCGGTTATAATCAGGCGAGATGTTGCCCTTACTTCATGCACCAGAGCTATCGGATAAAGAGCGACATAGGTGCTTGGTAATAGAAGGGCAGAATTTGATCTTGGCACGTTGAAATTTTCCTTCAGCAAGAATGGCACAGAGAGAAGCCCATTGCTGTACACACAAATGCCATTGTCCACGAAGGACTGATATCACGTAGCTGATGGGCTGATTAGCAGTCTTCGTCGAATCCTTTGAAACGTCTCCCGTTATCCGAAAATGACTACATCCGTAGACGCCTCACACTTGCGAAGCGCCGAATGTGCACGCATGTCTGAAATGTGACCCGAGGCCGCGTGCGTGTTCGTGGGGAAATTCAACCCGAAACGACACCAATGCGGCCTGGGGGCACGACGAATGATGTGGGATGCTGGTTCCCGAGGTTTCGAGACGGTAGAAACGCCCAACAAGGGGACGAGGTGCGGCAGCGCGACGCAAAGGGACATCGAGATTGCCCATCGTCATTTCAAGATTTGAAGGTGACAACGGTCGTCATATCTTCGAGGTTGACGCTGAGCTGATATGAGAATGATAGCGTCGCAGATGAGGAGGTCGAATCCCACAGCCCACGTCACACCTTCGAATGAACAGCACAACGCAAACGGTGCACCAGGCTTGAGTGAGGTGTGTTGTGGTCGCGGCACTGGTTGTCAAGGTCAGGTGAAGGGTGTTGAGTTGTGAAGGAAAATCCAAAGTATGGTGCATCCGGCGTCTGGAGAAAATTTTTATGAGAAGAGCGGAAGCAGGTGAGCACGGGATGGAGGGCACAGCACGCTCGGGAGGTGTCTCGGCCCGACAATCCCAGGGCGCCCCGCCTGGATCCATCAGGTGCGCACGGCGCATTCCAGCCCCAGATGCAGCGCATCCGCCTTCCGTCGGAGCTGGTTTGCTCTTACATTCCGTCGCCGTGTCCGGTTGAGGAACACTTGAGAAACTCTGCGGGGGAATTCGGTCGTCGAAGAGCGCGGTGGGAGACGTGAGTTGGCTGAAATCAGAAGGAGATCTCTCGCTTGTGGTGGTGGTGGTGGTGGGCTAAGTCTCACAAATTTCCGCATAAACACCTATCAAACAGCCTCATTCTTCTGGAGCATAGTCTCCACAGCGATCTTCAGCATCCAGAGTACATCATCACGTAGCCGAGGGACCATAATTGAGGTAATTGAGGTAGTTGCAGCTAATTATCTAGGTTAGAGTGCAGAGGACTGTGATTGCTTCTCGTCTCGTTTAGCCATATCCACTGGTTTTCCTCTGGGGGTATCCCCACTATTGCTAACGAAGGGGAAGAAGTTAAGGAGTAATGTTTTTTCCTCCACCACTGTCCAAGCTATGGAGGAATCCCTTGCGGGCGAGTTGTTCACGTGTCCAAATTAAGGACTTCGATGGTCCCAAATGGACAGCCTACCATGGCGTAGAGAGCTTGAACAGTTCGTCAACTAGCTGGTCCAAGGCATGGACGAGGCTGGAGCTGAGTATTACGGCCCGGCACATTTGCGCTCTAGTCAATAAGACTAGGTAGTATCTCACAGCTAAGACAACGACAAAAGGTACAAGCTTTTTAAACAATTTGACATCCTAGGTCTTTAAACTCTTTGGCTGCCAGAACTTTTCTGCATAGCGCCCCCTTTCTTATTGTCAAAGAGTTGTCGGATATTAGTAACAAGGAGGGATTCCGTAAACCCTTGACCTCCAATTGGCCGAGTTCAATGGCTTCACAATATGTGTCGATTGGCCGTAGCATGAAAAGTCGTCGTCGCAACCAGGACGATAAGGGCTAAGCGCTAGCATTTTGACATCAACGCTTTGTAACCAAGACACACAGGTAAATTGATGAAGAGTGTTTTTTGCAGACTTTGCGTGATTGCTTCTGCTAATTGATATCGTCATCAGGTGTTCCAGAGAGTCGCGGTGTCAGAGCTAATCAGTCTGAGACTGGAATAGTCGAGTGTCCGGCTCCAGACGAAAAACTTGGATGGCGCAGTGATTGGGTTAAACCTTTCCGCCGAGAGCTGGACGGCAGCGAGAAGTCTTTTCGGCGTACGTAGTGCGTTTTCGAGTGAAATGTCACCCCTCTTCTTTGATTGGTCGAATTTCAGACTTGCCTCTGGGAACAAACCCACTGCGCTTAGACTGCCCGTCCCCTTTTGCTCGCTCTTATAGATTGAATGAGAGTTGGGGAACTTCATTTCAATCTGTAAAGAAGCAACGCGATTTCTTTTCTATGTCACTGATTATCAAATTTGTTTGATTCTATTGTTTGTCGCAATGTCTAGACCCTACTCCGACATCATGCGGGATTCAAGGATGAAGACGGGCAAAAGCACGTTTGAGACGCTGACCGGCAATGGCGCAAATCAAGATGTTGAGCAGCAACAGTCTTCTGAAACCGCAAATACACAAAACCCTTCAGTTTTCAAGTCTCTCGGCATGCTAGATCGATATTTGGCCGTTTGGATTTTTTTCGCCATGTTGATAGGCATTCTCCTGGGAAACTTTGTCCCCAACGCCGGGCCAGCGCTTCAGCAGGGCAAGTTTGCTGGAGTGTCCGTGCCGATAGGTTAATATCCGCTCGTCAAGCTCTTCCATGTAAAATACTGATGGGCTCTAGCTGTCGGTCTACTGGTGATGATGTATCCCATCTTGTGCAAGGTTCAATATGAGAAGCTTCACGCAATTTTCCGCACACGAGAGATTTGGATCCAGCTCGGCTTCAGCATCATCCTCAACTGGATAGTTGCACCCTTATTCATGGTCAGTCTTGCGTCCTTAGCGAGCTATTCCGGGCTACCTGTTAATATTGATACCCTAGCTTGCATTATCATGGGCATTCCTACCAGACAAGCAGGGCCTAAGAAACGGTTTGATTCTTGTTGGGGTCGCGAGGTGTATCGCCATGGTGCTGATCTGGACCAGCCTAGTAGGAATCCCCTTCATGATGACTTACAACCCTGACCTATGCTGACAGTATTGAAAATAGGCTAGAGGAGATGGAAACTATTGCGCGATTCTCGTTGCAGTCAACTCGTTTCTGCAAATCGTCCTTTTCGCCCCTGTCGCCCTGCTTTTCATCCGAGTCATCGGCCAAGACCATAGCATCTCATCCATCTCGTACTCGACAGTTGCCTCAGCAGTCGGAATCTTTCTCGGCATCCCCGTTGGCGCGGCCATCCTCACGCGGCTGTCACTGACTTACACCATCGGTGCCTGCGCGTACAACAATAAGATCATACCGTTCCTGGCACCCTGGTCGCTCATCGGTCTCTTGTACACCATCATTGTTCTCTTCGCCTCTCAGGGTTCCCAGGTGGTCCACCAAATCGTCTCCGTGGTGCGGGTGGCGGCGCCGCTTGTGGTTTACTTCTCTGTCATCTTCTCGGCGACCTTGCTTGTCGCCCGCAAATTGGGATTCCGGTACGGTCTCGCATGTACACAAGCCTTCACGGCGGCCAGCAACAACTTCGAGCTGGCTATCGCGATAGCGGTCGCGGCGTACGGGCCTGAATCGGATGAGGCGCTTGCTACGACCGTCGGACCGCTCATCGAGGTGCCGGTGCTCCTTGGATTGGTCTATTTCGTCAAATGGCTGGCTAAGCGATACAACTGGCAGGATTAAGCCGGAGCCTTCGCAAAAGGCGCAATGAGACAAAAGCACATGTCGGTGTCACAAGGTCCAAGAGTATGCAGAAGCTAAGGTGGCAAGAAAGTTTGCGGGTGATGCCGAGCCGATGGAGCTGGATTGGTCGAATGCTGAGGGAGATGGATGAAGTGCCATTTATTATGGTAGGAAGTGTTGATGACCAGGTAGATACCACTGCTTTTCATCCCCGGATATTTAATTCGATTTCCTAAAATGCCCTGTGCATGGTGCTGCAAGACGTCCACTGAGGGACCCCACCCAAGGTTCCTTAGTGACTGAACACATGTCGACCTTAGCGCACGTTGCGCTGCAACTGCCTGAAGTGCCACTTGTGTGCCCCAAGCTCCCTGTCACCGTCCGACCTCTTGTTCCACCTCAGACAGGTTCCGTTCTGGTTCCGACCGCTAGTTTGATTCTCAACCCTCGTCTTAAGGTAACCTGCAACCTCCGCTCTGCGATCCTCATCAACCCCCATTTTGCGACCGATTCAAGCGATCTGCCCTCGCGCCGATATTTAGACTGGCTACGTTCCCCCCATACCGTCGTCGTCGACTTCCCGGCAGAGCCAAGCGGCGGCACTATAATACCGCGCATCAAACCCCTCCGAGATCTCCACGAAACAGATTCCTTGCCTTTCCGGAGCTTCCCTCACGATCCCGCCATGGAGTCGCTTCCCCGTGAGCTGATTGATGCGATTCTCCGGCAATGCGTCGCCTTATCATCCCGGAATTATATCCTAGATCTGCGTCTCGTGTGCAGGGCCTTCGACCGCTTTCTCAAGCCCTACGCGTTGCGGACCATTGCCCTCGAATTCAGCCGCCTCAGCAAGAACAGCCGCCGTCGGCAGCCGGATATCGATTCCCTTCAGACAATTGGGTACCACTGCAAGTCAATGTATATTGACTTGATGGTTCTGCGCGATGAATGTGAGCTGGAAAACAGTACTGAGCTTGGGAAATATTGCTGACTCCCCGACGGTGGAAGTAGAATTTCTGTCAACCATCTTCGATCGAATACCCTCCATGAAGCACTTCGTCCAGACACTCCAACGCCAGTACTGCATGTCGCCTGCCTCCTTCACAACGCTAGACTACCGTCATACCCTCGAATCAATCCTCTTCAACTGCCAGTTCGTTTCCTCGTTGCGCCTGAATCTACCCTTCCAGCTCGTCGGCCACCGCTGCAATGCCGCGACAATGATCCTCGCGAACACCTTTTCCGCCTTCTCCCGTCGCCCTGAAGACTCACTTTCACTCAAAACGCTTGTGCTGGAAAACGTGTCAGATCAAGCTGTGGTCGACCTCTGGACCAACCCCTCTGATGTTCTTGCCATCATGCGCGCCATCCTCCAACTCGAACACCTAGTGATATCATTTCGTCGTCACGAGGTTGATCCTCCCCGCGTGGCCTTCTATGGCACATGCCTGTGGGATCTTATCCACAATGCCGAAGTTCTACAGACCCTTTGCCTATCTGGCACCGACGATGACCGTCCACCCAGGGGCCTCAAGCAAACAAAAGCATGGAACATGACGATAGACGAGTGGAGGGCTCGCGCTCTCCCTTCTCCGCTGATTACGCTTCCGTTTCTGACGGCCCTCGAATTGAAGCGCGTCGAGATCACGCCGAATGTTCTTCGATGTGCTGCGCGCAATTTCGGCGAGACCCTACGCGAGCTGTACCTGAACGAGGTCTACCTCAAAGCCGAACAGGGCCATAACCTCAATGAAGACTCAAAGGAAATCCTCTGGATCGGACTCCCAAACCAGCGACCCGGCCTCCACGATGACTGGATGGCCATGATTATCCGAGATTCTTGTCCGAAGCTCCATACATGCCGTGCTTCTTTCCTCGGCTACGACCTCTACACCCGTGACGATCTGCCGCCGTCACCTGCGCCCTCATCTCCCGACTTTGACTTCATCGACCCCTGCGGACTCGGCCGCTCGATTGCGCAACGCTTCGTCGAAGTCGCACTGGGCTATCACCAGCCGCCTCAGTCGGACGGGTCGCCCGTGTCCTACCTGCCGGCCTTAGCCTCCAACGACTACCTGCTTACTCAGATGCGGCCTAGAACGCGCGCGCTGCGAGTCACCGAGTACGACGCCAATGCCTACCAGACGGCGGTGGATAACTCCACGAGCGGTTGGCAACGCAGCATTGACGGCGTGTTTCCCAACTGCAACAGCGGCACCCTCGAAGAACTTCACTACATTGCCGAGACTGCGTGTCAGGGTATGAATGAGATTCAGCGGCAGCGCAACGAGCACGTGGGCCAAGGTGAAGGGGTTGACGGCGAAGCTGGCAACGGCGAGAACGGTGGCGGCGGTGGAAATCTAGCAGAGAACCTTCTGAACCTGAACTTTGCAGAGGAGTAAATTCTCACCAAGCCTAAGATGCGCGAGATGAACATAGACTGGGCTTCCGAGCAGGATTGCTGTGCGACCTTGTCAACATCACGGATACTGAAAGGGTTAGTAACATGGATTGATGGTGTCAAGTGTTGGACTGTACGAATGTGCTTCCTAATTGCAGCGATGGCAAGCTGATCAATGGTCTTGGTAGAGAATGCTACCATTTCTTTCATTATACCCCGCCCTGTTCTAGAAGTTTTGATTGCTTAATATGCCTATGCTCCCTTTTAACCCTCTTTATACGTGATGATGATAATCATGATGCTAGCGGTAGTCGACGGCGCCTATGCCCGTCTCTAGCTCGTAAGAAATTCCCAAAATCGAATGCAGCCACACCCCCAACAAAACATCAGCAGTGGCATTTTCAGTTCGCCCCGCGATGGTAATAGGGTCTTTAGAATAGTAAAGTCTATCCGAAAATCAGGAGAAGTGCGCCTTCTTTTTAGTGACCGTTGACGCCGTTGGTACCGTTCTTCTGCTCCAAGACGGCCTTGTCGAGGGCCTGCAGCACATCGCGGCGCAGGTCCTCGGCATCCTCGACACCGCAGCTGATGCGCACGAGGTCGTCAAAGACGCCGACGGCCTCGCGCTGGTCCTTGGGGATGCCGGCGTGGGTCATGCTGCTGGGGACCTCGACGAGTGACTCGACGCCGCCTAGGGACTCGGCAAGGGTGAAGATGCGGGTGAGCTGGCAGAAACGCTCGGCGGCAGCGTGGCCGCCCTTGATGCGGAAGGAGAGCATGCCGCCACCCATGCCGTTGCGGTGCTGCTTCTTGGCGATGGCGCGGTGGGGGTGGGAGTCAAGGCCGGGGTAGTTCACGGCGATGACGTTGTCCGAGGCCTCGAGGGCGGTGGCGACGGCGGTCGCGTTGGTGGAGGCCTCGCGGGCGCGGAGGTGGAGGGTCTTGAGGCCGCGGTGGGCGAGCCAGCAGTCGAACGCGGAGGGGACGGCGCCGATGGCGTTTTGGAGGAAGCCGAGGCGCTGCTTGAGGTCGTCCGAGTTGAAGGCGGCGACGCCCATAACGACGTCCGAGTGGCCGTTGATGTACTTTGTGACGGAGTGGACGACGATGTCGGCGCCAAAATCGAGAGGGTTCTGGACGTAGGGGGAGAGGAACGTGTTGTCGACGACGACCTGGATACCGTGCTGGTGGGCCTGGGTGACGACGGCGCGAACGTCGACGAGGCGGAGGGTCGGGTTGGAAGGGCTCTCGATCCAGACGAGCTTGGTGGCCGGGGTGATGTGGGCCGAGATGTCGACCTCGATCTCGGGGGTGAATGTGACCTTTACGCCGTGGGCCTTTGCGACCTGGGTGAAGTAGCGGTGGGTGCCACCGTAGACATCGGAGACGGAGATGACGTGGGAGCCGGCGGCGAGGGACTGAAGGACGACGGCGGTGGTGGCGGAGCCGGAAGAGAAGGCGAGGGCGTACTTAGCATGCTCGAGGGCGGCGACGGCCTGCTCAAAGTTGTCACGGTTGGGGTTGCTGGAGCGCGAGTACTCGTAGACGCCGACGGGCTTGCCCACGCTCGTCTGGGCGAAGGTTGTGGACAGGGAGATGGGTTCGATCACGGCGCCAGTGACGGGGTCGTGGGGGGAGCCGGCGTGGACAGCGAGGGTGCCAAAGTTGTGGACTGGTGAGGGTGCCCGCGGAGGGGTCTCGATGGGGTGCTCGGCGACGGGGACGGTCATGGTTGCGATGGAGGGGTTCGTGGGCCGAAAGGGTAGGCGAGGGGCTATGGATGGATCGCAAGTTTTTGGTTTGGTGATGAGAAGAGGAAGTCAAAGAGATGGGGTATCTAGAGGAGAAGAAGGAAGATAGTATTGAGAAAATAAAACGACTACGTCCCCGGGGTTTGTGCGAACTAAAGTCGAAGGTAACCGAGTCGAGGGGTCGTTTTTTTCTTGTAGCTTGTTACGTATGAAGAAAAAAAAAAAAGTCGTCGAGTCTCCGTACCTACGATTTGGGTGGAAATTGCCCCGCTCCCTCTATCGACCGAAAAATGACGACGGTGTTTGGTGTCGGGGATACCCCAAGCTCCGAAAAGGAATCAATCACGCAATCGCGCGCCTGCTGACCAAGATGGTTGTTTGTAGTGAGTCAATGGGCTGGTTTTGGGGTGTGCTTGGTCGGGCTGGGAGCGGAAGCGGACAGGCGCGACGTTTTCGGTGGTTTTCCAACTATCGTCAAAACCTCTTATTTGCTTGCCCTTGTCTTGGAGGGGCAGTTGATGTACGATTTGGCAGAGACGGGCGGCCTGCGACAGGGAAACAAGTTGTCCAATTATCCAATCGCAAAGGTTGCAACTTCTGTGGATATTGAGGATGGTGCAATCCGGAGCTATGCAAGGCACTGAGCTCTTGTAGGCAGGTGATGAGGTGCTCGAGGGATTCTCCAGGGGGTAATACTAAGGTAGCTGCGCGGTCGATCGGGAAGGTCGACGACGTTTGGTTATTGAAGAGGGCATATGAAATCACATTTTATATCTCGGTCTCCTGGATGACGCCTTCGATTTCAAACACACCGCCCCGTGCCAGAGCTGACGCGATAAAAGGGCGCCATCTGAGAAGAGCTGAGTTGATGAGCAAGCGTGGTTCGATGAACTTCCGTCATCACAAATCCCGATGATGCACAATGTAGAGTTTGCGCCCTGCGCGGCCGTTTTCTCCGCTGTTTGTTTCCTCGCCGACTGATACTACCTGCATCCCCTGGTATATAAGCTGCTTGCTGACGAGACCTTGAAAGATACCACCATATGTAAGATACCTTGAGCAAGTATCAACAGTCGCGGCACAGACTCACAACAGGACCTTTCGGGGTCTTGGCTCCGCGTGCTGACATATCCATTCCTTGCATTGGAATTTGTACCTTTATAGATCAGGTAAGGCACCTAAGAAAGGTGAAGCTGCATGTGGCAGGATTGCGCACCAAAGATTGGCCAGGACGGGGAGAACGGCAAGGCCGAATGGCACCATGGCGGCCGGGAGAACTGGGGAAGGGTGGGGTCAAGAGGCTCGGTACAAGCGGCGGCCAGCTTCGGCCCTTTCCACACCTCATCGACAGTTCCTTTTCATGACTAATGGCGCTTGCACTGGCCATTCTTTTCCCCGCCGACGCACTCAACAATCCGCTTCAACCAACACCCACCCCTACAGCTCCCAGACAGCCGTCTTTTCACCCCAAGTCCTGCTTCACGGTAGGTTTGCTCCAAGCTTTCATGTCTAGAACTGTCAACTCTGTTTCTTGCCCACCTAAAACACTGCAAGTGTCGTACACGGCAGCGGCCGAACCTGTCCACTGTTGACAGGCTTGCTCTTTTCCGAATCCTCTGACTGGAAAAGTGACAAAAGGCGAGCCGGCGGGCGCGGGGGATTTGCCTAAGCTTACCCGTGCCATTGGGACACGCACCAGTGGCCCAAGTGAAGGGGTTTACCATCCGTAGGCCTGTGAGCTGGATTTTCACATGTTACGCTGTCGCCGCAAGTGTATCGAGTATCAGCGATGGAAAAAATGAAACTCACCCCTCTCCGACGACACTGCCAACAGAGAGGCCACGAGACCAAATGAAGCTGTCCTAATGTGGAAGGTCTTTCGCGTATAGGTTCCCGTGTCTTCTCTGCCAGCACGTTACGACCATGCCCTAGGTCGCCTATCTAGCACTGCAAATTCTGCGGGAAAACCAGGCACGGAGAGGTCACATTTAGGTGTGTTATCCCCCCTCAAGGCTGTTTCTTGCAAGTTGATCTGCCCGGTTCACGCAGACTAGAGCTGGTAGAAGCTTTTTGCCCGACTGGACTCTCTCAAACACCAGTCGCCCGACTACGGATATTACGACAACTGACTTTTTACGAGCGCCTCGTCGGAATGCGCAAGGATTGCCGTCCAGCCCTACGCAAAAAGTCTGTCACTAAAACGTTGTCTCGAAACCTTGGCGAACCGCTTTGCACCCGCACGGCGGTCGATCACGGCCCTTTTCTCTTTTGGGAAGTGCTGCTTTTTTTGGTCCTGGGCCTACCACCCTGTCCTTGGCTTGGGCGTCCTTGCATGTCAAGAAAAGTCACTTTTTAAGCTGGCAGAACGAACACACTGAAGTTTGAACCGGCCGTCCGCGCCCAACCATTTATCGCCCGATGACTGCGGAATTGCTCTGCTGTATTCGCGACTTGCTTCTTTGATAGGCGAATCCGCCGAGGCGAACGGAGCCTCGGATAACGTTATTGCGTTGCATCTGTTCTCCTTACTTTGCTTGCTTAAATGCGTTTCTCGATATCGACAGCCAAATGCCAGAGTTTGGAGCTGGCAGGTGACGGCGTGTTGCAAAAAACGCTAACTCCGAATGTCCGATGACCGCTTTCAAACGTAAACCCGCGGCTTTGCTATGCGAAGTCATCCAAACAATGCTCACATTGACGCCCTTGTCTATGAGCTGTATGCGCTGCCAGTGACGCCAGTGCCATCTTGAATACTGAGTTTGGGGAGAGAAGGGTATGTCCGGCGTAGTACAGATGCTTCAATCCTCAACCCAAAATCTGAAGGTCAGCTTTCTGTTACCTGCATCGCTCTAGCTTTCTTCACGTCTGCTTCAACGAAGCAACCGTCAAAGAAACATCGAAGCGTTGGTGGAAAGAACTGTAAATTGCTCCCGATGGATTCCCTCCAGCAGAGAGCTGTATAATTAGTGACATTCCCTGGAGAAGCGCCTCTTTCACAAGTGACCTGATTGGTATCTGCTTGCGATAACCGGCTCGGAGATTGTGGTACTATCGATCGACCACACGCCGTCCAAGTATCGTTTTGATCTCCTCGGGGTAGCTATTCAGCTTGGCTAGCATTGGTGGTGGGGCATAGTCCTTCAGCCGCAAAATGAATGCAGGAGTAGGCTTCAGATGAAGTCCGATGCGGAAACCCGTATATTCGCCTATTCGTACTTGACACCTTCATCTGGGCCAAAAGAGGCTGATGTCGCGAGTGAACAGGTGGGTAACATTCCAAGGTGTAAAACTATAAGCCTGACTCATTGCTCAGCGAGACGACTAATCGAGATCAATAATCGACCGAGTTCATGGAACAGGTCCAATATGCTGCAGTTCACCTGTACAGATCTTCGGATAATGCCAAGAGCGCATAAGTCAGGGTGCTCGAAGGCTTCTTCTGACAGGAGTCATCGTCCAACTACGCTCCGCCGCCTTGTCTTCGAACAGGTGTAGAAATTGTGTTTACAACTGGGCAAATCAAAGCTGCACCTAGAGACACAACTTGTAAGTTTGCTGGTTTAAGGCCAGTCAACCGGGCTTAACGTTGTGAGAAGCTGATTTTAGCGGTAATCTTTCAGTTCGTAGCTACAGTTTTCTGGGGCGCTTCCTATCTGACACATTTGATACATTTGACGCATCCTGTATAGGAAATATTCAGAGTACGTAACCCGCCCGTCAGCCTTGTGAAGGTAGACTTGACGTTAGCTATGACGAGTGTCACTCAGCCGATGTTTGCTTATCTCAATTACGGTTCTTCAGGGTGAGACAGACTTGAAGCGGCAGTGGCACTAATCCTGAAAAGGGCACCTGCCCTAAACCTTTTGAACCCTGCGGAATAGCTGTTGCATTGTCGTTGCAAACCTATTGTCCATGCTTGTGTCAGTCAACAGCTGAGCTGGTCGGCTATGGTCTATCGTTGTGCCTTCGGCCTGGACTCCGCCTCCGATGAATCAATGGCACCCACGGCCCCGGACGCTGTCACACCCTCTAACCTAGAATTGCATCATTCTTGTCAAGCGTGTTGTCAATGTTCCATCCGGTGGTTGCAGGAGCGGACACGCCGCGGGGGGGGGATTCGGTAGCGTCTCCGCCAGTCCGGGGTGCTCCTAAGCGATGTCTGTGGGCAAACCCATTTGCGACATTAACCACGAAAGGCTTGGCTCTCCTTGTCTTTGCTAGGAGGGGCCTTCTAGAAACCTCTCGCCCGCCGCGGCCCGCGGTTGTTGCTGGCTGTGTGTTCGCGTATCAATACCTGCCTCACGTGCCAGATGCCGGCCATATATCACTATCCGGCCTTCGTTCCCTCCCCATGCCAGCTCCATGCAAGACCCCAGGATTGTTTCAATCGACATGCCTTGCATGTGCGGCTTAATCGACAGTGGGAATAGAGGTGTCCAAGCCTCCTCCAGATCTACGTCAGCCACCTTTCCGCCCCGTCACACCACTCGGATGGCCCGGCCTCCGACCCAATGGCCGGCATTGGGTTCCTGCGCGTACACCACACCAGCGAGCTCTCGAAGCTCTTTGATTGGACCATGGTCGCCGCCACTCAACCTTAAGGACATCACATCCCATCACAGGTTTCCAAGAATCCACACTAGTAGATTGCAGATCATATTGGCTGCAAGTTATTGACGGAACGTTTGCCAATTAAACGTGGATTTGGTAAGTCCAATGGGCGCCACACCTTGAAAACGAGAGCTCGTGGCGATGCAACACGACGTTCATCTGCCGACATTTACTTGACAAAGCTTCATCGCCAGTTGACGCGTCGCTGCGGTACATGTCTCGGAGGTTGTGCGTAATGTTTAAGCTGTTAAAAGAGACCAAAAAGCTGCAAAACCCGACGGACGGGGTTCGGCGGGTTTCCACGCGGTAAACAACGCGGAGTCGGGTTCATGAATCTCGTTCGTCTGACTTTTGGCCTGTATGCCGGGCTTCACCGTCGCGCAATCTCTGTGTTCTGCATCCCGCCCGGACCATCCACGCTCGTCATCCCTGGCCCCTACTCATATTCGAGGAAACTTCAGACTTTGAATCTCCTATCCCACCGGCAAAGGCGCCGAAGGAGAGTCGGAGGTGAAGATTGTTTGAAAAGGTTACCACGGGACTCGGGTACCGGCAACAGGGCTGAGGGATGATTTTACATCTCACCCTACCCGACGTTTAGTCTTCCGGCAGACACAGACGACAACGAGAACGACAACAATACAGGGTTTGTTTTTTTTGGCAGACGCAACTCGCGTACGTCCCCCCGCGTTCTCCCCCGATCCGCCCGCTCACCCGCCCGCTCCGTGTGGGAGGTTGTCTCGTCGTGGTGTCGTGTCGACCAATCTCGCAGCTTCTCGGCCGTGTCGTCCCTACTCCTCCGTCAGGAGGCGAAACGCCCAAGCGGGGACACCGCAGACTGTGAGTTCCCCACTGCCCGTTTGCGAGTTGTGTAGTGCAAGGGATTCTTGGACAGAGAAAAATGCAAGGCGCAGTTCTGGTTCAGTTACAGGGGAACAGTACCCGTTGCGGCGAGCACGCATGGTTGTAGGTGAAGCAGATGCCACGGGATATTTGGCTGTGACATTTAGACTCTGAGCCCTGCTCTGGTCGGGCTTGCTGCTTTGCTACTAATTGCTGCCGCTGCCCAACTGATCGATGTGCCGCCCACAGCGGACGGGGACCAGGGCCGATGAAGTGGACGGTTTGACGTGTCGGGTTCGTACTCCGTACCTCGTACCTTATTTCATGTGAAGTTTTCTTCTGTTGGCATGGGACGGGTTATGAATGCTTTGCGTGAGCGCACATGTAGAGGGCCCAGAGGTAGTTGACATGATGGCTTCACCTTGACAGTTTGTATCCCATCTTGGGTATCTTGGGAAATTCTCGGCGTCGAGTTGGCACTGGCAGAAATCCCACATAATCCGTCTTGTGGACGTACTTGGAGTGCTGCAAGGGTCACAGGATATGTGCAGCGGGTGACATGTTTACATACTGGAAATTTGACGCATATTACTCTGTATCCTACTCTGTAGAAGAAAGTAGGTAACGAAGTAAGCCAGGTATTCGCCAGTCGATTCTGCTATTCCGCATCCAATGTTCAAGTCGTCGGCTCCGGGAATCGTGAGTATACAGTGTAGTATACCTAGTGTATGAGTGAGGTGTGGGTCATGTCACCGTGACCACAGCGTGGCGGAGCATGACGGTGACAGACGCAAAGTCCAATGCGTACCTAAGGTAAGGTAAGGTACCTTAGCTGGAACCCGGCAGGAAGGAAGTTACTTTCAATTGGTACTAGACCAGTATGAGGCGGACTTGTACCCGCCTGTCCGTCCGGCCCCAGAGTACGTACCTAAGGGTATCTGCCACTCTTAGGTTGGTTGTTATGGGGTCTGAGTTGACAATTCGCCGCAACTCGATTTGGTCGGTGTGGAGGCTGCACAGCCTGCAGCCCGCAGCCCGCCGCTCACGGCCCACGGCCCACGGCCGCCAGTGTCAGTGACTCTGCACCTCTTTTCCCCCCTTCCCTTTCTGCCCTATGACAGCAAACAACAACCGTTCAACGCTAACAAAATAACGTCTTTCGTTCTTCAGACTGAAAAACCCGGCGTTCACCTCGACTTCTCCCAACATTAGTGCCTCTTCCTTGCTTCAACTCAAATCCAAGACCTCTGTTGATTGACTACCCTTACCTCACAAAAGGTACTTGCACCCAGGACTCAGTCCAAGCTCTGGATTGCTCCGCCTTCTGCCTCACATTGAGTCGCTCTCTTGCGATAAGGATTCCCCTTCTGGTCTTGTTGTCTGTTGATTTAGTCGACGGTCCCAAAAAGAGAAAGGACAAGCCCTTGGGCCCACCAGACAACACGCACACCCCCGGCCCCCCGGTCCCTCGAACCCCGAATCGTCAATCTCCACAACTACAACTTGCCCAGTCTACCCCGAAACTTCGACACCTTCAATCTCTCCGTTTCTTTTCTTCCCTCCCACCTAACTGACTTCGTTACCCTACGCCCCTGTTGACTCCTTAAAGACAACTCGGCCTCCAACTCTCACCACTTGCATCCCATCAACAAGCCTGCATTTCTCTGTCATGCTCCTCGGCCTGTCACATTTTAGCCCCCGCGAGATACAGACGTCAACGTCGACTCTGATTTCCCGTTGACGACACGTGAAAGCCAACTCACGCTCACCTTATAGAGTTGGACCCCACCGAACTGATCACCGCTTCGGCATCTGATCGCCAATACCCTCTCGTGTCGCCAACATGCCTCCTAGGAGATCGCACAAAAAGTCTAGAGCCGGCTGCAAGCGGTGCAAGTCGCGCAAGATCAAGGTACCATCGTCTATCCACATGCTTAGGCTTCACCACCAGCTGTATTTGGAAAGTATGGCTCTGAAAACTGACACTAGCCCCGTGACAGTGCGATGAGGTCCATCCAAGGTGCGGCAACTGCGTCAAGCACGGCGTGCCATGCGACTTTGAGAACCCCGACATGTTCGACGACCTCCTTACTGCTCTCACACCCTCTCACACCCAATCGTCACAGTCTCCCATCGACAGGGCCTCGTCCACAGCACCTTCGCCGTCTGCATATCGGGCAAAGACGCCCTCGTTTGCAGGCTCACCCCCTGCCATGAATTGCTCGCCGCTCTACACAACGCCTTCTACCGCTACCGTCTCTGCCACGACCACGCCCAACAATCGACTTCTGGAGTTGCGATTGATGCACCAATTCACGTCGATGACCTCCCGTACGCTAGTGGTGAACACCCCCGCCACGCAGGATATTTGGACAAACACAGTTCCGAGGCTGGCCTTCGGCGGTGCCACCTATCTGGCGGATGCTATGCTTGCCGTGGCTGCATTACACCTGCGCTCATTCAACCCAGACGACAGAACACTAATTAGGGCGTCCCACTCATACATGGCGTCTTCGCTGGCGGCGTATTGCACAACCTTGCAGAATGGCATTACCGAAGCCAACGCTGAGTCACTCTTCCTCACAGCAGCTCTGATTGCTTTCCAGTCAACGGCTACGCGAATCTTTATCCGCGACGAGGCCGACCCGAGCGACCCTTCTAGCGCTTACTCTCTCCCTATTTCTTGGTTCCACGCATTCCAGGGTGTCAAGACAGTTGTAGCGACATCTTGGCCCTGGATTCGCAACAGCGGTGTTGTCATTCCCATCATCGATTCTCAACCCGTCCTCCAGCTTGATCTCGATGCGACCTCGCCCACGTCTTTCTTTGGAAAATTGCTCGACAATGTGGAAGAGGAGCTTCAAAACGAAGACACGCTTATGGCCATGTCAACCAGACAATCGTACCAGCATGCCGTTGCCGTTCTGAATTGGGCGCACAAACTGCCTCATCGTGGTGCGGCCCTTGCCTTTCCCGCCACAGTGTCAAAGCGTTTTATTGAGTTGCTTGAAGAGCGTCGACCTCGCGCCCTGACGATTCTTGCCTGCTTCTTTGCGCTGCTCAAAGGCTTTGAGTCAGCAGTGTGGTGGCTCGACGGTGTCGCGCGGAGAGAAGTCATGGGCATTGTCTCGCAGTTCGAAGCCACAAGCCCCTGGTGGGAGCACCTCGAGTGGCCCGTGCGAATCGCCCTGTACAAGAATTCAATCATTCCACCAGAAGTCTGGGGATCAGACTGGGTCACAGAGGAAAGCAAGGCGGACAGGGGCCACAACATGACTGCTGAGTCGTTTGTAAACCACATCGAAATCCTGACGGGTGTTTTTCAAAGAGCGCAGCAGATCCCAACAACGGGCATCACGATCCCGGCGAATGCGGTGTAAGCGGAACAGCTGGCTATTACGCGGACACACGTATGCGACGACGTATATTCCAGATTGAGCAATACTTAGATCGGCCGATGTTTCCGGCATGAGAAGTGCACATAAGAATGGAACGGTAGGAGTTATGGATTTAAGGAGTTTCAGCTCGTAAGGCTATACGGGTGGGTAGTCTATGGACGGAACGCATTAAGCACGGACGGGTCACTTGTGTTTCGACTTCATTTGTCTTCTTGCGGATCACAGGCCGTCCAGAGGAAGAACGAGAAGGGACTGATTATCATCACAACATATATGGGTCAGGATTTTACGAGGGCAATGTGTAAGCATTTTCGCGGGAATGGGTTTTTGTTCGGATATCATACAATGGCTGATAGCGGGGTTCTACAGCCAGGACAGCTCAGGCAGAGCATACATAGGAATTTTGGCATATGAATTTGATGACATCACGGATTGGTTGAAAGCAAGGCCGGACAAGTTTTGACTGACGAGGGATCCCCCTGAAAGAGATGAACAGACGTTATTGCCGGCCATGTGCTGCCTAGCCAAACATGCCATCTGCTCGCCTACAGATTGACAGCTGCTAAAAGGATGTTGCTCAGTTCGGACGAGTTCCCACACTCTCTCTTTGGCGATGCCGAGGGAAGAAAGTGGCGGAGCGCTCGCGTTCATGCGCCATGTGATTGATGTGTGCCGGCCGGTCGTCTACGGTGCACCGCGCAGGACTCTTTTCCCGCAAGCTTTTCCGATAGGCAGTCAAGGTCTTACCGTAGACTGGCTGTCGCCTTTGCTTTCCTACCAAGAGTTTCTCGTTTGGTTTTCTTAGTGCTGTTCCATCTCAGCTTTCCGCTTATGTTCACAGTAGATTAGGCTGATCAATGTCTCCTGCCGCTCTTCTTGGGATTTGTTGCCGAGGTGGAAAGAGAAGGCCAAGACTTTTCTTGTTGTTTTGACATGAGATGAGATGAGCGTTTGTTCTATTTGGCGAGAGCAGAAGCATGTGGGAGCCGGCAGTAGTAGTTGAGGAAGTCAGGTAGCTGACAGGTGCTTGGCGTATGACAGGTGCTTGGCATATGACAAGCACGGTTGAAGTAGCTGCCCAGGCCTACCCGTTCCACCATGAGAGTGTTATGAATGGAACACTGTCCATTTCCGTACAGAATGCCGCGAAGCCTCCGCTTCAATACCCCCGACCGGGAAGGAAGAGCGGGAAACTCAGTGTCAATTGACACGACTGCCTTCGGGGCCGCGGAACGGCGGAGAGGGGGAAATACAACAGGAGGTTCCTAGGAGGTTCCTCTCCGAGAAGTGGAGATGACGACGCCCGCGTGCTGACTCGGGGGCGGGGGGCAAAAAGATTCTATGGGTTATCCCGGAGGCAGTGAGCAGTGGCGGCGGCGGCAGTGTCAGCGGTCATCGGCAGCGGTTGTCAAGTTGGGCCCCGTCACCATCGGCAGGGAGTGGGAGGAGCATATGAACCCGCGGGAGACGCAGATCTGCCGAGCGAGTGCGGCGCAGGTTTGTGAGTTTAACCATGTTTCGGCTGATGGCTCCTATGCCGGAGCGTACGGGAGTGGTCATATCTTTTGACACTATCACTTCCCGTCCCTACCACTGGGCCCTTATTACGCGCGGCGTACACAAAGTGCCGAACCAAACTTTGTATCCCGGTAAGGATGGTTTGAAGCAAGAGTCGATGAACGGTCAGCCATAGGTAAGCATTCCGGTTTGAGTGTCCTGTTCGTGAACTTCGGTGACCATGTGCATGGAATATTGGGTCAAGACTTGAAAGTTTAATCTGCTCCAACGGCTTGCAACTCATTCGCGGCGCTGGAAGAGCTTGTGATTGTTGCTGGATTTCTTCGCAACCAGTTTGGGGAGGCCAAGACAGCTCCTGCTATTGGTTTCTGATGAGGGCTATTCAAGTTTTTATCCTAGGGCTTCTCAATATCATCAGATGACCCTCCTCTGTCCGGAATGGGTGTCGCAAGTGTCAAGGCAGAAAGCCTCTTGTTATTCGGTTTCTAATCCTAAGCTGGGGGGCCAACGTCGCTGTGGAGCTTCTCTACTCTCCTGTCTCTTCCTAAAGAAGTGATATCTGGAGGGTAGTCGCATTGGGAAGGTCGCCAGTTGGTTTACCCGCCCCCTTTCCCTGCACAGAACTGACTGCATGGAGACGAGACCACGGTTGTGTAGATGAAAATGGAAGAGTGAGCAACATCTTCTCCAGTTTCTTCAGGAAAAAAGAAATCCAACACACGCGTAGACTTGCTGAGGCGGCTGTCGGACTAGCAGGCCAAACAATCTAGCGCCATCAAGTAAGTCGCGTGGCATCGAGAAGCTTTCATAGAATCTTGCCGGTTCCCAAGCCGGCATCATCTTTTTGGACGGCAGGTTGGAGAAGACTTCATTCTGTGGAGTGAAATCGTGGGGGAAGATAAATTTAGACAAATTTGAAGAACGTGACAGCCGTCCAAGGATTCATAATTTTCCAGGAATCTATTCTCGAAGTGAGTCCGGAACCCGGGGCTAGCAGCGGTGAAATGGTGGTTCTGGGGCATTTTGACGATGCGCCATTGGCGCGCATCCGTGTCCGGAGCCCACAACAAATCTTTCACGATGCGCTACGCAGCCTACGCTGCAAGTAGCCGACGCCGACATCACGGCAATGTCGGAAAGAAGCAGCGAGGTGAGGGATGGGCTGCATCAGCAAGCGAGCCGAGTTCCGTTTCCCCGGAAATGATGGAGGAAATAGTGCCCTCATGATAATGTTGCACCACCCTAACTTGTTCAATGAAGAAGTAGCGCCGACGGTTGCCAACTTTTGTGTTAACTTGATTCGGACGGCACTCCGACTACACTTCCCTTCAACTTTGCGATTGTAGATGCGGCGGCTGTAGGTTCAACTGAGGGCCAAAGACGTTATTTTTGATCATATTGGATTGATGGTGTTCGTTCAACGAAGTAGACAAACGAAGTAGACAGATAATGATCCTTCTCCGCGTTCACGATAAGCCCGGAGAATTTGATAAGTCGGACATGAGGATGGACATTCGCTAAAGCTGCGCTCGGGGATAAGTTGCAGGTGTTGGGATCATGGCTCCGGACCAAGCTTATTTCAACATCCCCCCCGTCAGCACGAAAACCAAAAAGTCTTTCCGTCCTAGCCGGACGACGACGACAAGGGCAGGTCACAAATTGCAATAGCCGCAATTGAAACTACATTAAATTAAGTGCCGTGTGAGGGAAGCTCGTGCCAACGGCTTCCGATCAAATGTTTCGTGTTTGTCTTTTTCTTGTCTCTCTCCCGTTCGAAGGATGACCTCGAAAACTGAAACAGTCCAGGGATAAACCCGTCCAACCTGTCATCTCGGTACGCAAGCCACTGCTCCAGGCAGCTCGGGCCTTTTCACTTCGACCCGCACTTTGGCTGACGACTTGACGGAGTGGCAGACGACACTTGGATTAGTGAGAGAGCGGGCTTGTTGACGCCGAAAAGACGGTTGAGAACAGACGCTGGTCACCCGAGTGCCAGCGTGCCAAAGAGTTGAGGGGCGCAGCTCGCTTGCTTGCTTCCCTTCCAAGAGCAAACGAAAGGGGACGGCCTGCCTCGCAAAAGGTTCGCCAAGTTGTACCAAGTTGAACCAAAGTTGACAGAAAGGGCAAAAAGGGTGGAGAAGATATGCCATGATTGGCGGATTCGCCAATTCTTCCCTGACCAAGGAGTTGCGCGATGAAACGTCAAATCCCCACAGCCAACGGGGAAGCCCGAGAAGGGCATGCTAGGCACTATGTACGTACACTAGTAGGCAGTCGAGCCGGGCCGGCTGCTCTGTACATTGTAGGCTATGGCTGGCCGGCCAGCACTTAGCTTTGGCAGTGTTTGGTAAGCAAAGAAAGGTTCCTCGCTTCTCTACAGAGTACAGACTACGGACGGGGCAATATGGATGAAGCAGACGGATGCCTGTCGGCTCCTCTTGTCTTGTTAGTCTTACGGGTGTTGTGACCGGTGGAGGCTATACCAGGGTTGCACTTCGTCCGGTGTCGTCTGCTGATTGCTGGTGAGTATTTGCTTCCGGTGGCTGTCGAAGCGGGGGTTTCCAAGAGATGGATTCGTAGGATCCCGTCAATTAGACGAAGGGACGGGACGGGGACGGGGACGGGTCCGTTTAGTTGATGCCGTGGAAAGGGGGTACGAAGTAGGGAGGCGGGAAAAGGTAAGGTATATACCATCCCCGGGAGCAGGAATTCCACGAAGGAAATGCGAGAATTTCTGCTCTGTTACTCGCGTGTTTTCTTCTTCACTCTGGGAGGGGCCTTTCTCTCCCCTTCTTTCCATTCTCTTTGAGCAAAATCCGAAAACAGCCGTCATCATCGTCGATCGATCGTCGTCGTCGCCCAAGATGCTCGCCTCCCTCGCCTCCGTGTTCCTCCTCGCCCTCGCCACGGCCAACGCCTCCCTGACCTACAAGGGTGTCGACTGGTCTTCGACGACCATCGAGGAGAAGGCCGGCATCCAGTATAAGAGCAGTTCCGGCGCCTCTCAAGCTCTCGAGACCATCTTCAAGAACGCCGGCGTTAACTCGGTCCGCCAGCGCGTCTGGGTCAACCCGTCCAACGGCGACTACAACCTCGACTACAACCTCGCTCTCGCCAAGCGCGCAAAGGCAGCCGGCCTCTCCGTCTACCTCACCCTGCACTTCAGCGACACCTGGGCGGACCCTACCAAGCAGGCCATCCCATCAGGATGGCCCTCGGATATTGAAAACCTCAGTTGGAAGCTCTACAACTACACCCTGGATGTCAGCAATGCCTTCCAAAAAGCCGGCGTCCCCCCTGCCATCATCTCCGTCGGGAACGAGATCACCGCCGGGTTGCTCTTCAATACGGGCAAGACCTCCAACTGGTACAACGTCGCCAAACTTCTCAACTCGGCCGCCTACGGCATCAAGGACTCGACATTGAGCCCCAAGCCCAAGATCATGATCCACCTTGACAACGGCTGGGACTCGAACCTTCAGGCAAACTGGTACACCAGCCTCCTCGCCCAGAACGTGCTCAAGGCTACCGACTTTGACATGATGGGCGTTTCATACTATCCCTTTTATGGACCCGGCGCCACCCTGGCGGCGCTCAAGTCGAGCTTGTCCAACTTGGCCTCCAAATGGGGCAAGGAGATTGTCGTCGCCGAGACCAACTGGCCCACAAGCTGCCCCAGCCCCGCCTATGCCTTCCCGAGCGACCTCAAGAGCATCCCATTTTCCGCTGCCGGACAGACGACCTTCCTGCAGAAGGTTGCCGAGGTCGTTGCTGGTGTTAGCAACGGAAAGGGTCTCTATTACTGGGAGCCCGCATGGTGAGACTACCTCGAGCCATTTTCACTGTCTAGGACATCGGCTAACAGGTTCCAGGATGGACAACCAGGCACTCGGCTCTAGCTGCACTTCCAACACCATGTTCTCGTATCCCGGCACCGCACTGTCTAGCTTGGATACATTCAAGAGTATCTAAGAGGGCGCCTTCCCACAGTAATGGCGTGGTAGGATGTAGTGGAGGATTGCTCATATTGATATCAGCTCATCTTCATACTTGTCGGAGGACCCTTTTTTCCAGATGAAGACTGCGTGGATATCGTTTACTTCAGCACGTGTATATATTTAGCATTGTTCGTACATAGTCACGCCAGATGAAGCAACAGCCCTGGCGGTATATAAGCATAGAAAGTCAATTCAGTCATAAAACTCGACTACATCCTATGTAACCCATCCCGAATTGCCCTGCTTAGTTTGTCCGGTCCATCAAAAGACGTGTCTAGTTATTCACTGTGCGAGAGGTTTCATATTCTCCTATCTTAACCATTGTCATCCTAAGATGAGGGTTTCATTGCTACCTTACACGCGCATTTCAAGGGCCTGTCTACTCAAGTAAATCGAGTAGGTATAGTATGGAGGCAGCTGCTCTATTGCCGAGACATGTGTCTCATACTTGTAATAATATCTGTTGAAGCATTGTTCAGCTTCACAAACTGCTGCAATATCAGCCGTGGACTCAGACTGTTTTGGGTAGTCCCATCTTTTTATGGCGTAGTCTAGGTATTATGCGTTAAGTCGACATGATTTTCCTCGGCTATTTGACGTTGTTCGGCCGTGACCTTCTCTAAATGGCCATGGTCCATGGAAAGAATCTGTGGCGATCATAGGGACAAACCACCAATTTTCCTGTCGCCTGGAACCCGTTGGATGGCACTATAAGAGATGCCTGTGCGACTCAATGCCAAGGTTTTTGTGCCGGTTCCTTCCATTGACCTGGGCAGGTGCTACGATGAATTTTGAAAACTTCTTACAGCGCAGATATGTATGGAGCAGTGCTGGTTGCCCCCTTGTTTGCATTGGACAAAGATGAGAACAAATCAGTCAAGACTCCTAGGGTCCCCGGCGCCGGCGATCAAATGAGATTGTAAGACCAAGCTCAAGCTCGTCGTCAATTTGGAGGCGGCAAACTCTTATAACTGAAGAGTGGCTACTTGTAAAGCTTTGTGTGGACAATGATCGATTTAAGCAAATTGGTACACTACATAAAGGGTAGAAAGCATCAAGCTGCCTTTTGATAATGTCCAGCTAAGGGCGCTATGAGGTTCAATCTTGTTAGGTCGTCGATAAACTGGAAGCCGCTGCAATGTGTTGTGAGTCAAGCAGATCACAGAGGCGTGACCAGGTCGTCGAGTCATCAACATATTCGGTATTCGCAACAGGAGCCTGGCTCGCATTAGTCTAAGAAATATTCAATAAACATGAGCTGCAATGTCTCCCGGTCAGCTGAGAGTGCGTTCGCTGGATGAGCGACCAGCCAGGAAAAGTCCCGTATCATTATAAATGACATTCACTATATAGACACCATTGTCACGAAGTCGTCCTTTGCCAGTCTACAAATGGGAATCTTGCTTCATCTACCGAGGTTAAATTTTGATGTTGTCACTCACGGGCATCCACCCAATCCCACTTCATGAGGTGACATAACGCCTGAACGCCAGTTGGGGCTCAACTGCCCCGAATACCATCAGCGAAACGTCTTGCTCCAGGTTTTGAAAGGGAGCACAGCATTCCCACTGTTTCCCGATAGCTCCTCCTCTGCCATTATATTCGAGACAATCTTCACAATGGGCTCGCATTCCTCATGAATCTCCTGATGGCCTCGCAATTTCTCTACTTCCTTTTAAACGAGCAACACAGCATTTACGCAACCATCGTTTTCCTTGGGGCAACCGTTAGTATCAAGCGCAGCAGCAGTTGTCAAGCAATGGGTTGTCACATACGGGTGAGTTGGTTACCTGGGCGTAACGACCCCATACGACCTTTCCAGATGCTGTGGTAAGGCCCATGTCTGATACGTTAACTTCCAGGACGGTTCCCTTGGTCTGTCACAAGGCTATTAGCATTTGCTTCGAAACAGCTCGAAGGCAGGGAGGCCAGTGACTCACCAAGACACCCAAATTCGTGTAAAGAGGATTCTGGGGGTTCTTCTTGACGCCCTGTAGAAGTTTTAGTGTATTGCCTCGGCCAAATTAGTCATAAGGGTACGCACCAGGATTGGTAGTTTCACAGTCACGTTAAGCTCAGGATGACAAACATGCGCATGCTTGTAACGCAAACTGGAGAGAGTGATTAGGAACAGTGACAACGGAGGAACGCTTGGGATCACTTACCCCATAGGACGGATGAATCTGTTGTTGGAAAATCACCTCGTTAGCAAGATCCTCAACATATGCCAAATTGGTAAAATTACCGCTCGTGCTTGGGGTCTCTCCGGGTGAAGTTGGGTCCGACAAAAGTAGGCTTCGTGATCATACGCTTCCAGGACTTTTGGTGCGTCTTCTTTCCCGTCGAGATGACCTTGAACATCTCCTCCTCACTGATACCCTTGACCTTGGGCAGTGGCACTTGGAATCTAGCAGCCTTTTCGGCACGCTTGTCTGCAACGTTTATTAGCACTGTGCCCCGGGGTTGCAACGATTTTGGGTTCTAACTCTTAATCTGAGAAGAGATAGCCTTGGCGTTGCTCGGGTTGTTTCGGTCGAGCAGGTAGGCGGGCATGGGCTCGCTGGGCTCCTTCTCGTCGTTCGTCTTGACGTTGCGCTCCTCGTGGGCCTTGATCTGCTTGCGCATCTGGATCTTTTCGTTGTGGCGCTTCTTCGCGTGAAGCTTGGCGCGAAGACCGCGCAGGTTCTGCGCATCTTTGGAAGCCTTGTGACCCTCACGAGCCTCCTTCTTGCGAGCCCTCTCCTCGTGATCGAGTCTTGAAAGAGAAGAATGTCAGCATCCTTCGACAATATCCTAATTTTGTTCACATTCTAACCTCCGACCATGAAGCTTGCGCCATCTCTCCATATACTGGTTTCATTTGTTAGCGCGAGCCGAGATTAGGAAACGGAAGCGCCCTTCGGAGGGCATATCGTACCTCGTTCTGTTTTGGCAAATTTGTCAGTACTGGTTCCGAGGATAGGGACTGGTTCGCAAAGCGCCACGAGGCTACTTACCTGAGGCATATTGACTTATTTACGCCGTTAGCGATTGCACTGTTACAAAGTCGTGGTGCTGAGTTCGACGAAGTCTAGACGTCCGCGGTGTAGATGTTGGCGAAGCTCCCCAGGGTCGTCGTCCGTCGAAGTGGCGGGTAGCCAAAAAAAAAAAATCCCATATCGATAGCGATGTGGGGTCCGACCCCCCAAAATCGCGGTCCAGACACCAATATCCCTGTCAGAATCGGCGGAGCGACACATTTTCCGATCACCCCCAGCAAGGACAATAGAGTGTACTCTATCCGAACTTTTTTGAAGCCTCACATTGGTCTGGTCCAAGTCGCGCCGAGAGCGAAATAAAGGCTAAAGTCGACGAACGTGAGAAAACGCAATTGGGCCGCCAAACGAGGTTCAATTGTCTTTTTCCAACGGCAAATCTATTTCAAGGGAATCTAAATCGACAATGAGTCGATCACTGCTGCGCTCCGTCTTGGAGCTCAGGACACCCATCACGCGCCTGCCGCCGACCTTCCTCCTCCCGATCCACACCCGAAGCTTCAACTCTACGGCGCCAATCATTGAGCCCGCCGGAGCCACCCAGGATGAGCCTCCCGTTGCTGCGCAGACCTCTTCAATAGCACAACAGGCCGCCGCCCAGATCGCTACGCAGACTTCAACACCATCCCCGACGACCCCGATTTCCGAATCCGTCCAGACGGCCCTTCCCTTCTTAGCGGCCCAGCCCAACCACTACATCACCTTCCACATCCACGGACGCCCGTACCTTGTTCAACCTGGCGACAGCGTTCGCCTGCCCTTCAAGATGCCCGGCGTCGTTCCCGGCGATATCCTCCGCCTCAACCGTGCCTCCGTCATCGGTAGCAGAGATTACACTCTGAAAGGCTCACCCTTCATCGACGAGCGAGTGTACGAGTGCCGTGCCGTGGTGACGGGCACCGAGAGCGAGCCAATGCGGTTGAAGACCAAGACGAAGAGGAGGCAGCGGAGGGTGAAAACGGTCAAGAGCAAGCACCGCTACACGATTCTGACGGTTAGCGAGCTGAAGATCAATGCTCCCGAGGAGATTGAGGCTTGAGAAGAATAGTTGGCTGGGGTTGTGCGGGCTTGTTCGAGTATGAATCAGGAATAATAGGCCATGGATCGTAGAATTCTATGTTCTAGTATCGTTCCCCACCGGGGCTGTACCAATAGATAAATAAATACAATCACGTCATGTAGGATTGTAGACTCTCATAGTCACTGAAAATGTTGAAGCCGGGAGGCTCAAGTAGAAATCGATTAAGACACTGTCCATGTCTGCGTCTCCAAAAACGTGCCCAGTCATGAGTGAAGGCTGAAGCCTAGGGAATCAACATCGAAAGCAGTGGTGAAGAAAAAAAAGACTGCACGAAGCAGTTAAACAAGAAGACAAAGCAGCCCAAGAAACTCCGAGCTGTGGATATTCCGATAATCATTCAACCCAAGTAATGCCACCATGACGCCATTTCCAATAACAATACCCGTACACTCTCATCATCTGCTATGATTCGTTGCTTTTTTGACACTGGTCCAGTAAGCCGATGGCCACACAGACATGGCCTCAGCATCTGTCGGCATGCGTTCTCGGCACCTAGTGACGACGCTCTGGATAATTCTACCAAGAAGCTCTTCGTCGATCGGGAGTGCCTTTTCGCTTATCTCATTGGGGTAGAGGAAAGGATCGGTTTCGTGGAGGAGCTCTTCACATGAGGGCCGCATGTGGACATCACGGTTGAGACACCGCCTCAAGGTTCGCAAAAGAGAAGGAGGTACTGGGACTCCGCCCATTGCCCTGGAAGGAAATTCGATGTCGTGGTCCCAGTTGATGATTGCCTGGCATCTCGCCATTTGATTATTGATGTGACCGAAAGGAGGTATCCCGTAGACCAGTTGGTACAGAATGCACCCGAGAGACCAGACGTCGCTCGGCTTTCCGACTTTCATCAATTTGGGTCGTCCAGGAACCCGGCCACCCCGAGGCGCATTGGAGTCCAGGAGTGACTCGGGGGACATGTAATTTGGTGTACCGACTTGCGTTTCGCGGTGCACATTGACGGTCTCGTCTGATTGAATGGCATTGGCGATACCGAAATCGATGAGCTTCAGGCGGCCCTTGACAAGCACAAAATTGGCTGGTTTGAGATCCGAGTGCACGATTTCGGACTGGTGAACCGATTGGAGGCACTCTAACATTTCTTTCCAGTAGAAGCGGACCAAAACGGAATCAAATTTGGGCGATTCTGGGTTTTGCCGACTCCTGAGAAGAGTGTAGAGATCCAATTCGCCCATTTCCATAAGCTGTCGGCAGGTTAGCGGGGCCCCAACAATTCTGCAAAGTGTGACTTACTAAAGTAAGCATTTTCTTCTCACTGTTCATCTCGTAGTCGAAGAGATTGATGACTCGGTCATTGCCTCTCAGCTTTCCCAACAGGTCGATTTCGCCTTTGTAGCCCCTGACTGTTAACTCATCCGCATTCTCCAGGGACACCCTCTTCAGTGCAAACATTGCTCCGTTTTCGGCAGTAACACGGTAGACCTTAGCGCTACCGCCTCGGCCCAGACAGTCGAGCCTTGTGTAGGATTTTCCATTGACACGAAGGATATTCCGCCTTTGCTTGCCCTGAGTAGTTGTTGCTGCGCCGGCGGATGTTGTAGCGGCATCGAGGACAGACATCTTGGGCGGAGGCGGAGGAGCAACCCGACGTGGGGTATTGTTAGCTAGGGAGGCCAGAGGCTTGCGTTCGGGAGATGCCGCGGGTCTCTGATGCACAGCCTCAGAGTTGATAGAGCGCCTGACTACCTTCTCCATGACCCTTTCGGCAGGCATGCCGGTGGTAGGTTTCGTGCTTCGTATTATAGAAATCGGCTCGTTTTCTTGGTCATGCGATGATGGGACCTGAGGGCGCGGTAAAGGCAATTTGTAGTGGATTTCTTCTGACTCGTCCTTTTCCTGGGGAGAATGGCGCGCAGAAGAAGGGGCCGGTGGTTCGGCATACGATGCAGGCCTGCGATGGCTTGCTCTGGAGGGGTCGCTCAAGGCAACTGGGCTCCCCGATGACATTTGTCTGCCGTTGCCATAGAAGGATGATGCAAGATCATTCTCCATGTCGGGCCCATGACCGTCGTGATACTGGCTTGAGGCCAGACCCTCGCCATCACCATTCGCCTCCGCTTCTTCCTCGCTTTGCCTCCTGCGTCCACGTCGAGCGGGCCCGCTCAAGAAGCTTCCGGGAATCTTGCCGACTCGCTTGACGCGCATGGAGCCTTGCAATGCGAGATTATCCTCGGGCTTAGTGGTTCTTCCAGGATTAGAGGTTTGTCGGGACACGCTGCCGGGGTTAGTACCAGCGGCGTGGCGTGCTGCCGTGAATGGCTCTTCTGGGTGGTCCTGTTCTATATGAGACCCTGAACGCCTGGAGTGACTGGATGAGTTGGTGAGGCGACTTCTGTTACCGGACGAGCCAGCAGCAATCCGGACAACACGAATGCCTTGGGCCGGTGTGTTGATATCTTGAGGTGGTTCATTTTTTTCGTCTGAGGACTGATTCCGGCTCTCTGGCCGACTTCTAGACTGGGGACGTTGACTGGTTGATCGGGAGAGCGAGGTAGATCTTCTCTTGGTGGGGCGCATCTGGCCAAGGCATTTGGGCGTGTTGCTGAGTCTCACAACTCTTTTCCGCACAGGGCTATTCTCCCTGCTGCGCGATGGCGACGTGGGTTTTGACGACCTTGTGTCGTAGGCTTGGACGCTTCCCGATCGAAGGGACCTTCTTTCTTCAGTCGCAGAGCTCGTAGACGCGGCAAGATTACTGATGCGACGACGTGTCCTAGGCGGTGAGGCTCCGCGCTGTGGTTCAGGGCCACTGCCATCGTTGAGTAGTGCCTTGGTGAGGGCACTGAGCTTCATAGGCACTGGTATCTCGTCATCGGAGCTGTCGTGCATGGCGTACTGCTGCGAATCTGCCTTTTTCGAGAGCGCGGGTGCAGCGGCGGTCGCATGAACAGGGTTGGACTCGCTTCGGTTGAGGTGTGGACGAGAGGGTAGCCTGCGAAGACCTTGCCGCAGGGACGGTCTTCGTGTCAATCCGGTTCCGGCGGTGCCCAGCGGCGTGGGAGAGGCTGTCGACATTTTGAGCTGTCGGGATGGTTTGTTGTTCCAATTTTGCGCAAGAGGGGGCTGGGGATGAACGGCGCGACTCTCCACGTCTCAGCGGCCAAGCACCTTCCGCCGAAGAAAAACGATTGATTTTGACGATTAAGCACTGTTGTACGTGTCAAAGGTGTCCATGATCCGAAAGATTGCAAATGGAGAAGAAATTAGTTTATGCGGCGCGTCACTAGCATCTTGTATGTTGGAGGGATGTGTCAATTCCTTGTCAATGGAGGACGTTCCCAGTATTTGGGGCTAGCAGGGGTTGGCCAATGAGAAATAACGACCCGGGGTTGTTGTTGTCGGGGCAACGATGCGCTGAACTACAGGGCGTAAAGCGGTACATTCCTCGTTGGGCACATGGAATTGAGGTTTCGCATCGGAGGCTTGAACTTGCCTGAGGCCACAACTTGTGGCTAATTCAAGTTCATGTTAAGGCGATTCCCATGCATCTTTTCGCTTAAGCTAAGCCGAACAGGACGGGTCACAGCTCCTGGTCTTGAGCTCTCAAAAATAATGCGCCCGAACTGCGTGCCTTTCTTGGTGTCGCGACAAGATTGACGCACGTAAAGGGGAATGCGAGACGCATTACACTGCTTCGACAGCGCGAACGTTTAAAATCGAGATACGGTACTCGGTCAAATCGAAAGGCACACGAAAAGTCAAAGACGGGGCGCACAATATTCAAAGAACCAGCGAGCTTTGTATTTGACCGAACCTAGCAGGTGTTCCTACACAAACGTGTGCCGAAGCCCAACCCAAGAGAGATTTCCCCATGTCAATGACTTGCGAAAACGTCGGCCGATAGCTGCATATTTTCTTCGATGAGGCGAGGACGTGAGAGGGGTATTTAGTCGAAGAGACCGAATCCCATGTCCTCGTCGGACTCCTCCTTCTCCTCCTCCTTCTCCTCCTTGGGAGCGTCCTCAGCGGCACCACCGGCGGCAGCACCGCCGGAAGCAGCGGCGGCACCACCAGCGCCACCAGAGGGAACGGAGGCAAGCTTGCTGGAGCCCTCAGCGATGAGCTGTATCTCATATTAGCGTCCACATCCTTTGCACCAGTCGTGTTAGACCCATGTTGTGACGAACCTCGTTGATGTCCTTGCCCTCGAGCTCGGAGATAAGCTTGTTCAGGCGCTCGTCGTCAGCCTCAATACCGACAGACTCAAGGACGGCCTTGACATCCTTGGCAGAGGGAGAGGTGTTGCCACCGAGGCCGAGGAGGAGGAAAGCGGCGAGGTGCTTCATCTTGAATGATTTGTCTGCGACGAAAGGATGTTAGGCAATTGAAATTTTGGCGGCGACGACGAAAATTCGACAAACAATTGGCGACGAGATGGTATTCGAGCGTGAAGAAGACGGGTGGATAACTCACTGTTTGTCGTAAAGAACACGAGAGGTCAATCAATTTAACCGCGAAGTTGGGCGGAGACTGAATCTTCGAGTCTTGGGATTTTCGCGTGGTTGTTGCGCTTCAGAGAGCAGTTGGAAATGGAACTTTTTTTTTCGTTTTGTGAGCCAGAGGGTGCGGGACCCTACCTTAGGGCGGGGAGGACTTTCGGTGGCTGGGTAGCCGACCTGGAAATGCACTAGCCACATCTCTCTTACGTCTGTCATTTCAGCCACACTTCGACCCCAGGCCCAAGCTCGCTCGACCGGAATCGGAGTTACTTTGGGTTCCGAATAGGTAGGCTAACAGGTTGGACCACAGTCTTAGGTGGACGGCACTGGGAGTACCAGTGATTCCACCCCCCAGGCAAACATATATAAACTTGCCGACTCCAACGCCACTTCTTTTTGAGCCCTACACCCAACTTTCGGTTTTTATCACCGCCGGGTGTTCCTGCCGAGTGCTTCGCGACCGCGTTCTTATTTTTCGCGATTTTTCCTCGTTTTCCCCCTCCGATTTCCCGCCTCTCACTGTCGACGGAGCCGCCCGCGTGTTCAGTCTCTTGAGAGGGGCCGTTGAAGCGCAGAAACTTGAGTTCTCGTACTTTCCACGCTGATGACTCAAGCGTCCACCTGATGCATCCTGACGGCCGCTGCAAGCAACATAGACACTTGCTAGGCGATATTTGGCTTTAGCAGTCCGTCACCATGCCTGTAAGTACTTTGAAGATGCGATAACCCGCTTTAGCAGCTCTGGCAGGCTGACGACGGATATCAAAGATCGGAGACCTCCTCGCCCAAATAAGTGGCGATAAGTCACAGAGCACGTCGCCTGCTCCATCGAGGTTAGCCCTCCCGCCCCCGAAACGGAAAGCCGACGACGACCTTCGCAGCACTGTCTCGAACAAACTCCCACGAATAAGTACGAATGGTGCCAGCTCCTCTGCAACCCCCAAATCGGCAGATCCTCAGAAACCCGCACGGCCTGCGGACAAGTCTTCGACCACAACCACCGGCTATCGAGGCAGTGCTGGACGGCCATCCGATCGATCCACGTCTGCGCCTAGGCCTATTGGAAATGGCACAACTTCCGTAAAGTCCAGCTCTTCCGGTGCCAGGCCGGTGAATGGTTTGGGTACGTCGAGGGTGACATCGACACTCCCCAGTCGACCATCCCCATCAGCCCCCGCCGCACCGAAAGGTGCGCCGCCAAAAAAGGGCTCCTTCGCCGAGATCATGGCGAGGGCTCAACAGGCCCAGACCAAGCTGGGCCAGGTAGGCAAGATCCAGCACAAGCCGGTGGAGAAAGTGTTCACAAAAAAGGAGCGGGAGGAGATGAAAAAGGATTTCAAGAAGGATCCCAAGAGTACATTGAGGACAGCATCGAAATTCCAAGGTACCTCGAGACCATCTTCGGCCCCCGCTTCACGTAATGGGGCGGGTGCGAACGGATCAAGCGCCAGCCGTAACGGAACCGCCGACAGATCGAGAGACCCTAGGGTCGGCGTAAAGGCACGCGCGGCCGCTGCTGAGGAAGAGCAGCAAAAGAAGCTCAAGAAGGCCGCCGTCGCTACCACAGGATACACGGGCACCGCCCGCCCGAGACCCGGAGCGGCCTCTGCAAAGAAGAAGCCAGCACCCGGTGGCGCCCTCCTCAACTCGCGCCCTACCGCACGCTATGGCGGCTCTGCAAAACGTTCACGTTATGACGACGAAGAGGAAGAGGAATTCGACGACTTCATCGAGTACGACGAGGACGAGGAGGACGACCGCGGTCCTCGTTACACCTACGACTCTGACGGATCTTCAGACATGGAGGCTGGCATGGACGACGTCTGGAACGAGGAAGCGGCGGCTGAGCGCCAGGCCCGGCGGGAGGATATCGAACAGGAGCGGCTAGAGAAGCGTCTCAAGGCCGAAAAGGAGGAGCGCAAGCGCAGATTCTACGAGGAACAGAGACGGCGCTAGTTTTCATATCCCCCTTCCCCGTGATTATTACCACCGGCAGTTGGGACCCGGCACCTTTGGAGGTATTTGCACCGGTATAGGCGCGACTCAGCATCACATTAGCGAAGGCGTTTATCCTGAATTTTGCTTTGTCATTATTTACTATGGGAAATCACTACATTACACGGCAAGGTCCTTTTGTTTTGGCAAATCGTCACATACGGAATAGGTAAACAAGTGCTACGGCTCAATGATACCTATGTTGCCATCAAGCACTAGCCTGATATTATTACGCATGTACTATTGACTGGCCAAGTTAGCGTTCTTTGCTTGCACCAATAAAGCAACTGAGCCCGTGTTCAATTTTCATGAAAATCGAGGCCCAGCAGGCCTATTAAGTAGAGCTATCAATACATGATCACATAAAATCCACAATGAATAACCATCAACTGAGGTTTCCAAGACCTAAGATTTATTCTATCTTGACCAGCTCCCAGGTACATAACATCATTCGAATCGTAAAATTATTCGCGTTTTCCATTCTATAAGCCTGATGCCAATCCTTCCTTGAGGTATCAAACAGCCAGGCCGGGCTGCCGTCAGTTCCAAACTCCTTGGAAAGTCCTGAAGTGAGAAAGGCTGAATGCGAATTTGTGCATGCGTATCTACGGAGCTACTAAGCCCCTTCCTCAAACGACCGAAAACTCCGACGGGGCTAAATTCAGAAGACTGGGAAGTAGAAACCACGTCATGGCGTCGTATCCTCACTCTCGACCCCTTTTGATAAACGATCTTACACGCGATCTGGGATCGCAACTTTGCAGATGAAGCCGTGAAGGGAACCGGTGTGACCCAAAAAGCCCAGATGTTCATGCCAAGATCGTCTGAGCGTGGTGAAAGACAAAGAAAGAGAGGCCGGCAAGAAGTACTACTGTTGTCATCCCGACCACCCTCTTCCCGTGCCCGACTTCATTTGCTTTGGATTAGAATTCGATCAAGTACAAAACGCAAACATTGCTGCTGTTGATAGTCGCTGCATGAGGATGACTTCTCCGCCACAGCAAGAGACCTTTTGCAGGATTCGAGGCCGCCATACTCAGGCGGACCAGTCAAAAGAAAATAACCGACGCGCAATTGTAGCGGAAGTAGTGCAGAATTGGAGCGTTTGAGTAGGTTTTTCGGCCCTGGCCGGTGGTGCCAGGATCCTATGGGAGGTCTTCCGACTTGAGACCCGAGTTCCCATATCCACTCAAGTTCCAGCCTTTGTATCGAACTGTAGATCCACCAGCAGAAGGAGGCGGCTTATGCGGAGGAAGCCCGTTGTGATGCTTCATAGGTGGTGCTGGGAGAGAAGCAGGCGCAGCGGGGAGACTGCTGGGATGCTGGCGGGATTGGGATTGGGAGGTCTGAGAGCTCCCAGATGCATTGTGCCCATTGGTACCGTTGGGCTGATCTTCAGGTTTCATCAGTCCTTTCTCCCGCAGGTATTGAATTGACTGGAGAACAGTTAGGTCCTCTTGGTCCTTGTCGTTCAAGATCAAACGCTGCTGGATGGTAAGGTGGCCATTGTTCATCTCTCTCTCCTTCATGGCTGCCTCCCTAACGGCAGGATCATGGACGAAGCGGCACTTGCCCTTCTTGCCGCAAGTACCTCCCGTAGAGTAGTACTTGCAATGTTTTGAGATGTCCGCTTTCTTGGCAGGAGGGGGTGGAGGGGGGGCCGGCTGAACACGACTTGACGCGACTTCTGGCTCATCGTCTTCAGACTTGATGTCAATGGAAGGGCTGTCTCTCATCTCATCGCCCTCGTCTTGCTGTTCACGCTTGCGCTTGATAGACGATTCAACCTTCTCCAATTGCCTTCTCAGCTTGCTAGCGAGGTTCTCTTCCTTCTCCAGATCAGTGTGGATCTTGTTGCCGCTTCCTTGCGTGGTCTCGACAGACTTCTTAGCCTTGACGCGCGCAGCCGTGGGGAAGCGCTTCTTCCGCTCGGCAATGTATGAGGCAACATCAGTAACCCTGTGAGATGGTCAGCTAAGACGAGGTCTCACATCAACATCTGACTTACTGCAATGCATCTGCTCCAATCAACTTGCGAAGTGTCTCCTCTTCCATCTCGTCGTCTTCCGACTCTGAGTCTTGACCGGGTGTAAGACCAAGAGTGTTAGTTTTACGCTTCTTCTTCTTACCCGAAGCAGCATTGTCGTGCTTATCATGCTTATGGTGGAACCCTCCGTCTTGTCGATTATTGTGATTATGATTATGGTTGCTGTTGCCCTGTTGACGATGACGGCCCCTATCATTGCCATGGAACGAACCACGGCCGCGTGGGTTGCCGCCGCGATGTCCACCACGGCCCCGACCAGCCTGTCCATCGTGTTTGTAATACGGCTCCTGTGGAGGGATCGCTGCGTGAGGTGCTGGAGGAGGGGCGTGGTATGGATACGGAGCTGGAGCTTGGTATTGGACGGGTTGCGCACGCGGATCGACGTATGGCTGGCTGTATCCAACGTTCGCTTGATGATGAACCCCGTCACTTCCGTAGGCTAGGGGTGCAGGTGTGGCCATATTAGGTCCTCGAGAGGCGCCTCGATCGTTTCCGTAACCGCCCCGACCGCGACCGGCACCATAATTACTTTGAGCATGAGTGTCGTGCCCAGCCCACGGCTGGGCAGCGTTGTATTGTGCAGGAGCGGGATATGGCTGGCTGTAGGGCTGCTGCTGGGGCTGTTGCGGCTGCTGTGGCCCATACCCCGGTTGGTGAGGTGGCGGCTGAGGGTGTTGCGGATGTTGAGGATGGGCATAGACCTGGGGAGCGTAGTTTGGATGGTAGTTGGAAGTCGACAATGGTGTAGGAGCATGAGCGCCATGTTGTGGAGCGGCATGTGCGTGGTCTTGATGCCACTGCTGTTGGGGAGCGTAGTTGTTGCCAGCAGGCTGCTGAGCGGGATATCCTGGGCCGTGTTGAGGATATGGCTGCTGCCGGCCGTATTCGTACTGGGGTTGATGGGCCGGAGAATACTCAGGGCGTCCACTCGATGGGTAGCCGGCACGCCCGCCACGAGCAGCATGAGCGCCTCCGCCTCGTGAATGCTGTTGATAAGTGCCGCCGTGGTGCCCATAGCCAGGATGGCTCGCCTGGGCAGCCGGGGGAGGCGGCGGTGGGGGGCCGTAGTTGTAGCTCGACATGTTTGCTCGAGGACGACGACGCGTTCTTCCTATTTTCGCAGTCGGTTCGTAAAAGAGCGTTTCGAGTTCCGGAAGAATGGATTGGTCCACGAAAGAGAAGCACGGGAGATACAGTGCTCGATGGCAGCGGCCTTGACAATTTGTGCAACGATCTTTGTTTGGAAGGGGAGCAAATGGATTGATGTTGCGATGAATGTAACGGAGCGCTGTAGTAGCGTACAGAACTGGTGTCCAATTTAGAGGGCGCGACTAGGAAAAGGAACAAAGCCGAGCAACGTTCGATGGAAGGAGGGGACGCGAAATGTTCGAGGATGGAAGAGACGGCTTGACGCAATTTCCTTGACCTGACGCGAAACTGTGGCAGATGCGCGGAGCCTCTAGTACTTGAGCTTTCGAGGAAAGTTGCCCTGCACCTAGTTATTTCGGGTTCCGCAATAACAGTTCCAGCGGGTTGGTACAGAACCTATTCCGCCACCCTGACGGGCCTCGAACCACTAAATTATGGTGGGCCACAGGAATTACACAGGGTGGTCAACTGGCAATCACCCAGAGGCTAAGCTCATCGTAAGGAAGAGGGCGGTCAGAGTCAATCCGCTTCGCAAGACCAAGCGCCCCGCGATTTTGCCGACTTTGCGATCTCACTGAGCGCCAGCACACCTCATTACATCGCGACTCGAAATATCTTAATACGACCCTGCAGAGGCGTTGAGGGGACGGACGGATGATGATACCAGTTGAATAGCAGCCATATCTGGGATCTCTCTGGCCTACAACTCATTGTCTCGAGGACGAAAGCGCCCAACATGTTCATTCTGGTAAGACTCAAGACTCACAAATTTCACTTAGTGTGCCACTAACACAGGTGGCCCAATGAAGACCAAAATTGCGGACCTGGTCGAAATCGCACCAGAGGACTTCCGCAAGAAGAGCAAAGCCGCCATTGAGGACAACATCAATGCCAAGTACGCCAACAAGGTCATACAGAAGATTGGACTTTGCATTTGCCTGTACGATCTTTTATGGACCTCTGAAGGTCTCATCGGCCATGGTACTGGCCTCGTCAATGTCAATGGTAACTCCCTGCGGACTAAAGCATATCAGACTTTTGTTTTGTCTTCTCGCTGACAATTCCGGCAGTGGAGTTCAGGCTCATCGTCTTCAGGCCTTTCAAGGGCGAGGTTATGATTGGTAGAATCAGAAGTTCCACGCCAGCCGGCATTAACTTGAGAACCGACTTCTTCGATGACATCTTCATCCCCTTCGATGAGCTTCCCGAGGGTGCCGAGTTGTACGTGGAGACAAATATGTCTAACCATCTTGGTACAATACTGACACAACTACAGCAACCATTCAGAACAGCTTTGGATCTGGAACATTGAAGACGACAGACTCTTCTACGATAATCACGAAATGGTGAGGTTTCAGGTCATTGATGAGGAATGGCATGATCAGACGCCCGCGGGACCGAGCCAGGGTGAGGAGGTCGCTCCGCCGAAGCCGCCCTACAAGGTGAAGGGCACAATGGCCATGGAGGGACTTGGGGTATGCCTTTGGTGGGACGGACAGGGCGGCGAGTAGCTTTCGGATGTCCCCTGAATGTGTGTACATGGAAACCCCAGGCGTACGGATGGGCGCGGGTTTTGTGTATTGTTCTACAATTCTATGACTTGATACCCGCGAGCAGTCTTTGCTCCACGTCATCCAGAACAGAGTAGTGGTCAACAACGGCAATGTTCTCAGCCTCGCCCTTGAACTGCTTGTCAGGGTCGACACCGGGTCCAAACATCTGGGGGGCACCGGCGGCACCTCCCATTTGTCCCATTTGCTGGGCCATCTGGCTGGCAGCTTCATCAAGTCAGTGCGCTGAATAGCCAGGGCCATGGATTATTGACAGCTTACCGTTGTCGCTTCCTAAAATGAAGACGAAGACAGACTGCAGACCAAAGATGCAGAGGAAGTACCAGGAGATACTAGACATCCAGCGGGGATCCATATCCTTCGTCGCTACACCCGCCTGGAGCATGCTTTTGAACTTGATGGTGATGGGGAAGGGCAATTTCACTACAAAAAAAGTCAGCGGCCGCACCGCATTCCTCGTGATAAGAACATACTAATGACGTATCCACTGAAGAAGGCATTGATCCAACTCATGATCAACGTGTTGGGGATGATCATGGCCATGTTATTCTTCATCATGCCCATCATTCCGTCCATTGCGCCGGGATCGGTAAGCGGATTCGCCGGGGGTTGGCCCTTTTGATCCGGATTCTTCAGATACGCGCCAGACTCATACGCCGCGACGAGCGCATCGCGGCGAGCCTCGAAGGACTTCTTGGACAGAACGTGGTGGTTGGTGCGGACCGTGACGCCGTGCATCAAGCTGCGCTGCTCCTTGAGCGCAGGCTTGTCGAGCTTCTTGGGCGCGGTGGCGAGCAGAACCGTGGCGTAGTGCCGCAGGATGCCGGTCAAGACCATCACCACCGTGATCGGGAAGAGGATCCAGTAACTTTCGGGTCGTCAATCAGCACGGTTGCAAACTGCGAGAGCAAGTCAGAAGTACGTACAGCAGCTGGGGATCCCGATGGATCGTCTGCACCGGGACTTGAGCCATGATGGACTTTGTGTGACAGCCAGAGCCAGACAATAAGGGATTGGAGACGGTGATAGCGCTCGTCGTTGCAAAACTGCCAGGTAATCGAGAGCTCCGCCTTCATCAGCGTGAGGTAATCTAGTGGAGTTGGATGTCGAGCGGAAGCTCCTTCGGGTGCTTGTTTCGCCGGGCCTCCGAAAGACCACCTTCCACGTCCATGTCTGCCGCGGACTTCGCACAAGGGTCCAAGCTCCGAAAGCCAGGCTGGAGGTTACAAGTCAAACTATCACAACTCCACGCCTACCGCTCTCCCGCATAAGTTGTCCAGTCTACCCAAAAGAAGGATTCTCGCGGAGTACCAGACAAAATGTCTTCCGAGAAAATTACGGTCCATAACCTGGCGGGTATGCACACACTCCCCCCCTCCTCTTCCCTACGCTAGGCCTAGCTGTTGCATCGCACTAACACAAGCTCCCCAGACCTGAAGAACACCTCGGACGATGCGCTCCCAAACTATCTCAACTCTCTCAAATTCACCCAAACCCACACGCTCACCGATGTGCGTCTCGCACTCGGCTACTCCGCATTCTTAGTCGCAGGCGCATGCTTTCTCTGGGATTACAAGCTCGGCTTCGACAGCACAAAGTACTACACGGCGGCCGCTGTGGCTCTCTACTCGATTCTCAACGGCGCCCTTACGTTATGGATCTGGCTGAAGGAGGCGGGCACCGTCTATGAGGGGACATCCCCTTCAGGCGAGAAGGTAAGGCTATCTAACTTCTTTGTATACCGCTCAGCTGTGTGTGTTGCTGGGATGTGGCCGCATGATGACTTATACACTCGGGAACAGGTCAACATCGCAACCTCGACGAAGAAGAACGTACCGACATACAACATGAAGATTACCCTGACCTCGAAGAACGGCGAAAACAAGATTATCAACCTCTCAAACCCCTTCAACCAGTGGTTCGACTCGCAAGGCCGCTTCGTCGCGGTCCCATTCCAGGAGATCCTCGCGACCAACATCCCCGCCGTCGGCAAGCTCGACCCCAAGCGCGTTACGTCCGCCTCTCAGGGATACTCGACCGATGTCCTCGACGCACTGTATGCGGAGAGCACGGCGACGGGGAGCGGTGCGGAGGCGGCTAAGAGTGCCAGCAAGAGACGCAAGGCATAGGCGTATTGACTGAGTTGTAATGGTGGGATTTGGACTTCTGTCGGATAGAACAACAAACCTTTCTGTGCAAATTACGGATACTTAGGACCGTCAAAAGCATGGAGTCTGCGTTTCTTCTTTGCATACTGTTCAAAATTGTTCCCTGCACGTCCTTCGCATGGTATTCATCGTTATTATTTACTCTGTGCCTCCGCCGGCTCATGCTCTAGAAATCACCTGCTTTCAATAGACGAAGTGTCTCCGACCAAATCATTGCAATGCCTTGTATGATTCCTATCTCATTAAACTTGATGCTGGTCGTGGACCTCCAAACGCCTCGCCATGCCGGCAACCCTCATCAAATACTGTTTCAGTATCATGCAAGTCTGCCAAGTTTCCCGACCCTCTTCCTGTTCCAACATGCGAGTTGGTGCCCCCCATACCGAGAAGCTATCAACTCCTTATCTTGTCCAAGGGTACTTCAATTCCAACTGGATCAGATCAGAAGTACGTAGGCCATTTTGAGATGCCAGCCTATTGAGCTCCGCCTTCGCCGAGGCCACTTCAACCTTTCATAACGCAAGGTACTTCAATTGACGTCATCCCAAGCCTTGCGAGACTTAAGAGCAGCCTCTCTGACCATTCGCGAATCGTCACCAGAGGCCTGAGCCAGCAAGCGCCTGGCCTGAGATGCTGAATCAAGGAGATGGCGGTGCTCAAAGTTTGGCGGTAGTTGACCAATGAGACGAACGACCAGGGCCCGGCACTGCGCCTCCTGGAACCCAACATGGTCGAACGGTATGTAGTTCTCCGGCATCCAGGAGCTGTCCTCGCCGGTTGGCGTCCCGTCTTTCCTGAAGATCGACATGCAAGCATCAATGACGCTCTTGAGGAACGGCTGCATGCGCTTGGGTGAGTTCTCCGTGATGAGCACCAGAATATTGAGACCGGCTGCAACGTCACCACTAGCCGGCAGGTATCGGATGGTGCAGAGAATGGTTCGGATAAGGTCCTCCGTGTCGTCTTCGTAGTGCACGTACTTAATGTGCTTGACTGCTGTCAAGACTGCAATACTGTAGTTGGCGGCAACGAGCATGTCATCCTTGCTGTTCGAGCCGGCAGGCCAAGCCTTGGACAGCATGGGCTTGACCAACTCATAGTAGGCTCTCTGCGCCCAGAGGCTCTTAACCTGCCCATAGAACTGTGTGTTGGTGATCGGCGAATTACCAAAGATGGTATCCATCTTGCGAGCAAGGATGTGGCCGATCTTCCTGTTGTTAGGGCCTTGACTGATTGCCGAGAGAACCTTCTGAAGAGCGTTGCCAGTGTAGCGTCGGAGAATGCCAGCTACAATAGCATACACAGGCCTTGCCAGCTCTGCTCTGAGGTCATTGGGACGGTTACCAGGTATCACATTCTCTTCGTGGTAGAGGTAGCCGGTGATTTGCTCGAGCTGATTGGACAGTTTCTCTTCGCTGATGAGGAAATTTATCTGATACTCGATAATCTGAACAATGTCGCTCAAGTTCTCGACTTTATACTTGTTGGAGATGATGGCCAGAATGGCTGAAACGACGTGGCGGCAAATTGGTGAGTCAGAATGGTCTCTTGTGAGAAGGCCAGCGACCAAGATCTCGTGCGCGGTTCCTCTTTCCACCTAAGAAGAAGTGTCAGCAATGTATCTGCAGGTTTGCTCGATATTCATCTTACCAAACGCTGAACTGTTGTCGGGTGGAAAGACTGAATAATGCCCAGGGAAAGGATGACAGTACGTCCATGACTGAACCCACTTATGGGGAACTGGGGAGGGTTTCTCATGTCGTATGCAGGCTGGGGAAGACCCATGGTCCTCAGCATGGCATCTCGCAGCTCTCTGTTGTTCCAGCGATGACCCTCGGTAGGATTGGGGTGGTGATACTCGTCGCTTCCACGGAAGAGCGTGACCACATCTTCGTTCAAAAGCAAGTTGGTCTGCTGGTATTCACTCATATGCTGGATAGAAAAGGTTGCAATCTTCGAGAGGTTGTTCAAATAAAGATCCTCTTCATTCTTGGCTTCCGGGTCCTTGCTGCTCAAGTCGTCACTCAGTGCAAGTGAAAGCTCGGTATTGTTGTCATAACTGATGATCTTGGTGGCTCGTCTGTAGAGCTGTCGAACGACGTAAAGATTGACCAGCGCAAAGTCTCCTTGAAGATTATCAACTTCATTGCCGGGGTTCTCAGCCTGTTCGTCGGCGTCCATCGCATCCATCGAGTCGATTTTATCGTCGCTAAAGCGCGGTAGAACAGGAAAACGTTTCGCGACGTAGCTAACCCAAGCAGTATTGAATCGCCTGTCATTGAAGTTGTTCTTGACGGGATGGTTGATGAACTCTTTGGCCGCTTGCTTGAAGTGAACCATGGCCGACAACATATAAGCAGTAATTACCGACCAGATTTTTGGGTTGGCCTTGATGTCGAGCATTTTGTGAAGGTTCAACAGAAGCGCACTTAAAAATCGTGTATAGAAACCGAGTTTGTCAGAGCGAGGGCATTCGGAGCAACAGATGTAGCTCAGTCTGGCGAGGTTGTGTTGGAGGACGCGGTGCATGCTATCCCAGGTTTTGGCCGTAGGAGAAGTGCTGAATCCATCACATACTCGGAAGCAGTCCTCGATCAGTTTCTTCTGGACCGGCGAGTATGCCATCGTGGTCTTTTGCAGAGCAAAGGCTGCCTCGTCAGACAGCTTAAGTCGGTTATTGTCCTTCGCGGGCTCTTCAGGAGCTTGGAACGTAAGAATTGCCAGGTTGTCGCAGATTTCGGTCAGTATCGCGTCGGGGAGCATGGGTTGGTTGGACTGTCCGATTTGAGCTGCTCTCTGACAGACCATCAGTCCCAGGCCCTTGATTGCCTGTTGGCCGATGGTGATATCTCCAGGCTGAGCTGTATCCTGAAGAGCTTTTTGGGAAAGAGGCAGATACGTCTGTTTGTAGAGGGGGGCAAGTAGTGGCTCGGTAGATTTAAAGGCCTCAGCATCCTCGGCACTCAGCTGCACGTCTCCTCCGGTAAGGGCTAAGCGTAGCTCGAGCAGAGAATTCAGTAGAATGAGAAGGTTCTTCGTATGGTCAGGTGACTTTGTGTGGCGGAGATTCTCCTTGATGTGAGTAACCGACGGGGAGATCATAAGCGCAAAAGCAGCTGGCTTAGCGCTGTGAATGGAGATCAAAAGCTTTCCTGAGGCTGCCGTGTATATTGGGTTTGAAAGGTCCTCAAGGCAGTCTCTTTGAACAGTGAGAGCAAAATCTCTGAGCTCTTCCCCAGTGAGTCTCTTGGCGATTGTTCGGATGACTTCCAAGGTAGCGTTGATTGTGTCCTCGATCTCTCCATTGCGGACTTCATACTTGAGACTGTCCCAAATCTTGTCTGTAAAGGGGGTGATTCCTTGTTGAACATGTTCATAACTGCTCAAACATGCGGTCATAGTCTTCAGAATGTCAACCTACGGCAGTGTTAGTAAGGGTATAACTTAGTCCCAAAGAAGAGAACAAACCTTCACGTTGACACTGACACTGTCCGGTTGGTCTAGCCTACCAAGGAGGTATGGGATGGCCTTGCCGGCAACGCGATGATGTGCTGAAAAGCAAGCCCGCAAGCCTAATTTCAGATCATCTGCTGTGATTCCAGAAGGATGCTGTGATGTCCTCAACGATATAGGGAAGTATGCTGAAAAAATGCTGAAAATCTCATCCACAACCTCCGGTGCAGGAGAATAGTCTGAAAGAAAAACCTTCAGAATCTTGAACCACGTCATCAGGCACTTTGGGTCTCGCTCATTGCGGCATAGCTGCAAAAGGTCTGTGATGAAGCCGGATGTTGTGCCGTGTTGGTACTGCAAGTTGTTCGCTACGTCCGGGTTGGTGAGGAGATGGTCCAGCAGTTCATACACTGTAGCACGAGTTTCTGCGACCTGGACCTTGAAATCATCACCAAGGCTGCATACGCTTTGAATGATGTCATTTCCCTTCTGTGGCTGGAAGGTCTTCATGCCAGCAGTTCTATCAAGAGCCTTTGCAGCGGGCATAATGCCAGCCTTGTGGTCGACCTTGAACATGCTTCCAAAGAAAGCCACGAGAAGGTTGGCTGAAAGGGTTTTGTCAGCGGCCAGCTTTTCAGAAACCTGGACCTTAGCCTTACTCACTTTGATCAGCTTTGAGAAATGCAGGATCCAGATGCTCAAGAGTGCCTGCTAGGAAGCTCAAAGCTAATAAGAGCACGATAGTCAGTAATTTTGACTTTTTACAACCTGGTGTTTGGCCACTTACATTTAGACCGTGCAATGACGTCGCCATCACCGTCATCCAGATCTTCATTTGCGCTGGGCATCCACGGTTTAATAGATTCCACCCATCTGGCAACAGGATTGCTGGGCCTGGGTGCTAACTGGATCTCTGGGTTAACGTCAGCACATTGTTCACTCAGTTGGTCAAAGGCTAGTGGTGGCTCTATTAACATGTAAACATACCCGAAGCCGCCTCCTGGGTGATTGCTGTTTGTCTCTCACTGTCGTCACTGAGGACAAACTCGAGCGCAAGTTTCCGAAAGTCTACCATGGCTGATATGGATTGCGTTGGAATCAAAAGCGTCTAATAGTAGTTGCGATCGGTCAAATGTCTGTTGCTGTATTTCTTTCCACGCTAATTTGTGCGAGAATGATGTAAATGTCGGTATGTCGTTGTCTAAATGTAATCGTCGAGGAGGTGCAGCAATCAGAAATTGTGAGATATTCCGTCGTTCTTTCTCAAGTGGTTTCCAAAACCCAACCTCTGCCCCTGCTCAAGATGCTTTCCAAAAGAGCGGCAAGTTCGACTTCTTTCATGCAAATTCTTTGTCTAGGATTCCAAAAGTTGTGAAGCCAGTGATCGTTCTAAACTGGAAAGAAATGGTTGTTTGGCGAATGGTTTATTGGGTATTTGTGAGTTGCCGATACTGGGCTTCCTACCACCGAAAGCCGGTGATGAGTTGTGGGATAATTACTCAGGCTTGCTGGGTTCATGGTGGGGGGATCTGGATTGAGAAGGCGGTATGGCTTTTATCGCTTTTATCGCGGTCTGGAGGAACCAATCTCCGACAAAGGTCATTTTTCGGCTTAGCGTCAAAGGCCGACTTTTCCTTCCACGTGTGCTTATATAGCAATTCTGAGCTGAATAGTCCTTTTATCTACGATATTATGGTATGAGGGGAAATATCCAAATTTGGAATAATTTTTGAACTCTTTGCTCGCTGCAATCTGCTCTCTAGCATTGTTTTCAGCCCGGGAGGAATTACGACAGATGGAAGCAGCAACAAGCTAGTCCTATTTTGGCAAGAGGGTATGGAGGGGTAACACACTCCGCGCAAGCGCCGCGGGGTCCTGTTCCAGCAACGGAGGGAAAAAAAAATTTGGACGTCGAAGTCGGAGCGTGCCCCTCCAAAAGACTCGGAGCCATCCAGCTTCACGACTATTACCCCTTCGTCACTTTCGCTGCCCCGGTATCACTTCACAAAGTCGGGTTTTGGATCCGTATCGACTGCCACTCCCATATCTGCAGCAAAAATTGTCTTTTGCACCAGTCAGTGTTCTCTCCTTCACTTCCGACGTACCTCCAGAACGCGGCATCGCGGGGTCGGAGGTGGTGGGGCTTCTACAAGTACTAATTCGGGAGTAGAAGCCGACGGGCGACTCACTCCAACCCATCCGTGAGTGAAGTCTTAGCAGCCGAATGAGAAATCGACTAACAATTCTTGACAGCTCGTATCAAAACTGGAGATCCGTCCTTCATAAAGATGGCCTCCAACGAAGGTGTTCCAAAGACCTGCAAAGTCATTCTGGCCGATACCATCGCCAGGCGTCTCCTGACTGAGGTCCATGAGACCCTCACAAAGGTGCAGGGCAACGGCGCCTCCAAGCCCACCCTGGCAGCGTTCCTCGCAAATGACGACCCAGCTGCGTTGCAGTATGCTGAGTGGTCCAAGAAGACTTGCGTCGAAAAGTAGGCGAAAAACCCTGCCGCTGCAGAGACAACCCGTCTTTGCGTGTGTGACAAGACATGAAAGCAAAATGGATGCAAAGGTACTGACAAGACGGTCCTTCTCAGCGGCTTTGACTTTGACCTGCGCCGGGTCGACAAGGAGCAGCTTGAGGAAAAGATCACCGAGGCCAACGAGGATGACAAGGTCGACGGCATCATCGTCTACTACCCCATCTTCCCCGGCAACCCTCTCCAGGACAAATACATCCAGGAGACCGTCTCCCTGGCAAAGGACGTCGAGGGTCTCTGCCACCAGCACATCTTCAACATGTACCACAACGTCCGCTTCCTAGACCCGCCCCAGAACCTGAGGAAGTCCATTCTTCCCTGCACACCCCTCGCCGTCGTCAAGATCCTGGAGCACCTCCAGATCTACAACCCCATCCTGGCCTACGGCAACCGCCTGTTCGGTAAGACCATCACCGTCATCAACAGATCCGAGGTCAACGGCCGCCCGCTGGCCGCTCTACTGGCTAACGATGGTGCCACCGTATACTCGGTCGACATCACCGGTATTCAGCTGTTCACCCGTGGGAAGGGTATCAAGCAGATCCGTCATCAGGTCGAGAATAAGGAGGGCTGGGGCCTGGAGCAGGTCCTCCCCCTGAGCGACGTCATCATTGGCGGTGTCCCCAGCGAGCAGTACAAGATCTCGACCGAGCTCATTCGCGAGGGAGCCGTCTGCATCAACTTCTCCTCTTTCCGCAACTTTGACGCACCCACAGTGAAGGAGAAGGCGGCCATCTACGTCCCATCAGTCGGCAAGGTCACTATTGCGTGCCTTCTGAGAAACTTGGTGGTAAATAAACTACTAAGGATACGTGTATTGGAAACCCAGTGACTAATTTCTCCCAGCGCCTCATCGCCAACCGCCCAACGACGAAGGACAACGGCAACGAAGATGCCTCCACTGCGCAGGCTAGGAGCGAGGCGTTCACCGAGGGCTAACTGAGCGTGTCGCCCTGCCCGCCGTTAACATGGGATAAGGATGACACTTTGGGTTGCCCATAAAAAAGCATTATGGACTGTATATACCTGGTCAGCCATACGGGAGGATCACTGGGATTTGAATTAAGGGCTGGCGAAAAGATACAGAAAAAGCATAGACTATTGGGTATATCCGGACATTTTAAGATCAAGACAGAAAAACAGACACGCGCCTCCCCGTTTTACAGTCGAGGAAGTCGGTACAAGGCGTGTTGTCGATTTGCTTTTTTGCATGACACAGTGAAGCCTGAATGATGCTATCAGCGTGTCGATCTTCATTCCGTTCAGGACAATGCGGCTGTCGTCATACGCATTGCTGGACGGCATCTGAGACATTGAAGGGAACTGGGCCCAGGTCTTTGGGAACATCATCTGGGAACATACCAATGTTCCAGATATGCGGAGCAGAAGCACGCTACACCAGGCCTCCTGACGAATTGCAAGTTCTTTATGACTAACCTGGCATCATAAGAGGTTGCGGCCGCCATGGAGTTCGCGCAAGGCTCTTGGGGAATATTCCGTCTCTTTGATTGGGAAGAGACAGCCCCAAAACCCCAAGACCGAACAAGACGGGCGACGAGATCCGGGCGCAACGCCTCATCGACCGGCGCGTCGGGCAAGAGATTCAAATTTGCTGCTGTAGTCTTCTCCCACCGTAAAGGAGATTGGGAGAGGAGATTGGGAAAGGACATTGCTCGACGTTCACGAACCTGCTCTGGCTGGAAGTACAGACCATGAGCGTGAAGTGGAGAATGTGTTCGCGACTCAGCAGATTCTTCCGCAAGTTCCCCCGCGCTCGGGATGCCCGTCCCGTCCATGGAAGGCATGGTCCAGTAGTTTGAGCGTGGCAAGGATGACGTTGGTTTGGGGTTGCGACGGATCGCTGGATTCGCCCAAGATTTGCGATTAGACGGATGGCTTTGAGATTAGTTCGGCGACTAGAATCAATGCAAATAGAGAGAGAAAATCTTGTTAGATAGACAAGAGCGGTATATCTGACATGCAGTAAGAACCAACACGTCGATGCCTGCATCAGATTAGAGATGTATGGCGTCATTGCAGAGCTGAGAATTCGAGACCGCGGTGGGAGAGACACGTTGGCGCGCCCGGCTGAGGTGCCAGTGGTATGCCATATTCCGAGGCGTTGCCTTGTTCTGGCTTCTCTCGGCCCGGGCGCGTTACAGGGAAATAGAGCCCACGATGAAATACAACACAGTACATCCGACGAGGAAGACGGCTGATGGATCATGGAAGGCCGGAGGTAAAACCCAGCAGTAAGACAATTGATGCGCCGACGCTCGAGTAGGGATTGCCAACGGTCCAGAGCCTGCGAGGAATTTGGGTCGATTGTTCAGTCGCTGATTCAACTTTGGTGCCCCGCCCGCATCCAACAGTCTGGGAGCCCGCATGGATCATATGAAAGAGGCCGTTGAAAGGAGCGCAGGTCGACTCGACTCGCTCGAGGTTGGAGAAGCTTTCAGATCATTGCCAAAAGAGGCCAGGAGTTGAGGAGTCCGAGGACAATATCTCCACAGCTCAGTACTCACCGGCGAGGTTGTGAGCTTGTGATGAAGCTTAACCTTGGTCGGATGGGTTCGTCTAATCGTCTTAAATGGAGAGTCGACGGCCGTATGCTTGATCAGTACCGGTTTCCCGTGGAGCGTCCACAAATGGAACGAGAGGCGGTCGAGCTGCCCTGGGAGGGCAGCTAGGCACGTCAGGGTTCTGCATGCGGAAGGGCGATCAATTGCCGAAATTTCGCGTTACTGGACGTTCCAAGACCACCGTACGAGTGCGGCCCCCCTCCTCTCCATGAGCTCCTGCCCGCAGCCCATGTCTTTGCAAGCCGTTGCACCTGCATCTTGCGCCCCTTCTTTCTTCAAATTTGGGCACTTTGAAGTTCGTACTCCGTACCTTACGGAGTACCCATTGTAGACCACGCCGGGGCCCGGGACTATTTCTTACCTTAGTGTACGGAGTACATTGTAGGTTCCTTGGTGTAGCTCCACTTCTTGTACACCAACTTCCAGGTCGAATCCACTTTCACTTGCTGGCCAATGCTTGGAGGAACCGGGGCCCCCAGGACCTGGAGGGTAAGTTCATTCTTCGGGCCCAATCATCCTGGCAGTTTCAACTTCATGCCAGGCACCGCAGGGTAGCGCCTGCGGGAAAGCAACTACAGGCAAGGAACCACGCTGGTCTCTACAGGGGCTACGCCCAGTTCAAGTTCAGCATCCCAGGAACACTGCGACGCGAACCCATGGAGGCAGCGCTGTCGCTTCGCATTGGAGCTCCCGAGTGTAGTGTACGACGTGTGAAAGAAGCATGGTCCCCATGGAGGTTTCCGACTGGCAACACTGGAAGAAAGGAACGAGACCCGCCATCACGACCCCCATGTGCAGCCATGCTGTTCTACACTAGCAAGCCACCGCGGGCTAGGGTCGAAGCGGCCGGCCAAGGGGGGACACCAAGTGCGAACCAGGTTGCAAACTTGCGCGGGCATTGGTCTCCTTCTCTGTGGGAGCAAGAGATTTGAAAATTTTACAAACAGGGGGGCTGCTGGACATGGGGAATGCCTGTTCCCTGTCCGTGGTATTTCGCGAGTTAAGAGACGCGGGAAGAAGACGATGACTTGACCAGAAACGAGACGCCAGGCGACGGGGGCCAGACCCGGACGCTCTCACTCTGAGCAGTGAGGTGGATAGTGGACAGTGGACTGGGCGACTGGGAGAGGGATCGAACTATTGAGCATCGGATGCCACGCGACAGCTGCAGTTGACGGCGCAAAGAAGCCCCTTTGACGGGCATTGTCTTCCTGTCAGTGCCTGAGGGTCACTTGCGCGGCTACGCATGCTATTCAGTAGAGTACAAACAAAACCATTGCCTCCGAATATCCGTACACTACGTACCTTAACTATCCGTACCTACCTTACATACCTAGGTATCCGTACCGCTCACTTGGTCCTCAGCCAGCTCGCCGATCAATAAGCCAAGACCGTCCTCGGCAGCTGGCTACTGCAGCGCATGTACGCATACATTACTTTTTTTCCTTTCCGGCTCGGCCCAGGCTTCGCTCGTCCGCGCTCTTGCAGCCTGTCACTCCCACGCCCGTTCGCTTCCAAGGATTCCTTACTCGATACTCTACACCTTCAGCTGCAGCAAAGTGCACTTATTCTGGAATACATGCAGCACAACTACTCCGGTGAAGCAAGTCTCCTTCATTAGATTGGACGCATCAACTACCTCCTCCGGTCTCGAGCCCTCCTGCGATCCTGCTCTGTTCGGCGTGTGCGCATTCTCGATCCCTGCGCCGCTCATCTCCCGCAGCCTTTCATCTTATCTTGCTTGCACAGCCAACGCAGATCACTGAAGGGGAAACGAACGGCGAGCACGAGGCATTGACTTGGTCATCTTCCACCCTTCACCCTCACCTGCTTTGCTCCTCTCGTCTTGTACGAGTACTTGTGTTTTGCTACTGCGGCTGCTGCACCTCAGCGAGAGACAGGACAAGCACTAGAGCACCCGCTGCATGTCTCACAGACATCGGCATTGTCTCATTGGCCGGCTTTTCTCGATAATTTCAAACATCCTGTGGGGGACCCTCATCGCCTTTCGTTCGGGCCCCAAAACCACCAGCTGCAACCCCTTAAACTTGGAGCCTGTCGCGACGCAGCTGTACATCATTAGCCAACACGTTGCAAGAGGAGGCAAAGAAGGGTAGAACAGCCGGATTTACTCACAACGCAAGTCGTTTGCCTTTGCATCCCGATTCCTTTCTTCGATCGACGCCAGAACGGCACCTCAACTTCCTCATTCCGGCCACCCACCCGAACACGGCAGCCTGTTTGCTAGGCGGTTTTGCGCATGCATACGACGAACGACGTCTCTATTCCCGCAAACGGACTCCTACTTGCTGCCACGCTTTCTACACTCAGCGCCCGCGAAAGCCACCACGCAATCTCGCATATCTACGGCGGTGCCCCAGGGAAATCGACTCTCGACGACGTCTCCGACAATTTTTTTGGTTCAACCCTCACCTTTGCCTTGAACCCCGCCCAAACATCCGCGACTTGACTTGCTTTGCAGCACGCCCAGCTTCATCTGATCTGGTTGCAAACCTGACAACCAGCTCGACCCTGGAAACCAACTCTTAATCCATCCGAATTACGACCGGACGGGCCGCGGGTCAAGCAGACGTTGGCAACGTTTTGACTCTGCCCAGATGCCTCCGTCTTGACTGTTGCTCATTGTTTACAAAGGGTGACTGTACATTGAGATTCTTCGGCCCTCGAAGGTTCAACGTTTAATTACAGCTAGCCCCGCTGGGAACCGACTTGCCTTGTGTCCCGAGATTCCACAGTCGCTGCAACGACATTCAACGTCTTGCAGTCTAGATCAAACAACGCGCAGGAGGCTGCACAACCGGCACTTGAATCGTCGACACCAATCTTGGCCATCAAAATCATGGCAACGCAGATTTTAAACGCCCACGCGGGTCACGCTCATTCGAGCTCCACCTCATCGTACCCCCCGCGGCCTGCTTCTCCTACATTGACGAATCCCGACATGATTCTGCCCGACTACGATCGCTCGCCTTCTCCCGACCGATCCCATTCCCCGCTGACAATGTGGAAGAACTCACATGCCATCGATATGAACATGCAGTTCCAGTTCCCCCCGAGCGCGTACATTGCCGGACCTGTCACTCCTACAACACCAATAATATACGGTAATGGAACCATGCTGTCCGACATTGGTGAGGTCACCGAGGCTGAGAGCACGCCGGGCAGGGCATCGCGTCCGACTTCGGTGATCTGGTCCAGGCCCAACAATCGAGGCGGCGACGAATTACGACAGCCACAATCGCCCACGAAGATGCTCGAGAGCCTCAAGAAGCGGGCGGCTCAAGCGACGCGTTCACGCCGATCATCCGTAGAGTCTACGAGCACCATCACCACCACCCAAGATCAAAATGCCATGTTCGCCGACTTTGACGATACCGTGAGCGTCGACGACAGTAATTTCCAAGGCGACGACGAGGAGAGTGTGGCAGAATCGTATGCAGAGGATGTGTCTGTCCATCAAGCTCACGTCATACATCAACCAACGAGGGAATCTCTCGACGACCCCAACAGGTACTCAACCGCCCTCATTAGTCGACGAGCGGAGCAGATTCTGGCGAATGCCAAGCGGAGACTTACGGTATGTGTTGGGTCCAGTGAACTCTGTAAGTAACGTCCACTGACATTCCTAGACCATGGAGGGCAACTTGTCAAGAGCGCGAAGCTCGCTGAGTATCTCAACTCCTTCAATGTCATCGTTCGAAGGCAATCACTCGACCCCATCTCCTACAATCCTGCGCCCTGCCTCATCAGCAACTTCGCCAACGTCTATTCATGGGCATGCAAGGATGCTAAGTGATACATCTCTCAATTATGACACAAGCAATACTGGCACGGGCCCTACTAGAAGGTCTGCCAGTGCTATGGGAGCGGCTGGAGGCTATCGACAACCTTATTCCGTGCGTAAGAACGTGCACGATGCTACGTTGGATCGTCTCAATTCTGGAGGGGAAAGCCAGTCTCGTTACAAGGCGGCACAAGAAATAGGCCTGGAGCCTCTTGGTGAGGACGAAGTCGCGCAAGAGTTCCACTCAGGAAGCGACAGTCCCAAGCATGAAAGCTTACTGAGCCCCGCTCTCAGCTCATCAAGTCGCGATCGGCCATTGGTACGCTCCGCATCAGTTGCGCAGATGCGCGATCTGAAAGGGCAGGTACAAGATCTGAAAGGCAAGATCTCGTCCTTGAGAGAGCAGGCTCGCGCGGACACAATGCGACGACGCAGCCTACAAAGCTTACGAACTCCGAGCCCATTTACTCATGCCCAGGTCGATCAGTGGTACGCCAAATCTCAAGATCAGCAGTCGCCACCCTTGACTGCCATCTCAGACAAGAACCCTTGGAATGCTGATGCGGTCAGTGTCGACGGGCTGGTCCAAGAGCGGGAATTCCCATCCGAGGTACTGGTCGAGCTACAGGAGCCTTCGATAGTGGAGGACGACGAATCTGTGGCTGGAGACTACGATGCAGCCCAGGAGGCCATCCGGCTGGAAGAGCGACAAAAGGCTCTCGACGCCATGGAGGCAAACAAGAACCAGGATGATATTATTGATGACGACATCTCTGATATGCATACTGAAGATGGCTTCGAAGATAGTGTGCAGGTCCAAGACGGAGACGGATATGACAGCGAGAGTGGAGACTCCCTATACCACGATACGGTCCAGACTTTCATGTCTCACGAAGACCGAGAAGATGCTTTTGATTATGAGCACTTTTTCCTCCACAGCGCACTAGGTAATCTGAATCAGCAGCGCCGGGACAGCGTCAGTTCCGACAGCTCTGTCGAGACGACCCGCGGACCGATTACATCGGATGAGTCTATCCGGCCAAGGTCGCATCATCGAAGAGGCAGCGGCGACACCACTTCAACCATTGAGTCCTTTGCCACAGCACGCTCGGGACGAGGCAGCAGAGTCAGCACGAACGATGTTAGCGAAGACCTGAGACACGGTATTCTCACTCCACCAAGCGTCAGCCCGATCAGTGAGCATACCGAGAGCCCCCCGACTGCGAAGCGGTCAACCATCGGCAGCACGATGGGTGGCGAGGACGTTCTGGAGGAATTGAGAACACGCGCGCGCGCTGGCTCCATTGTTTACCGTCGACCGATGAGCACACAAGCAACGATGGGTCACCGTCCGTCGACTGCTTCCTTCGACTCCACCGGCACCAACCGAAGCTTTCCGTTGGTGGGTAAGGCGCGTGTTAGTGTCGGCGTTCTCACTCCCCAGGGCTCTCCTGAGCTGGATCTGAAGACGATTTCCGACGCTCTCATGAGCGAGACCGCTAGCATTTGCGACAAAGAGAGTATGCATACGCCTGATCAGCTTGCACCCATGGAAGCACTGGCTAGAGAAGACCAGATCCTCGTCGAACGCTTCGTGGCCAGTCTGGGAAGGTGCGTGCTCGCCATGAGCGAGGCTGGCAAGGCCTCTGCAGAGAGTCGGATGTACAGGAGACGCATAGACACGGCCCGACGGATCTTGGAAGGCATGGGCGAAACTTCATAATGGTTTCATCGTTCATTTCATTTCGACGATCTGTTTGGATCATTCTGAGTCCAAACAGCGATAGGGGCTAGGCTGCACGACGGAGCGACAGCAACAGGTCAAGGGCATCAACATTGGTGTCCAAAACGAATAACTGATAATGTCAAATGAAAAGTGGGACGCTGCGATTGAGGGGGAAACGGAGCTGGGCGGAGGAAGCTTGTTGTTTTCGACGCATTTCACATCAGTTAACGATTCATTTCCTATTTCGACTTCGATACCCTTCTTGTACGTTCTTGCGGCTGTATATCAGCTGTTACATTTCTCTTCTTGTATCGTTTATTCATCATCTGCACAAGAGTTGCTCAACTTTCCTTTGTTCCAAGTAAGAGTCGATGTCTGAAGCTTTTTTCTAAAATTCCAGTACCGGGACGATATTTGTTTGGCATTCGAGTCATTGGGAGTTGAAGAATACTACGCGGTGTCTTTCTTTGCCATACATTAGGAAGACATATCTTCATTCAATACGGGTAACAAAGTATATGTATATGTATCTCCCTTGTGTGTCGATGTCATGGAGTTAAGGTAGCCAGTCTGCTAGGTTCACATATAACGACTGACTGCCTTGCCTCAAAGTCGGACTTGGTTGCTGTGGTGATGGGATCGGAGCTTGAGCAAAGCGGGCTTGGGACTTCTCCTTTCCCTCGGTACCTTCCTTACATAAAAGAGTACTTTAGCATCGTTTGATGAAAGGCTTCGTTTCTCAAATGGAATGTCCCTCCAGACTACCGTAAAGTAGGCCTATAAACAATGTGCAACTTCTGAGCCCTGTCTTTTGAACCCTAGTGCTTGCGTCTTTGTCCAGACGTGACGGTGTCGGCACTTTTACCCACCCACATGATGGGGGATTAATCGTTGCTAATCAGCGTTCATCTTCTCCACTAAAAAAAGCAGCACCACCACAATGACCCCACCACACCGCATTTGCTTGTGCTTGTGCTTGCGCTCAGGTTCCAAGGGTCCAACTCCACCTTCCTCCTGCCATTTCCATCCCGTCCCCTCCACCCGCACAGAACCCTCAGAGCTCACCGCAACCGTTTTCTTTTATTTGTAGGTTGTTAACAACCTGACAAAGCAACCCTCTTCGACTCGACCTCCTTTCAGTACCTTTGGCGACAGACACCAAAGACGCACGTTCTTCAAAATAAAGCACGCACGCACGCGACCAAGAGCAAACACAGTAGCTGCGCACAAGTGCGAGGAGCAGAAGAAGACACAGTAGGAGACAACCAACCGTATCAACAAATTTCTACGACAATTGCGACAAGAAACTTTGAGAGGAAGCCCAAAAAAGCCCACCACAGAATCAACGAGAGGAAGAAACCCAGGCAACCACCCAAGATGACCGAACCATCAATCACAAACTTCCTCCTCCGCTCCCTCCTACCCCCAGACGCCGCCGACTTCATCCACAATAACGCCCTACACCCATCCTCGCCCCTCCAGCAGCTCAAGGCTCAGGCCCTGGCCGCCGCCTCCCGCACCTATGACGAGCTGTACCCCTACCTCGCACCCGCCGTCGACGCGACGCTCGACTTCCTCCACTCTTCGCCCGAGCTGGTGTCGTTCGCTGTGCTCCTGGCCCTGCTGGCTGCTACTGTCATTGTATTGAACTGGATCCGGAGGGTGGTTGCCTTCTGGACGGCGCTGGTGCTGCGGCTGGCGTTCTGGGGGGGAGTCGTTGTCGTCGTCGCGGCAGTGTGGCAGAGGGGTGTGTTTGAGACGGCGAGGGACGCTGTTGTTGTGGGGGGCAAGGTTGTTGGGTTCGCGGCTGCTGCTAAGGATGTTTGGGTGAGCGAGTATAGGAGGTATGAAGAGGAGACGAAGGTGCAGGGAAACAAGTATCGGTAAAGAGGCCTCTTAATTTTATTTTAGAAATGTGGGGAGGAGCAGTTATATGTCGTTGCACAGTCGGGACGGTGTCGTTGGGAATCGAATGGTGGGATATACCCTGGGGAAGAAGACACCACGTTGGAGAGGGAGGATTTGATTGTATACCCGGCTTACGCAGCGGGGTGGCACGAAACGGATTTCGACTGTTGGTTATCAAAGCCCGAGGCTATGGGAACGACACAGCACCATGGGAGGGGTGGCAAGAATGCATGGCATCGCGTAGCTGGAGATTGAAGACAAACGGCTTTGTCGCAGCTCAAGATTAAGCAGGCAAGTGGCGCACACAGCAATGGTCGAGGGACAGTGTTGACGCTGTTGTCGGACACGATTATGAATGAGTAATGGATAAATAAATACCAACGCCAACGCTATGCAGTCATCTATGTCTCCCTGGCATTGCTTTCGTCGATATGCCATCCAGCTAGAACCCAGTCGCCTGGTCATGTTTCCTCCCATTGTCAAAGTCACGTCAGACCCGTGCATACTTACACAGGCCCTGGGTACTAATGAACAGTCTCCCGTCTTTTGCCTCCGGGACGACAAGCAATCAAGCTTAGTCGTCTTGCAGCTCGTCAAACTCCTCATCCTTGAGCTCCTTGGGCTCCTGCGCTTCGTGGTACTGTATGATATCGTCCACGTAGCTGAGAATCGCACCGACGCTGTCCTCGTCTGTGTTGTCCAGCTTGAGGTAGTTGACCATGCTGAAGCTCTCAATCAGCCCGGCGACAGCTCTGTTCAGCCTCTGGAAGCTCCTGCCGCGCATGACGAGATCGCGGTCGTGCACCTCGCCCTGGCCGTCGTCAGGCTCACCGCCGCCGGCGGCGATCGAGATGGGGTCATCGTCGAGCAGGCCCGTATCGGGCGTGAGAAAGCGCTTGAGGTCCTTCTTGCGCACCTGGTCTTTGACGAGATCCATCTTGGACAGCACGTTGATGTGGGGGATCTCGAGCATGATCATGGCGCTCATGGCACTCAGGGTGCCGGCGAAGAATTTGGCGCGGTCGACGACGAAGGTCGCCTCGAGGAGATAGGCGGCGCAGAGGCGAATGTCGAGACTGCCCGGCTGAGAGAGAAAGCGGGCGAGTGCCGGGAGGATGGGGATGTGGGTGTAGAGCTCGATCTGGCCCGGCATGTCGAAAATGATGAGGTACTCCTCGGTGAGGTTGTCGAGGGCCTCGGTGAGGAAGTCGAGGTTCTCCATGAGGAACTCGAAGCAGTAGATGAGGCCGCCGTTGGGGCCCAGGCCGACCTCTTCCATGGCATCGTGGAGGGAGATGAGGTCTTTGATGTCGAGGTCCGGGGCGTGCTCGAAGGACTCGGCGGCCGGGTCGAGGTTGACGTAGAAGGCGGAGCGGCGGTTGAGGTTCAGATGGGTTATGAGGGAGGCGCAGAAGGTGGACTAACGGAGGAGATGAATGTCAGCTCTCGGGAGGCCTTTAGGGGTGTAGCGGGCGCTGCGGCCGGCGCACGGGACGGAGAGGAGCTTTCGAGTACTGACCTTGCCGGCCCCGGCAGGGCCCATGACCATGACGCCGTACTTGGACATGATGGCGTATTGGAGGGAGGATAGGATAGGTGCTGCTTTTCGCGGGTTGCGATTGCGGGCAGATATGTAAGGGCAGAGCTAAGCGGAGACTGCTTATTTCCTCCTGAACGGGTGTCCAGGCAAGTCCGGGTATCGTATGGTAGAGAAGTGGCGGCAGAGGCAGCGGTAGAGTGGTGGTGGTAGCCTGCGTTCAGGATCGGCAGATTCACTAGTCGCAGACTTTTTGGATAGAGGAATGATTTGTGGCTATGGAAATTTACCCCGCCATGCAGGAACGGGCGCGTCAAGGGTCGCGGTTGATCAGCAAGACTGTCTTTGCGCGCCACTTCTAAATCGTGGGAGACAGACCCAGAGTGCCCGTACCTGGTACCTTAGTAGTAAGATACGAATGGAAGCGACAGTAGGTACTGTACGGATACAGAGTACCGTATGCGCTCAGCAACGAGGCGAAGAAAAACGTGACAAAGTTGCACCGTGATATCAGTGCCGGTGCCGGGGTATGGGAAGCGAAAACGAAAATTTTTGCTTCGTGATAGCGGTTGCTCGCGATAAGAGACAACAAGATGCCAGCTCGAATGAGTTGTCCCCCTTCCCCCCCCCCTTCCCATTCTCTGCTTCTCTGAGAACAATAACGGGCGGCTTGCTGCGGAATTACGGGCCAATGCCGCTCGCACGTGTAAACCGCGAGAGGGGCATATTCTCACCAGGCCCTTTGGAGATATCCTGCAGCTTAGCTCCCTGTTGGGCTTAGCTTGTTTCGGTGGGGGTTTCTCACTTGTCTCCAGAGGTATTGGAGGGGTGGTTTTGCAGTCATGTTCGGAATGCGAGTCCTCGCACAAGGGATTCGCCGAGGGAGTCGCGGCGTAGAAGACACGCCTGATGGAAGTGGCCGACGGACTTTCAGACGCCATGAGAATGGAGGATGGGAATGTCGCTGAGAGGTGTTCGCGTGCCACTAACTTTTTAAGCCTTGAACGGGGGGTCTCATTGCTCAGTCTCGATCAACTCGCGTGCCTTGTCTGGAAAGAAAGGGGCGCCTCATGGAATGCAATCGCTAGACAATGCAATGGTAGAAAAGATAGACCTAGAAGAGAGTCAACCTCAGGTCAGCAAAGTTCCCGTTGAGAGTTTCAGCTCCCGTGCTTGTCTACGGCAATTGCGCGATGGACTAGCTTTATGTTCCGTACCTAACAATTACACATGTGTTATGTCAGTATTTGAGGATAAAGTTACTGCCTGAACTTGACCGGGAGGGCAAAAGGCCAGGGGGGGGGGGGAGAAGGACGGACGAAACAGAGGAAGCCCGAGCTCCCTCGGGGAACGGTCACCGCTGCTCTCGTTGGGGTGCGCATCCTGGTGACTGTGTGAATCCGAGCTTACTCCCTCCACCTCACAGTTGAGGCTTGCAAAGCCAGGCCGATCTGGCACCATGGGATGGATGCTTGCTACCTTGCTTTATTTTGTTGAACCGCACTCACCAACCAAGTGGTGGCCGTAGCGGTACACGGGAGTGCTGTAATGTGGCCTGAAGAGGGTTTGGGGCTGTGCCTTCCTGCTGTGAGTGACTGACACAGATATGCTGCGAAGGCGGTCAAGGGAGGGAAGTCGTGAGGATGGCGCAATCTGGAGAATTTCGGGCCCTCCCCCTCGACAGGGCCGGTACATAGGGATGGAGGGGTCGGCCGGCGATTATACCTCCCCGCCAATGTAATTTACTATGCTTTTGTGAGTACCTTCCCTGCCGTCCGGCCCTCGGCCAATGTCTCCCACGAATAGTGCGTCAAATCCGCTTGAGCTTTTGGCAGAGAGGAGCGGGAGGAGGAACATGGAAGTGAGGAGCGAGAATTTCCTCCCAGCCGGCCATCCCAAGTACCCAGGTCGCGCTCGTCTTGTGTTTCTTTAAAACCCGAGCGGCCACATCTTCCTCTTTCCCTCCTCTCAGCGACTCTTTCCCTTTCTACATCCACAAACCTCACCTTCCTCCGTGCCTTCCTCTCCTTCTCCAAAGGTAAGCAATTGACTCACATTGAGCTACCCTTCGCTGTGTTTGCCTGCTCCACGCAGACCCAAAGAAACGAGACCAAACAGCTGACCCGTTGATTCAGAAGTAGCTTTTACCCGTTGCTGTCTTCATACCTAGTCCCTCGGAACCCCGCGTCGGTAATTTTTCACCGCACCGAGCTCCTCAAAACTTTTCTCCCTCTTCTCACATCTTTTTTTCATTCACACTTCAACCAGTCTCTATCCAAGATGTCTGCTACCAACGGTGTCAACGGCAACGGCATTGCCAGCCGCAAGCACTACAATGAGGGCAACTTCCTTTTCACCGTAAGTAGGCCTTGGTCGCTGATTGCCGACAGCCCTGAAGTCGAACTCCCTGCTAAACTCCCGATGTAGTCCGAGTCCGTCGGTGAGGGCCACCCCGACAAGATCGCCGATCAGGTCTCCGATGCAATCCTCGACGCCTGCTTGAGAGAGGACCCCCTCTCCAAGGTCGCTTGCGAGACCGCCACCAAGACCGGTATGATCATGGTCTTCGGTGAGATCACCACCAAGGCCAGGCTCGACTACCAGAAGGTCGTCCGTGACGCAGTCAAGGACATCGGCTACGATGACTCCGCCAAGGGTTTCGACTACAAGACCCTCAACTTGCTCGTCGCCATCGAGCAGCAGTCCCCCGACATCGCCCAGGGTCTCCACTACGAGAAGGCCCTTGAGCAGCTTGGTGCCGGTGACCAGGGTATCATGTTCGGATACGCCACTGACGAGACCCCTGAGCTCTTCCCTCTCACCCTCCTCTTCGCCCACAAGCTGAACGCTGCCATGTCCGCTGCCCGTCGTGACGGCACCCTCCCCTGGCTCCGCCCCGACACCAAGACTCAGGTCACCATCGAGTACAAGCATGACAACGGTGCCGTCGTTCCCCTGCGCGTCGACACCATCGTTGTTTCTGCTCAGCACGCTGAGGACATCACCACCGAGCAGCTCCGCAAGGAGATTAAGGAGAAGATCATCAAGAAGGTCATCCCCGAGAAGTACCTTGATGACAAGACCGTCTACCACGTGAGTACAACAACTTTGCGCTACATCCTGGCTCTTCAGCTAACACTGATCAGATCCAACCCTCTGGCCTCTTCATCATTGGTGGGCCCCAGGGTGATGCCGGTTTGACCGGCCGCAAGATCATCGTCGACACCTACGGTGGCTGGGGTGCCCACGGTGGTGGTGCCTTCTCCGGAAAGGACTTTTCCAAGGTCGATCGTTCCGCTGCTTACGTCGGTCGCTGGATCGCCAAGTCCCTGGTCGCTGCCGGCCTTGCCCGCCGTGCCCTGGTCCAGCTCTCCTACGCCATTGGCGTCGCCGAACCCCTTTCCATCTACGTCGACACCTACGGCACCTCCGACAAGACCTCCGATGAGCTCGTCAAGATTATCCGCGACAACTTTGACCTCCGCCCCGGTGTCATCGTCCGCGAGCTCAGCTTGGACCGCCCCATCTACCTTCAGACCGCCAAGAACGGTCACTTCGGTACCAACCAGAGCTTCACCTGGGAGCAGCCTAAGACTCTCAAGTTCTAAGACAATTAGTACTCGACCGAGCAGGATTTCTTCAACAAGCTTCCTGCATTGCAACGACCTAGACGTTTATAATAATTTTGATATTCATGCGGACAGGCACTCAAACATGGCGTAAGGTTCTCAACGAATCCCGGTTTCTAGCCTTTTCGGGTAAAGGCAACAACAACATCAAGACACTAGGGCGTGGTCTTGTTGGTAGGATCGTTTTTTATATTATTTCAAACGGTGTTAAAAACAATCGGATCAAGGGAGCGGTGGCGTCTTTCAACAAAGACACAAAGCGGGTTAAACAGGAACAAGTCCTGAAGCGATTTTTTTCGTTTTCTTTTTTCCAAAGTCACAAAAAGAGCAATGCATTATGAGAAGATACCCTTCGGATTGTTCGAAAGGGGAACAAAGCATCTACAACGGCGTTAACGGGGAAACAAAAGAACTTCAACATCTTTTCTTTCCTGGTTTTCTAGCCGACCATCTCTTGCGCGGATGAGGGTGGCAGAGGCAAATAGCCGGGAGAGACAGGCCCAGAGGTTTTCTTTGGGCATGGGGGTGATGTGAGCTTCGACAGGGCTCATGGATGTAGATAGGTAGACCATTCGGCTACTGGAAATAGAGATGAGGATCTCACGAACTTTGACCACGCAGACATGCAATTGTGAGTCAATTGACACCAGGAACGCAGTACTACTGTCAATATTCACCCCCTTAAGTCGATAACCTATCGGGAGGCTCCCTTGGCGCGAGATGGTTCTAGAACGAAGATTTTGGAACAAGCCTGGGCTCAACACGCGTGGGCAACCCCAGACCTGTTTCTCAACGGCGTGAGGCGGAGCGCACGCCATAAGGCGCTTTGTAGACTACATATTCGGACTGGTAAAAAGGTACGGATACTGCCCAGTGAGACAAGCTTTCAGCATACAGGACAGAAAGTTCATTTTGGAGTAAACCTTTTGGAAAACGCTATCGCCGAGGAGAGAAAGAAGATCAAACTATGGACAAACTTCCAGGATGGTGTTCCATCAGCTCCGCCAGACCAGCATGCCACAAACGGACAACAAGCTGTGCCATCTTCGATCTCGTTGGCAGCTGCCGTAAGATATCCGGTATGAAAAATTCTCGCACCGACTCACGACAGAAGGCCCAGCCGGTTATCAGAAGTGATTTACCGTTCTAAAACAACTATGGAAGGGTGGCCGAGTTGGTTATGGCGCCAGGTTAAGGTCAGCTTAACATCTGTTTCCTGGTGGGGCAACCCGCGCGAGTTCGAGTCTCGTCCCTTTCAACTTTTGCCTCTCTGGATCACTTACATGTAAATTTGAGTGCTTATCTTTCTTCTCTTTTCTTTAGAAAAAAAAGAAGAAGTCTTTTCGTTATCATTTGTATGCAATTGCTGAGTACTTCAAGTCATACTGCGACGTACTCTTTTCTTTATACTGACGACGGAGGCATTTGGATGGCGTTAGAGTTCCTGGTACGACACATCTGTTCAGGCTAAGGATGACAATATTTTGGAGCACAAATAAAATTTTGGTCGTCGAGCCATTTGTAATGCTCCGTGATTATAAATACATTGATTGTTACCGTCTTGTGTCACTTCCCCAAGAGATTGTTATGCGTACAAGCAGTTGTTGTTATTCTAACACCCTCTACCCTCTTTCTCCGAACAACCAAATTGGCCCCAAATCTAAATAAAGACTAAGTAGAACTCAGCTCCAGAGACCGTTACACATACCGGGCCGCAAACACGGAAGAATGGGAAGTCTTCCGTCGATGAATCTTCTTCGGGACCCCGTAGCGGCCCGTGGATTCAGAGGATTCGGCAAAACCAAGCTTGCGGCCCGGCATTTGTTCCCGAAGTGACGAATCTCCGGAAAACGCGTAGATTTACCTGTGGCTTGCGTCGCGCAGGTACGGTGAGAGGCTGTTTAAGCTCCACAAAGCGGACGTACAAGCGAGATCCCATAACTTTGTGATCCCGAGGCTCATTCGAGACTATTTACTTGGTATTATCGACTTGTCGAGTGATCGAAGTTTCAGGAACAATTGGGTTCTTTTCGGCGTTTCCTGTCACCGTCCGCAATGGCGGTGGCCTTCACGGGCTGATACTGACATGCTCGTAGTTACCTCTTACGGACGCGTTACATGAAAGTCGCGTTAACAGGGCTGAAGCAGACTTGACTTGGCTGGGCGGAATCGTTTTTGCATCCTGAAATGGGAAATCGTATCGGCCGAATGAAGTGTGATGTTAACCGTGTGTGACGCGATCTTGTCTCCTGTCGTTTCCTCCTAGAATTGATTGAGGGACTGCTCCTGCAACACAGATACGTACCTAGTAGCGTACAATGAGATCTTCATATGGGCCATGTAAGTGGTTCGAGCGGAACGGAAAACAGACAAGGAAGAAGAGAGAAGAGGCGGTGGGCTTGTTGTTTGGGGTTTGGCTTGACCTGAATGATTAGGTCAGGCCATCCCAGTGGTACCCAACCAGAAACAAGGGGAACCAGCTCCGTCTCGATGATGATTTGAGTGTGTCTATCCTTACGCTTGGGCCAGGAATAACTATAGCCGAACTTCCCAGGGAGGTCGTCTATTTGAAGAAATCATCCTCAAAACACTCAGCTGCCATGGTGGATGCCCACAATTCCGCAAGCGGACTCGCTCCGGCAAATGACGATGTTGTAGCGCTTCGAGTGCTTAATGCCAATCTACTGCCATAGGCATCTTGTGGCTCGTGTGAGAAGAGTAATAATAAAAATCGATTTCCCCTTATGAGCCTGCGCGCTTGCCGTATGTTTATGTTCTTGGCTTGGTGCTGCCAAGCACTTAGCTGATCATGATGGGCTTGCCACGGCTTTGATATGCAATTGGGATTTTGCCGAAGCCGATATTATTACACACGTTTTCCTCTCTAGCTCCCTGGGCTATAGGCTAGTTCTCAATCGCCACGTTACGTGCAGGATGCAGATATATCATGGTCGGTAAATTCGATGGTCTGGTCATTAGCTAGCCCAGCGACGGTTGTTTGATCGTACGAGCCGAGTTTTCGTGAAGCGTTCACTGCCGCATGGGGGCTCAATGAAGGAAGAATCATGGATTCGGCCTCGGCAATCAGGTTTCGATGGCCAACGGCGGTGATATCACAAGTAGTACGTGCCAGGGTAACGGCCATCGTGAGGCGTTACCTGAATAATTCGACGGCTGATGTACAGCTTGATGGTGACTTCACACGCCAGTGAGTCAGGTTTTGGGCTTAATTTTCCTTCAGATTTTGTTCTAGAACATCCGCTAAACGTAACTTATCAGTTTGGAAACCAGAGGGGAATGAGACCTTTCCATGTACAATCTGCCAGTTAACAGGGCTCCACAATGAATGGCCTGCAACATGAAGCCGGCGTACTACGTTGTGTTTTGACGTGTAAAAAATTTGATTCCATGAATGATGACGGCCATTCTCTGGCGATTTGGCAAACTTTCCAAAGACCTCTGCGGCATTTCCGCGTCTTACGGCCGACTGCAAAGCGTTGGAAGGGTGTCATTTCAGGGTACCCGAATACCGCATCCTGCCGAACGAGCTGAATGGATGAAGACAGCAGGGACCTGCATTGTGTTGGCAATACGGTGTGGTTCCGCGCTATCCAGGGGTCCATCCTGGTTCGGCAAAGTTCAGTCTTTCCGCGGTGACGTTTCTATGCGGCGGAGAGACAGGGAGATGGATGTCCTATCGGGCTATTGACTTTCTCATCACTCTAGGGGGTGGTTGGTGATGCCAACATCTCCAGCTTTCGTGACCCCCCAAGAAATAACCCCCAGAAGAAGCATGTCACCGTTGGAATGCCAATGCCAAGAGAAATTGTAAGGGACCTTGTCTGATATCAGCGCTATTCAATAATGTCGTGTGTTGGAAATATCGATATGCGCCGGAATAATAACCCAATGTCTCAATTGGTTCGACTCAGACCAGTCACAACCACGCCGGCAATGGCTGGCGCCGGTGTTGGTGGCCTGGTAGGGGCGGGCACGCGCTGGAGTGAGGAAAGAGTCCCCTGCTCAGGACTTCGGGAGGGTATGAATATCCGAGACTGATCCAACTGCTTCGGGTTGGGTTGCCGCTAGGTCGACGGGCAAGTCGACCTCTCGGCCGGCGGGTGTGGTTGTGAGGTGAGAGCCGACAATAGCAACGTTGCCCCACCCACATCGGAGAACAATAACAACCGGGGTCCACCACAATGCGAAGAGGCGTCGGCAAAGTGGGTCGATTCTCCGTGTACCCCCGGCACCTTCTTCCTCCTCTTATCCCCCCTTACTCCACGCCGTCAGCAATGCAGCTTTCCGGGGAGAACACTATTCAGGTAACACCATTCAGCCGTGTGAAGTGTCAAACTTCCTTATGCGCTGGAGACAGGGCTTTGCCCATTGGCAATTGTCGCAGAGGGCCGGACATATTCCGTCTTGCCCTGCTTTGGCATGGGCACAGTCCGTTACACTTGCGAGATATCTGGGCTAAATTGTTCATCGATCGGCATGTTTTGGCGCAACAAGCATCGTCGGGATCCACCACACCCTTATTCTTGCGCCGAATGCTTGGGTCTCGTTTCCATGCCGGCCAGAGGGTGTGGTCCGAGTAAGAGAACTTGGAGAAGTAGCTTGGTCAAACGAAGATCGCAGGCAGCTGGCCCAACTATACCTACTCCGAGATTTTAAACAAACTCCATAGAGCTAAGTTCGCAGACGCATGCATACCTTCTGCGCTTACACCGTGTGTCTGTGGAGAATATCTAGGTGGAGCTTGATAGCAGGAGTGAGAGATAATGTATTGTTGTTGGGTGATAGGATGGAGCCAGGAGGCACGTAATGTCCATTGTGCTTGCCTGATGTTTTCTACGGTCTCAACACTAGAATGGGGAGGCACTGCCCACTCGCGCGCCCCGCTCTACCAACAGAACATGCAAAGCTGCACGAGATTCAATGTTGCTTTCCCTGTCTGGCGTCTTTCTGTCACATCTCCGCTAAAGAAACCCAGTCTTACCCTCATATTGTGTCATATGCTCGAGGAAGTAGGTATATAGCGACTATCCCTCAGTCTTCTTCTTCTTCTTCTTCATCATAACTCTACACTTTCCTATACTTGCATCTCCACCCTGGAAGAAAGATCGGGAGCCAAAACGACGCTTGCACCAAAACGATTCATGCTCGAGCGCCTCTTTCAACTTGTGACCAAGATCTGGGATTCAGATACTGCTATTGCACACCTCATATCACTACACTTTCTCTGCTCGTCGCCATATTCGATGATGGTGTCAGCCACCCAAGGCCTTCAAACTCAACGATTCGCTATGTTATCAGGCTTACACGCTCTCACAATTCCCAAAGACATTGACTCTTGGCGACAATCCCAGCATCCAGCTTACTCGCCGCAAGCACAACCGAGGATCTTCGAAAACATCACGTCCCAAATCGTTAGGCAGGATGCCATTCACAGCAGCCAATGTATTCAACGAAGCACTCAATTTCCCAGAGATTCAATCTCAGATCCCGACGCGGAGGAGGAAGATGAAGATTCACCACCCATTTCCTTGAGCATCTCAACACGGATAGATGTGATTAGCGATGGCAACCTGATAGCCCTGCCTTGCTCGCCTGCAGGACAGGCAAATTTCATCGCAAAAGCAATAGTCGATGCCATTTACGAAAGAGATTGGGCAGTGGGATGCCCCTTGATTGACGAAAATGGCCGTCCAAGACCGTTGAAGCTGGAAGTTGATGCAAGTATCACTGTGAAGGGATCTTCAAATGTCATCGGCACGGAATCGGTCATCACAGAGTTCATTCGGCGAGGTGCGCACACACAAGAACAGCCGCACAGCAGACAACCCCGAAGAGAGTCTGCGCATTCTGCGGTGTCTCTTCCATCACCAATTCGGAGGAGACGGGCATCAGAGTTAGATGCGCCCGAGCACCCGGTGCATAAGCGTGCTCGAAGCGAGGAGTAGGCCTCTATCAGTCTGATTTTTTGGTTTCTCTCGATCGGTCATTACTCGAAGTCGCTGATCCAACTCTCATGGCATTGGACGGATGAAGGGGACACATGGCTATGTCAGGCTTGACTGCATTGATCTTCAGGGGGCATCAATGGCGCTCACCTGCCAGTGTCACTACACATCGCTCTTTGTGTAACGTTGGCACAAAACTAAACAACATACTTGCCATAGGATTGAGCAAGGGAATTAGTGACAATGTGTGTGCGGATTCGAATGAAGGTGTCTTGGCCAATCTAGACGCTGCTTGAATCTCAATAAAGATCAGCTCGCGGTCTGCCACGTTACTAGGGCTGTGAAAACTTGAGAAAAGATTAAATGAAGCCATTTCATGTTCGAAAATCATAAATTTACTTTGGACGTCTCCCTCAGCACCTAAGTGTCCTCTCCGTCTCTACGAAGACGTCAGCAACCAGCGTCACTTTCTATTGAAGTATGAGACTGAGTTCTGAGTATTGAAGTTTGTGTAAATCGGCGTCTGGTGGATGTCCGGGCATGGTTTCCTTCATGTCTGTTCTCTTCTTCCCTCACCTCGCACACACCGAGCGCTTCCTAGGCGCCGGCTGTACCCACACCACCTGTTTGCTCCGTATCAGGTATGGTTCTTCCGACTGTCTGGTACCAGGTCCTAGCGCACCGCGAAGCCAAGCCGCGTCCCTTGTCATCCCCACCATTTGCTTATACTCTCTACATCGTCACACACGCTTGTCGCATTGGCTGGTTTGTGAGGTATTCGCCGTGACGGGTGGTACAAGTACGAGGAGATGGGTGCGTTGAGGAAAGCAAACAATATCATTGGGGGAGGACAAGGACAGGGCCGGGTATATGGCTGGATGTGGAAGGTATGTGCAATGGCCGAGGAATACGATTGGAAGAGCCGCTTCCCCGGTGAGGAGGAGTTATGATGTATCGATCTGATGTGCATGACGAGACGGTGTGTCAGGAAAGCAAACGGTTGCTCGGGATTTAGTGCAAAGGCCGCTGAAGATATATATCGAACACGATTCTTTTTTGTCTGTACTACCGATTGTGATCTAATTATACTGACACCAGAGTTGGATTACATTATGAAAAAAACCTCTTTGAGATCAGTCTTATGTGACAATTAGCGCCTGTATCATCCTTGTCAACCACAGTCATGATTGTTTTGGGTCACACGCGATATGAGCAGACGGATTCGGTATCAAAGCAGTGGAATGGTTCTTGTAAGCTGTGTTTGATAGCAATGGTTCACATATTCATTTATCAATACGTGGTACTATCAGAGGGGCGTCGATGATGAACTATCTATTGAAACGGAAGGGAATGGAATTGATTGCTGGCCTACAAACCCACAATCATAATAATCTGGAGGCTGAATGGAGGAGAAGATAGTTGAAGCAGCATTCAATCTGATTATGCGTTGATTAAATATTCATCACTATTATAGAATACGGCTTTGTAGCATGAGCAGACTTCTGACTACCTACATCCGTCCTCATCTTTTCTTTCCCAATCGTCATCTATTGCCTGGCTTGTTCGTCCCAATGAATTTGCCGCTTCGTTGATCGTAAACCCTATATCTCCGTCGCCTTCTTCAGACAAACAGATTAGCTTAATTTTAAGCCGACCGACTGTCTGTTGCCGTGGCAGGGGCTGGGCACGGAGAGTATTGTTCAGGTAGAGACATTGTCTTCGTTGATGACGGCCCGCGAAGCATTGTTCTTAGCGGCGCCACCATCGATCAATATGGTGTCAATCCTGTCCCCCTTATGTTCGGCAGGCCGTCGGGGCCGAATAAGGCCACGAAGGTGAAGTTGCGCTTGGCGCCGCACACCATGCCGGAGACGGTCGGCTTGCTCCACCCGTAGCCCCCGACTTCGTGGTCGGTGATGTAGTCGTCGCCTGAGGACTGGACTTGGAGGCCGGCATAGGCAGGGTCGGCGCGATTGGAGAGAAAAGGGAACTTCGCCTCGTGAATGGAGAGCGGTCCGGCATCGACGAGTAGGCAGTGACATCGCCGTCGGTGTGGTTGTACCAACCGCCGCAGTTGTGTTGAGGCCAGGCGTTGAGCTTTGGAGCGTTGCTAAGGCCGCGATGGTGGGAAGGTTCGCCATTTTTGAGAGCGGATGAGAGGGAGATGGAGTGTTGAGGGCAGGTGATCGCGATGAAGAGTGGTATGGAGGCAAGAGGACGCCAGTTGGAAGATCAAGAACAAGAATTATATAACTACTTTTACCTGTATGTAGTCATACTAAGGGCAGAACTGATGTGCATAGCTATCTTATACTGTTCAGTCTTTTTCCTTGTATGAGACCTTGGCGAGAATAGGCAGAAGTGACGGCGGTCGACTGAGAGGATTAGGCGGGTGCGCATTGTCTCCTGTCCCGGGTGGGAGGCCTCGAAGAAGGCAATCGCGGAAAGGATGGTGGAGACATAGACGGAGGGCGGCTGGGGCATTGGGGAGG